AAAAACAAATGTATTTGAAAAGTTAAGAGTCTTTTCTGAATTAAATTTTCATCGTAGATTAGTACTAGGTAGTTTTCAGTACATTTTAAAATGTTACGGAATTTAGAAAAGTTTAGACTTTTTTAGAACTCCTAAATTAATTGGTATATGAGGCACGGAAAACCTAAACCCGGGACCGATTTACTTTTTTTATTTTGATGTCTCCAGACGCCAAAAACACCAATCGTTAAAATATTTATATAGATACCGGTACAGTATAATATGTGTATAATATGGGTATGTATGTGTTATCCATAAACACGATAAGTAGAGTAATTTTATTCAGATTTTTATGAAATTTATGAAGAGCTGGATAAACTTTAATCAGTTCGTGAACCAGCAAGTTCGGTGCATGGGAACGGGATGTTGTGGGGTGCCGTATTAAAGTGTTTCAAATTTTGGTCTGTTTCAAATTTGTACCAACGAAACATGAAAGTGCCCGACTTTTACTACAACCATAATGTAGAGTTTTTAAAACCTCTTACTTATATTGAAGTATTGTTTTAATTTTGTGGTGAAAAGGAAACTCAAGTTTGCTAGTTAATATGTTTTGATCAAATTTGGAAAATTTATTATTTCATCCTAAACTTAGGATGAAAAAAAATAAATTTTATGAAAAAACTTTAGTCGTTAAATCTAATGTATTGGTATTTAGCGGAGAATAAATTACTTGTATTTGTACATGAAGATATTTTAGTTAAATCTAATCAGACAAATTGGAATTCGCTTAGTCGGCGGGTTTTCTGTGGTGGGGGTATTATATTAGGCCTATCCACTGATACGTATATTAACTATCCAAACTATTTGACGGTCTATCTTTAAAGGAAATACAGTGTGCCCTTCAAATTAACCATACAATACTAGAATATGCCAGACACAAGAACTAGCCCTGTTGTAGGTAACTTCCAGTCAGTTTGGCTAGTTGATGTAGATGGAGGGGAGCATGGGATTAAGCTGATGTCCAAGTCAATAATGTTCATTCGCCGACAATCCTCTTCAACGGAGTGGTGTGGATTGAGTCACGTACTGTTTCAACTAACTCGCATTCTATGATAAATGTCTACATCGCTCCCTTCAATACATGTACATGTTTTCTTGTGTTTTATCAATTACTTGAAATCTAAGAGTTTTTGCCACGTGTTTTGGAAAACAAATATCCTTCATTAACGTGTTTTGCAGTGAAATACCAATTTTTAACTCCAATTTTTTTTATATATTGATGATTTGTAGTAACTGTAGGCAAAATATAATGTGTAACACGAATGCAAACTGACTTTGCCTACTAGTTACACAAATAACTTTAGTAAACTGGAATTCCGTGATATTTTATGTGGGAGAAACCATCGCATTATATGTCAACTATCATAAAAGAAAGAAATCGTATTTTTTTATTATAGTCAGACAAAATACTCGATTGACGATTATACGAAACTTGAACGTGGATTCTTTTCACGAATGTAAAATTATACGTAACACAAACATAGACTCTAATTAGTGTTTTATTAGTAAAAGAAAACTCAGATTTTCTCTTAGGTAGTAATGATAAAGGCTAACTCGGGACTAATGGAGAGGCGTGTTGATGAATATGGATGCATGAATAGACAACAGTCTGACGAGGGTTAGTAGGGATCCACAAACACCCCCTATTTGGATATAGAGTACTCTTTATTGTCACATAGACATCACGATCTTCGTCAATTAGACAATCTTCACACAAAGCTGGTGATCCAAACACTCCCTCCATGAGCCTACTCTTCAATGTCATACAGACATAAAGATCTATGTCAATAGACAACACTCTGACAAAGCTTGTGATCAATACAGACTTTCTCCGTGGGTCTACTCTTCATTTTCATACAGATATAAGGATCTACGTCGATAGAGTACACTATGACAAAGCTGGTGATCAATACAGACTTTCTCCGTGGGTCTACTCTTCATTTTCATACAGATATAAGGATCTACGTCGATAGACAACACTATGACAAAGCTGGTGATACACACACACTTTCTCCTTGGGTCTACTCTTCTATATCATACAAACATATAGATCTACGTCAATAGACAACACTATGACAAAGCTGGTGATCCACAACACTCCCCTCCTCGGGTCTACTCTTCATTGTCATACAGACAACACTAACTACGTCAATGATTGACGTCTATTATAGACAACACTTCGAGTAAGCTGGCGATCTATAAACACCCCTTCATCAGTGTCAGAAGTGCATAATAATCTACGTCAATAGACACCACTCTGACAAAGCTATCTACAAACACTTCCTCCCTTAGCCGCCTTCATCGGTGAGTGACAGACGGACATTGCGATACAATAGACAATTCTCTGAGATTATGCATTGAATAATTAAAAATAGTACTTGAAAGGATTAGATCTCCGTTATAAATAATTGTATTTTTGTATTATCCTACTTTTATGTTTATTATTTTCCTTCAGTAAAGGAAGTTAGTTTTACAAGTATTATTTAGTAATTTTTTAAATCTAACTACAAATTTTGAATCGTTGTGGAAACCACCACAATGATGGACATTTTCATAGAGCTCAAGTAGAATAAATTTTGCCACCCTTTTTTGAAATGAAAAAAGAACAAAAATAATGATGATGAAAGAGACTGGCATGGCGACGTTGCTTTTATGGCTGTCTGCCCACTTTTACCCTATCTATGTCGGTCAGTGAAATAAACCTCTCTATAAAAACGTTTGATTCTTTTAAAATAATTGACTGTAATGTGTTGAAACTGTGTCTGACTTTTAGGAATGTAATACTACCCCAAACAATCAATTACACCGATGATATACTTGAGTAATTGGTTAAATATATCTTTGAAAAATTATATTCTCCATATTTCTTGATCTTTACATTTTATGTTTTCATTAGGTTTTTTTATCGTTTGCTTTAATATTTTAAATACTTTTCTTATGTGTTTGGCAATAGTTTACGAATTCATGTTGCATTTTAGCAACAAGAAAGTTGTAATTTAGGTTTTAACATTTCTATATGAATAATTTAATGCATGATTTAATATTAATTGTCCATCGCATTAATTACTAACATAAACACAGTTTTTTTTAATGTTTATTTGCTTAATTAATTGGTTATTTACATTTACAGCAGCCACTGACTATTAACGTGTATTGAAGCGCATTAATCTTGCTTTAAATAACAAAGATGTACTGTATCGACGTTATTTAAAAATTGGGACCATCAAAATATCAGTTATCAGCAGAATAAATACACTCGTCGGGGTTTGATTATTGTTACGTAAATTGGAATTAACGTCTAAATTCAACAAACAAATTTCTTGTTCTATTTCTTATACTTTATTTATTCACTTTTAAGTGTTATTTTTCATGTAGGTATTATTTTTAGATTTATTATTTAATTTCAACGAAAAAAATCTTCTTTGCTGAAAACCTCTTTTTTCACACTAGGCTTAAACAACAAACGGAAACATATATATGTTTATTATAAAACCGTTGATCAAACTTATAAAAACACACTGTCAAAAAAGCATGAAGAAAATTAACCTGTTTTCTGCAAACTATGGAATTACTTCAGGTTTTCTTATTTCCTTTAACTAGCGTAATTTCCAGCTTCAAACACTAACAATCAATTCCACCAAATATTTAGCATTTTTAAATGTTTTGGCCTTTTTCCAGCCGTGTTAGATCAAGAAATATAATTCTCACCTTGACCGTTTGAGCTGGGACGACCGGCAAAGAATAGATCAACAGACGGACATGATAAGAAGGAGCTGATAGCACGAAGGTCTGAGAGTAGCTGGGGATGGAATCAATGAGCAGAGGGTTAGTGGGCGGGAGTTGGCGAAGAGTGGTGGGGGTTGGAAATAGGGGAGGGTTGGAGTAAGGGTAGTTGGGATTGTTGATGATCACGAGACGCCCCCGCGTAGTACTCTAACCCGCAACGGAATAGGCGGGTCAGTGTTATGTAGTGATGAAAATAACATGATCAAACATGACATGGACATGTTTTCAATATTTTAGTGGTAATTTTGAACATTTTAATGTTTCAAATTGTTTATATCTTCAGACAATTAGTAGTAAAGTCCATTCTTTAGGTGATACCAATGATAGAAAAATTCAGTTGAGACTTTTTTTCTTTTTTTAAAAGAAAAACCTAGAAAAACCTAAAAAACCTAGAAAAACCTAGAAAAAACCTAGAAAAACCTAGAAAAACCTAGGGGTTGCGCCATTATCACTTAGTTAAAATCCATTGGTGATTTGGCGGGGCCCGGGACCAAAGTCCCGTGCTCTATCCACACCAGCTTGCTCCCTCTAAAGCACTCTTGCTTTAGAGTCAGAGCTCAGTAACTACAACACTATGTTTATTAAATTACAGTAATTGAACATGGTAAAAGTCCTTCACAATATGAAGAAATTGGCAACTGCGGGACCAATAAATTTGATTTTAAATAAATTTAAAAGATCGTTTGTCTAATTTAAACTATACATTTGTTTTGAGCAAAAATTATTACATTCACAGGATTATGCCATTCGCTTATTAGTTTAAGCTAATTTGAATAAACCAACCCATTTTTACTGCAATATGTAATTTAAAAAGTAAATGAATTCTTCAAACAATTTTATAAATTATAATAATGACACTTTTTACAAATTCAGATGTTTGGACTTTCGTAGGTCTATCTGTAGTTTTACTATGCATTTCGGAAATAAGATTTGTAATTCAATTTAAAGATTTAAAAATTAAAATCAGACGATTATAGTAATCATAAAATTAATTCTTCAACTTGAAATTAGTACTTCACATAGATAAGTCATTTTAGGTAAAACCATAACTTGGTAGCCTAACTTTTTGGAACAAGTGTTTATTGTTTTGTTGTTCAAAATAAAAGACATATCAGAAAAACACTATAGACAGTAATAAACATTTCTATTTATAAAAAAACATATATACAGCAAAATTACAAAATGAATGTAAAAATATGAAGACTGACTTAGCAACTGTTGCTAAACATCAGGCTCCGCCGTAGTATCAAGTTCTAAATTACCGGTACTTGTGTCTTGTTTTATGTTGTTGATTTCTAGCCGATCATCATCGTCATCAAGAAAACTTGACGACTTCTGACTCCTTTGAGAGTCATTTAAACCGGGTGAAGGTTCCACAGATGTCATTTCATCTTCTTCATCTTCATCTTCTGCTTCCATCTCGAATAGTCTGACTTTCCTTCTGCTTTCTGACAAAACCACAGCAATTTTTCTTGTCCCACTGACAGCAAAACAAGAAGCGACTAAATCAGGAATTTGACGCATAACAACTGAATCAGTAGACAGTGCATTTCCTTCAATATTGTCTAAGGGATTATCACAAATAGCTTTAGTCATAACTTGCACAATAACTGCACTTTTACTCTCATCTTGTTCTTCTAGAAGAACAGATAAGATTTCTGGTAAGTAAAACTGAACGTCTAGGCATTTCATGGCAACTGAATCTCCTGATTTGAATGAAACAGATTTTGTGATTACCTGCCTATTTTCGTCTGCTGGGATCTGAATAAGTTTAAATATATTTGGGGAATCTAACTCAATTAGACTTATCAAAATCAAGTGATCATCCAATAATGACATGGTTAATCTTTTGTATGCTACATCGGCAACAGTGATAACCTTTTTCAACTGAAACATACTGCCGATAGCATCTTCGGGAGTTTTAAAAACTGTTTCTATGGCTGCTTTTAAATGTTCATGCTGCTGAATTAGAGAGTTATTTTTGTTTCTTTTGATTATGCAAAAGTGATTTTGCAAACAAGGATTTTCCTCTAGCAGCTTCTGCCATTGATTGTTTTTGTCATTTTCACTCGGAGTTGTTAAATCTCTATTAACCAAATACTGACCAAGTCTGTCCAAATAACAATGTCTCTTTCGCGTTCCATCTTCATCTGTTTTTACATCTAGGTTGTTCAAATAATCAGCTATAAATTCTAAATCTTGTTGGCTTATATCAGTCATAGTTAGATCAGGGATACGGTCATCAGATATTCTAAGAATTATGGCATACAACCATCGAAAAAATGCTTTATACCTCTTCATACTTTCATCTATAACAAGCTGCACTTCTGTGGCTTTTATCAGGAATGATCCACAGGCACTGAAAGCCTCTGAGACTGTTTCTTCTTCAAGTCCAAGAACTTTGAATCGATCTGCAAGTTTGGCCATTCCCTTCATTTCTGCCAGATGGTATGCTAAGCTTTGTCCAACTGATAGAAGATGTTTTAGAATTAGCTTCTGAATATTAGAATGGCTTAGTTCTATTGAGTGCCCAAGCTTTTTTATTCCTTTGTCATTTAACTCTCTTAACAGAAAATTTTCCAATGTATCAGAAGCTACACCGAGTAACAACAGTTCTAAAAAGTCAGCTGAAAGTGATCCTTCTGGAAGGGATTCTGCATGCTTTGAAAGTTTTGACTCAATTTCTAATAAGTATATGTTTTCCCAAGCTTCTATGATAGAACGCATTGTTTGAGATAAATAGTCCAGTAATGATACGATGTGTCCATGTTTCAGTGACAAAGCATGAAGCTCTCGAGATCTGGATGACAAAATTCTTGTATCCAAAATCACAAGTTTTAACTCTCGTTTTGTTGCATCACTGCCTCCTTCATGAGGTGCATTCTTAGCATATTCTTTTTTGCCCTCAACATTATCACTTGGTAAAGTGGTTTTTGATTTGTTACTTGTCTGACAAGCTTTTTCAGCTGTAGAAGGCAGTTCTTTATCAACTTCTGGATCAATGGTGTTTCCTTTTACAACAGACTCACTTTCTTCTTTGGTCGACTCAAAATATAATTTTTTGTTATCAATTGCTACCAATAAATATATTGATTTCATATCTGAGCTCATTTCCGCATCCAATACTGAAATATGTTTATTATCATTTTCATCTTCAATTAGATGTTTTTTAATGTTAATTACACCACAAGAGAAGAGGCCAAAAACACTCAAGTATATGTTTCCATCACTTGTTCCAATAAGTAAGAAATTTAAATGTGTTTGATCTTTTATTCTTTTGGCATCTTCTAAGTTTTCTTCAGCATTCTCGCCCATGGATCCATAACTACGTGAAAGAGAAGGAAGTTTGGGCAAGAAATCAGCTGTTCCATCCTAGAAACAATAATTTTCTATTAAAACAAACAAAACACGGTTTACTAATAATTTAATCTCTGTTTGGTTAAATAATACTCAGTTTGCAGGATAACAACTTAATTTTTTATTTGAACAATGTTTTAATAAAAATAGAGCTATTCTCATCTTAATGGAACATTATTCAGATTTTTGTTAAATTTTATAATTGTACTAAATAATGTGTGTTACTCCAAATAATTATGAATCGTTCCATTAGTCGGGGCGATTTTCAAGTTAAAGGGTCGTTTGTGAATATAGCTCTGTAGTTTGCAAGTACACCGCAACAAGGCGGCTTGCTTCTTACTGGCATCATTTCTGAACAGAATCATGCCATTTGCAGCTCTGTAGCTGGCGTGTACGCTTTGCTGTGTGTCTAGAAAATGTTTTTAATTATTTAATCTCCCGCCGCATGCAAGGTTAGGTCAATTAATAAATTTTTGACTGCAATAAACATATCCAATGCAGACATTCATTGCCACATGACAGGTTTATGGCACTGATGTTTAAAAATGGTCATGAAAATGGAAGAAATTGTGTTTTTGATAGGTACCCACACAGAGGACCAAAAAGAAAAAAAACTAGTGTTTTCAAAATGGTACTGGAGACAAAACATGAGTATCTCATATCACCTCTGAATCCAAGCAACAACTCATGGAATGATGGTGTCAATTTCGAAGTCAAAGTCCCATTAAGGCAGTGGCGCCAGGGAGAACAGAACAAACAATAGAAAGCCAACCCAGCAAACAAAGAAAGAGAAAGTAGTTTGGCAGACCTTCCCAGTATTCTAAACGAAGTTGGTTTTGAAACCACTTCTTCACTAAAATCGAAGTCTCTTCGGCCAAACTATCGAACAAACTAGTGTTCTGCCTTAGTAACACTAGGATCTACAAGATCTTGAAAGGATCTACTTCGCTGTTGCACATTATATTAGTTGTTAAAAGTGGACAATTCATTTTTTCATTACTTGTCCTCGCTAATTGTTATTAATTGAACTGTTTGCAGATTACTTCTATGAACTCTTCATCAAGTCAGAATTTCAAATAAAAATTGAATCTAGTTTTTTAGTTGCCTTTTTATAGATTGCACACATTTTACTTTAGACCTAGTTTACATCCAAAAATGAAAAATATAAATATAATTTTGAAAGATAGATAATGTAGTTTGGTATTTACCAGGGAAAAGAAAAGCTATAAATTCATCTGTAAGAACACAATGGTTTAGTGAAACTTAAACAAATAAACACTTTTTCCTTCCTCTAAGCAGCCAACCTAAACACTCATTAAAATCTAATGTAATTTAAATGTGGAATAAGTTTGTCTTGTTTTATGGAAATATTTTAGTAAAAATCCAATCAGACGAATTGATATTCCTGATATATTGATATTGATATGCCTCGTAAGGGCGGCCCGAGCGTTCTTCATCATATACGCTTTTTAAATCCCTAACCCATTTCCACACATTATCCTAACTTATTGTATAGGGCCGTAGGCTTCAGTCATCTGTTAAAGAATGTCTGCATTGAATATGCTTCTTGCAGTCAAAAACATATATTCACGCCACCTTAGGTAAAAGGAGCAAGACCAGGGGGGTACCTACAGCTTAAAAAAATACACATTATTTTGAGATTACCTTAGTTTATTGTAGTAATTGCCCTGAGAAACCTCTCCTGTCATCATAATTATAACTGTGGAATAACTGCTACGCATTTAATATTTCTTATAGATTTGTCTCCGTCATCATACCAACCCACCTGGACCCCATGGTCATCTTACTCCACTCGACTGAATGTTGCCTACGCTCCTCGTTATCTGCAGCCCGATGGCAGTGTTGCTATCATCAATGATCAATTTCCCGTGAATGGAATAAAATTTCCCTAGACTAGGGGAGAAGTGGCCCCCTTCAAGACACACAGCAAAATGTAAACATCAGAGCACTCCGCCTCGTTGAGGCATACATGCGAACTACAGAGCTGTGCGTAAAAAGGGGCCTTACTTAAAAAAACACATCTTGTAGGTAAAAATTTGATCGTTAGTGCTCTAATAACCTTTTATTTAAAAATACTAAGAACAAACTTTTTTAAGTACGTAGGGCTGTTTTTTAGGTAAGGCCCGGTTTTGCGTATAAATCCATAGTTCACTTGTACGCCACAACGAGGCTCATCATCATTTATTGGCATTATTTGTGAACAGAATGACACAAACTTCACCTTTCATGTAGCTTTCATGTACACTTTGCTTGTGTTTTTAAAAATGTGTAAACATCAAATCTACTGCCGGCATTGCGTCTGTGGTAAGGTCAGTGACATGTTTTTTTATTACAAGAAACATATCTGATGCCAATATTCATCGCCAGATGACTAGAGATTATGATCCTGATTCAAAGACAGCGTGGAAAGTGCAGAAATAGATTAGGGCGTTTTAAAATGGCCGTAAAAATGCTCATTTCGGAAGTAATTATGTTTCTGGTGGGTACCCAGACTTCTCAAAGGAAACCACTAAGAAAAGAGGACTTTACAGCCATTATTACACTCCATAACTCATTTCTGCACTTTATCCTCACTCATTGCATTAGGGACATCACCTTCAGTCATATGGCGATGAATGTCAGTATCAGATATGTTTCTTGTAATCAAAAAACTTATCACTGATCTTACTTCGGACGCGGCGGGAGATTTGATTGTTTAAAAAATTTTAAAAACACGAACCAAAGCGTACATGACAGCTACCAAAGCTGAAATTTGTATCATTCTGTTCACAAATGATGCTAATAAATGCTGGTGATGAGCTTCGCTGCGGCGTACAAGTGAACTACAGATTTATAAGCGAAACCGGGCCTTACTTACAAACCACCCTCGTATTATTTTTCTTCTTACCTGGTTATGGCCCCCCACAGTCTGGGGACAGTCTGTGCTCTCTTGGAGCCACACAAGACTAGTGATGTCATCAGACACATTCAATGTATGAAGAATGTCCTTATTCTCCACATCAACCAAGGACACTGATCCTTTTACTTCCTCACCACCAGGTGATTCTACAATGAAACAGAAAATTTGAGTATTGGGATCAGTTGTATTGAAGAAAAAATAAACTCACACTTCCTAGGCTGATTGGGTCCTGAATGAGCTTAGAGCAAAAATAGCTGGGTAGTGGAGTGATTAGGACTTGCCTAGTAAACAGAGGGTTATTGGTTCAACTCTGACCCAGCTTGAACATTGGGTTTTGAAAAACAGCTGGTCCTGGGTAAAAAAACTGGTTTTGGTTACTAACAAAGCACTAAAATTCATCCCACCCACATTACAATCTGCCCTATATAATAAATTGTTTAAATTAATTTGATATGAAAAACACTTTGATGTAATTTAAGCTAAGAAAGGTGTTAAATTCTTAAAATAAAATTTAGCCTTACCCTCCATCCTTTAGAATCCTGTGTAGTTTTTGATGAATCAAACTTTTAAAAGAAGGAAGGGGGAAATATTATTTTTATTATTTATTATTTTTTTAAATTATATTATTATTTCCGCATGAGGGAAATATTATTTAAAAAGTACAGTAAAATAAAATTGTTTATCTTATCTTGTTGCCAAGAAGCTAGTTAATAATACTGTACCATGTAAACAAAGTCTTAAATCACAAAAATAAAAATAAAACGGTATTTCAAGATAGTTTGACATACTGAAAAACAACAATTGATTTAGAAAGTATATTGTAATACAGTAATTGTATTATTAATAAACAAGATAAGTGCTACACTCATAAATGCAGCAAACAGAGAAACTTCATTTTTATCATAATTCCAAAACTATTTTGGATAGGTTATGTTATTATTCTAGAGAAATAAAAAAACTATCATGGAAATGAATTTGCACTGTGTTTAAACTCTGGATCTTACAGCATTTTTTTAGAAAGTTTAGCACCCATTAAAAAAAGCATATATGACACATTCATAAGCAAACGTCTAGCAGTCAAGCAACATCTTTTACGTTTAGGCAACTGGTGGAATTACCTGCTGTCAAGTGATCCCATGTCCTTGAAAGGTGACCAGTTTTGATCCTCAGAGGATCATCTTCAGATGAACATCGTCATCTTTATTTCGTTCTTACAAACACAAATGCAATAAAGGACCATTCATGACAACAATTGAGGAATTCAAAATATACAAGGCCGTAAAACAGGACTCGCCAAATGTTTTTAACGAGAAGCTCTCTTTTGCATCAAATATATTTGATACAGCAATAAAAATAGTCAAGAATGGGTAAAAACTAAAACGTGAACCTGATAAAAAAGATTAGGAAAAGGGGTACAAGGAAAAAATGACACCGGAATGCAGTGGTCAGTCTAGATTCTACTTCCGTGTTGCCCACTGCGTAACCGGTTTAATAGTTTTGGTTTCTTTATGCGTTTTGTGTATGTGCATGACTAAATGTATAAAAAAGTGTGTTTTTTTTATCGACGTGTTTGTAGGAACAAAATAAAGATGACGACGTTCGCCTGAAGATGATCCGGTGAGGATCGAAGCCAGTCGCCCTTCAAGGTCATAAGGATCACTTGACAGCAGGTGATTGCACCAGTACACGTATTCATCAGTGATTCGGAGGCTTAACTCAAGCAAAAGTAAGACATCTTTTAGTTCATGGATCGGCTTTTTTTTACATAAGCTTTATTGTAGTGTGATGACTGATGATAGGAGCAGAGTGATTGAAATTACAAATAATATTAGTAAGAGAGGATACAAGTTTTGATAAGATAATATTTTATCCACAAATAAGAATTTAATCCTGGATTACCAACATGTAGTGCACGGACTAGTATAGTCAAGTCCCACAAACTCGGCACTTTTTTATAACCCGTCAGTTTGGATTCTTCAGCAAACCCGTAACGCATTTCTACACAAGTTCAGAAGAATTCCACACTGTTGTTATTTATGACCCTAGTGGCAAACTAAGGAAAATGTTACATCTCATATTTAGGCTACTCTGTACATTCATTGCTTTTGCCATTTAAACATTGTGCTACTCGCAGATACAGTAGCTAGTAGCACCTCTCATACGAATACAAGCCCCTGGCCCGATGACGATTTGGTAAGATTATAAAAACAAGTAGGATGATTATTTATAAAAACAATAGTTTATCGTTTTTATCGTTTTTACCTAATAATTATGTGTAATCAATAAGTAAAGTGCAGTCAAAAGTAGTGTTTAAGTCTCTTTTTTTGAGTTTAGGCCTATTTAAAAAAATCATATTTGTAAAACCAATACAACACTTTTTTACAAAAAGGTGGTTAAGTAATTAAGTCTAACAAAAAGTACTGTAAATTAATATAAGATAAACTTATGTAAAATAAAGATGGAGGCAAAAGTTACTCACAAAATTGTCTTTGAAGATTACTAGTCCTCAAAATGGTCTGTAATTTTTTGCTTAACTTTTTGTCCATTTTTTTTATCAAAACAAATTTACTATACTATAGGCCTACTAACCCCACTGATATCAACCAAATGTTAAGAGGTTAGGGCTACTCACTCTACTAAGTAGTAATAACAGTAAAAAGTAAACGAATAAAACTTGTGAGGATGTATATTAGTTCATATAGGGGCGGTTCACGAGCTCGGGACAATCGTAGTCCGAGCCCAGAATCCGGAAATAACCGGTATTTGGGCCGCGACTTAAAAAATCGGGTTCACGAGCTCGAGACTATATAAGCCGCGGACCAAACTGATAGGCGGCACACAATTAGTGCAGGGATAAAACCCGGTTTTAAAAGTTGGGTTCACGAGTCCAATTACAGATAGTGCCGGCTCTGATCATTAGTCCCGGTGGGTTCACGAGTCAAGTCCGAGCCCAAATGAGATGGTTCGGGCCCAAAAGAACAATGGTGTTTGGTCTCCAACTCAGACCTGGTAGGAGGCAGGTTTAACGTGAGATGATGCCGGTTTTATCTAATTAGCTCCTTTATTTTTATTATTTGTTAAAAACTAATGTTTAAATATGGTTCCTCATTAAATTCCGAACAGTTTCATTACCCACAACACCATATTTAAAAAATATGTAAAAATGGTAAAAAGGATCATAAAACATGAAAAAAATCATAAAACAACTTAAAACTACAGATAAATTATGCACGTAACAAAGTAGTATCATAACAAAGATATTTTACTGATAAACCCCTTGTTATTACAATTTTAACGACAAAATTATGCGTAGAATATAAACATAACTAATCAGCCACAGTTAAACCATCGTTATCCAACATAATTATCAGAAATAGTTTTTTGCCGTGGGGAACATCAAGCAAACCGTCAGTCGTTGAGTACGGTTCGCGGTGATATCACCGTCTTGTGTTGTACTCACTGGTCGCCGTGTGTATTGAATATGACTATGAAATATCTATACTGTATTATGTTAACAATTATGTACCATCACTCCACTACCTCGCATAGGACCAGCTCGTTATCATGACTAAAACCCTTTTATGACTTGATGAATTTAAAGATAGATTAAAATGTTCCAAAGATGCCGTCAATGAGTCATTTGAGGCGTTCACTCCAAGGCACGGATTTCCCGACAGCAAAATCCATTACAGTATTCTAAATTGAAAAAAAAATGTCAGTTGCACTAATATTTTTGGCTGATGGCACTTTTCATCGAGAAACTGGTGATTTATTGGATGTTAGTAAAGTTTGGATGGTAGCTATTTGTTTGGTAATGAGAGCAGAACAAATCAAATTTTTAGTTCGAAACTATGCCCAAAGAAAAAAAACTGTTTTCTTACTAGTAAATATAATATAATACTAGTAAATCCTTCCTACCTAGTAAATATAAACGCATTGTAATGAAACTGATTTTAAAAATCGCAACAACACAAAATGTAAATTAAAAACCATAGCTGTTAACATAAATAATATTACGAGCTAATGCAGAATATTATTTTCAACATTTTACAGTTAGATTATTATAGAGTGGAAGAATAACGGAAAGAATATTCTTTGTTTACAGCCACGATTAAATCCAGCACACACATACGATTTTTATATCTAATAATCAGTACCTCTAAATACATTTTAGTTTCAATAATTGTACCATTTAAATAAGTTTAGTTAAAATTATCCTATCCAAAAATCACCATCCTTAATTATCGGGCATTTATGCAAAATAGGCATTCATCCGGTTATAAATAGGTCTACCCGGTTATTTTCTGTCATGCATCTTAATTGAATTATAATAATGCACACAGAAAAAATATATTTCACTAAAGACTTCCATTATCTGATTTCATACAAACGTGGATTGTTGTGTTTATAAATCAATAAACTTAGATAGATTATCATAGGCGAGCATTGGGACAATGAAATACGGGAAAAATAATCGGTTTGGACGTTTTGGTTGGAAGTGCGTATGTCAACCATCGATGTATATAACCATAACTCGTTAGGTTATATACATCTATGATGTCAACAGCAGTGGCTTCACATGTGTTTCCAGACTGTTGTTACTGGTTGTTACCAACGTCTCAACAGAAATTCCCTGCGAATCCCTGTCATTAGGCTCCGCTATGGATTTGGTCCCGACCTACAATGGGCCCGGCTTTCACATCATTAGGCTCTGACTCGTGAACCCATTTTTTGGTCGTCGCTTATATAGTCCGGGACCAACGTCTGGTCGCGGACTATGAAGTCCCGAGCTCGTGAACCGCCCCATAGTGTATATTAGCTCTTGGCGGTGACTAGTGTATGCAACTACACGCCTTTAGCTCGAGGGAAGTGCATTTGGATATTAATTGGCATCTGAGAAGTGGGCAGATAAACCGAGGACAGGTAAAACTGAGGCCGGATATCTAGGGTAATAGTATTAATATTAAGGCCAGGAAAAAAAAGCCACAATTATCTTGTGACTAGAGCGCTAGCCTAGCCTAGCAGGTCGGTCTGACAGTCAGAACCATCTTGAATTATTATACCATCTCAAAAATACTTAAGTAATGAACCTTTTTATAGTAAGTACAATTTAAATATGGTCATGTTATGTAACTGCAGTATTTATTCATGAGAGGAAAAAGAAAAATGTACCATATATTACATTTTGAATTTTCCCCCCTTTTTCCATATAACCAGGCATTTCCTAAAGTTGCCAACCTTTCGCCCCACAATACCAAAGAGTTAGTGGTACTTTCATAATACTACTTACTTGGCACATAGGCAACTGCAATAACTCTGCCATCGGGCCGCCAAGCAAGCTTGCGAACAATAATGTCGGGGGACGGAGGCGGCAGCAACCACACTCTTTGCCATGTTAGACGATGTAGAGCGATCTCTCCTGTAAAATTAATGTATAGTTAATTTATAATTTTTTTTAATTGTCAGCATATTAAACTTTTTAATATTTCGGTTGATAATGAGATTCAATTTGATTACAATAAAATTTGCTATGTAAAATAAATCAACCTCATTCCAGTTTATGGTTTGAAATTTACTGTGCTGCTTTAAGGGCTAGGGTATCACAACTGTGCAAACACAGGAAAAAGAGCATCTTTAGACCTATACCAATTTGTGAGGAAGTTTTTTCTAGACGGTCAACTCACTTTTCTGATCGGACGTAAACTACCAACAATACAACATGCATTCGTAAATATACAAATTTAAGTAGTTGGGGCTATTAGAGTCCTCCCCTCCACCTTTAATCTCCGCAACACACCCGTTTGATGGTATCGGAGGCTCAACATGCCCATCCAGCTTACCCGAGGCTCAACACCCCCATTTTGGGGATGCTGGGGGCTCAACACGCCCACCCAACAGTACACCAGGCTCAGCACACCCATTAGGTGACCCACGGGCTCAACACTTACTTACTTTTAATACTTTCCTGGAGGCTTTACTGATTTCGTAGTGATAAACACCCTTGTATTAAGCCCACCACATGGTACCCAGTTGTGGAGGGTAAGTTTCTCATCCCTCCCAATGGAACATTTCTCCCCACCTTTGGAGCCATTTTGTGTTGTTTCAGAATACTGTTTTCCCCTTAGTCTCCAAATTGTGGGTCAAAATCAATTCTTTACAAATTGTTCTAAGGTTTCACTGAACAATTTGTCAAAACAACCTTCATGGGATATCTCTCGATAACATTCCTTAGATTATGTTTCAATGCTGTGCTGAGCTTGTGTGCATTAAGCCGGCTCCATTCGCCATGCGCCATGTGCCAAGCACCGAGCAGCGACTTGCCGAATCGCAAGTAGGTAGTGTGGATAGGTGTTTGTCTATTTGGCAAGCAGCAAATGCTCGTGTTCGTGTTTTCCAATTCATTGTCAGTATTTTTGCACACATCAAAGTGAACGAATATTTTTTCTATTCCCGAAACAAACTTGTGTAGACATCTACTCGTTAATCGGCGAATTGCAAGACAACTAGATCACCGACTGTCAAATATTTTGTGCTTTGCGAATGGTGCATGTCTGAAGCCGGCTTTAGTGTGAAAATATCTAAAAGATCTGACCCTGGTAAGGATTCTGATACAAGTGTCAGGGATTTAAAAATAGAAATACCTTTTCTTGATTTATTTTTATGAAGATATATTAAGCAAAGTTTCACTAAGCTAACGTAATAATTTCAATATTGACTGAGTTATGAAGCTTTACCATTTAAATGTATAAATCTTTTTAATCCATAAGGTGATTTTTTTGTTTATGTCAACTTTCTCTCCTACCATTCAACTAAACTGTATCCTTACAGTTTTTATAATCCCTCTGCATGGCAATTGAGTGACATGTGTGCATTCTTAAAAATATTTTCCAAAAACTTTGCTGGTAAATTGGTTCTCATAGTATATTGTCAGTAGAAGACCAAATGTTGAAACAATTCTGCTGTAATAGATTTCTTGCCATTTTTTTTTTTTTTTGCATCAATGTTGAACGTGAAATGATTTCGATCCAAGAAGATCTAAGTGAATTCCCCATGGGGGTTTGGCTGATTATAACAAATAGTTGAAGAGAAGAGCTAACCCTCACCTTTGGTATTAGAGAGGGCCAATAAATCCATCTTGTTGGACCACACCATGAGGTCAACCTTACTGGCTACATGTCGCTCCTCCAGCTGTCTGATGATGTGGCCCGACATCTTATCCTTAGGCTCGGGCATTTCTTTTTCGGGAGTTTTCATCTGTAAAAACAACAAACATGTTTCAGTTTTCACTCAAGTTAAACTTAACATAACTTCCTAATCGAAATTTCAATGTCCACATTCTTTGATTAAGTGACAATAAGACTAGAATTGAACTTTGCTGATCCAAACTGATTATGTTCAAAACAAGTTGCGATTAGCGAAATTAAATATAAGCAGTTTTGTTAACCAAACATCTGATGTGTCAAAAACGAATGAAAACTACAATCTTTTAGACATTCGATTCAATCCCCATGTTAAAGTTGTCGCTAGTTTTTTAAATCAAATTTGTGGTAGTTTATATGAGCCACCCACAGATTGCGCTGATCTAAATAACTAATTTTTAACGAATACATGACGTTTTTTACCAAGTTAAGCAGATCAAACGACTTATTATGAGCTAAAGCAACTGTTATGACCCATCAAATATGTCAGCAACAAAAAATAACTTCTGCATCCAATAGTTAATGCTAAAATTTAAACTGCACTGTAACTGGTGTGACTATAATTGTATTTCTAATCAAAATGTGAAATGTAAAATAGTAGCGAAGATATTGAATTCCTAAGGAAAAAATCTGCCTCTATGTTACTACAGTGTTGGCAAAACTTTCAGAATCTTTTGTAATCCCCAAAATGCATTTCATACAGAATACCCAAAAATTCCAATAATAAAAAGTCGTTTTCCTGTATCTAGATTGAGATGTGCACCATGCTCGCTAGTTTCGATAGGCGGGTCTTGATTGGATGTGAACTCTTCTGTAGGCTACAGTAAAATGTGAAGGTCTCACAATTACTTCATTTTAAGGCTATGACAATACAACTGACCGTTTTTTTTTTTTTTTCAGTCATGACAAATTTGTGTTATAAAAATTCAGAAGAAAGGTATGACAGCAGGTATTATCCAAATTTGTTGCACAGTCCCTGTTTGTAGTAGCTGATTTCAATTTAAATTTCTTTATTCACTAAGAAGTAAGTTATAGATTATACAGAATTTTAATAGTGCCAAAGATTACTTATTAATATTAATTAAAAAATACAACTCCCTATATAGATAATTTGTCTGATTATCTACCGTATATATATATTTGGTCTTATCTACTGCAATAGTTTCATTCTTCTCTAGCCACATAAATAAAAAATTTGTTCTCTTTTTCTTTACTTCTCCATGTCATACGAGGGTAATGATATCCAATAAACTCCTTTTGCAACGTAGAGGATTGTAAGCCTGGTTTAGATTAAGCCACTGTAATTTTAATTTCTGAGTCAGCGAGAGAATATGTGAAAGATTGCTAAACTGAAAGAAGATAACTCTAAGACTCCTGTATACAACTACTTTAACCTGAGGTCAGACTACTATCAGCATAGACAAATAGAATAAATATAGACTGTCGAAGGAAGGTTCCGGCGCCCACCGCTAGGAGTGCCGTGTAGTTACGGCGCACACTGCTGCAGGCGAGGAGCGCAGGAGCCGTATGCGACCAGCAGATGCTGCAGAGGTGTGCGCCGTAACTACACGGCAAACCTAGCGGTTGACGCCAGAACTTATGCTAACCGCAACACAGCTGATGGTCTATATTTATTCTATTTGTCTATGCTATTAGACACCCAATCCTTAAGGAAAATTTCCACTTATGGACATCTGAGGCCATTCTCATCGCACAAGTATGGACACCTACAAAACCCTTCTGCAAACGTTTTCCATACCCAAACTCTTATCTTCAAAATAGTCAATAATTGACAATAATGTGGATTTCAATAGGGATTTAACTTGTAAAGCAAATTTAATCTAATCACAGATCACAATTCACACTCATGAAGAATCTCAACATCAACTACCATTGTGAAAAGCTGATATATCAATACTGAAACATCAAGGTGAGGTCTGCTTAGAATAGTGAGAGGAAGAAGTGAGCGGTGCTGCACTCAGATGTAAACTAGTTGCTTGAGACCATAGACAAAAAGAATGAAATATAGACTGTCAGCCGTGCTGCGGTTACCATGGTTACCATAAGTTCCGGCGCACACCGCTGTAGTTTACGTAGCGCGTACGCTGTAACTACCGTGGCGATCCCAGCGGTGTGCGCCAGAACCAATGGTAACCGCAGCACAGCTGACGGTCTATATTTAATTCTTTTTGTCTATGTTGAGACCTTAATGTCCAGACAGCTGATGGTGTACAAGTGTGTTTTTCCAGTGATTTTTTCAGATTCTATCATAGAGCACAGTTGAGGTGCAAGCTATTAGCTGTTAATATTAATAAAGTATTTCTTAACAATTCAAGATAAACTGGTTGAGGCACATTTATATCTGATCATTTTATAAACTTAAAAAGGAAAACCTTTCAGATTCATTCAATGGTTTAAAAATTCTAAGCATATTACCAAATTGCACATCAAACTGGATGGATAAAGGTATAGATGAAAAAGTTTATAGTTAAATGCAAGCTCACAAAGAGAGAATGAATTTTAACCAAAACATATTTCAGGCCTTTTCAAATAGGTTATTATTTTTTTTTTATTTATATCAGTGTTGATTGCCTTTACCTTTTTCCTATCACAATACAGCTAAATTACCTTCCTATGTCAAAGTACAAAAGGAATCAGAGTTTTTACAATTTACAGTTTGTACAATAATCACATTATAGTTTTAAGGATTGATAACTGTACAAATGAATGTTCACATAACATAACAGTGAACACGTATTTAATAATATATCATAATACAAAACTTAAGTTGATTTCATTAGGCCTATCAAATGATTATGGTCAGGTATGAATTTTAAAACTCATTACATGATAAAAGAAATATTTAATACTAAACCATAATGTATACAAAATAGTCTTCATTTAACTGCAAAGTAATTAATCATGGAGTTGTGTAAAAAATCTTATAGGTAGAATCTTAAAGGTAGTCGGGTCCATGAGGGTGATGTCCATGTCAAGCATAGGTCAAGCCACATCTGGTAACAAGAGGTCAGGGTCACAGTTGATCAACTTTTTAAATGTTGTAATAGGTAGTCTAATTATTTTACCGTGCATTTTTACAGCCACAAAAATATCTTCTGAGACTTCACTTTCTTCGTCAGGTGGACACAATTGCTTTTGAAATCTATGAGGTGATTTTTGTTGGATCCTCTCCAATAGAGGTGAAGTGTTTTTCGGAGGAGGCAAACGATATTCAGTTGACTTTCGTGCCGTTTCTTTAATCTGGGGTGGTCTCAGGTTCTCTTCCAAAGTCCCATTACTTAAGTAAATCTCTGTATTCTCCTCATTCGATTCACTTTCTTTTTCGGCTTCAGCTAATTCTTCTTCAGTGATTTTCCTTCTTACTCCTGATTTTAAAATGATGATAATATTTCTTTTTGCCTTTTCCATGTCAGTATCAGAGCCTTTGAAAATTGTCGGTTTTGAAATAGAAGAAGGATGTTTGTTCAGGATATGACTCTTGAATTCTACTGCTGATGGAAACCGGCTGGTGCATTCGTTACAAACAAAAGTATCAAAATGTCCTTCCATGTGTTTAACAACAAGCCGAAGTTTAGGACTACTGTATGAACAGTTGAAACATTGGTAAGAAAAGGAACGTTCCGATGTAGTTGTGGAAATGAGTTGGGGTGATTTTTCTGACACACTAGATGAGGAAGGAGAATTTTGGTGAGAAAATATAACAGGTTTTTGAGACTCAGCAACAATGTAAATGATTTTTTCGGACGGATGATTCTGTGCAAAATGACTTTTTAAGATATCTATAGATTTAAACAGAACTTCAAATTTACACAGAGAACACTTGTATTTAGGCACTGACACAGATGTGACGAGGAATCGCTGGTACACAGAGTGCTCATACCTACAGTGTTCCCTTAAACCTTTTAAATCACTCCTTTTTTTACACCAATAACACTCATAATCAAGTTCCGTATTGATAACTGTATTCCTAAAGAGAAAGTTCAAACCACTATTTTTATGCGTATCCATCCAATGATGGTTTAATGTTTTTCGGTTTAAGGCAGTACAATTACAATACATGCAATTGTATGCATCTTTGAATGTTTTAAAAAGTGTCTTGACCATGGGAGGCTTATCTGGGTGGATTTTCTTGGCATGGGTTACTATGGAATATTTATATTTTGCTGTCATATTACAGTATTCACAAGAGTACATGTGGCTGGAAGGAGATCTGGCTCTTCTCCACTTCTTTCGACCTCTCTCCTCATCTGAGGTGTAATTGGCTGCCTCCTGGCTTGAAGGAGATGTTTCAACTACTGTAACTGTGCTGATGGCCTGAGGAGGGGGAGTGGTGGCCTGAGATGAAGAAGATACGGTCTCAGTTGATCTACGACGTTTACGGCTTTCCTCAGTCTTGTTCCCTTCAGGAATAAGGCTCTGCTGTCTCGATAAAACTCTATCCACCCAGTATTCCAATTCTTCATTTGCATTTATCTCTATATATTCAGAAATTCTCGCCAATTCTACGTTGTGAGCTCTATTGATGTGTTTCATCATCCTACTTCGCATTGTGCTGCCAATTTTACATATTTTACACATGATCGGTCTGAAGTCTAAATCTCTAAACAGATGTTCTTTCATTTCTTGTCGGTTTTTGCAAACGTACGATGTTGGACACCTTGGACACATGAAGCTAGTACCAAAAGTAGTAGCGGGGTTCCAAAATGACCAAATTTAAGTTCTAAAAGGTCCAAGCCGTCAATGGCAGTTGTCGCTGTCACTACTGGTGGAGGATGTTTATCTAAATCCTGAGGCGAAAACTTGGTCTTGGACTCTACTTTGGCTTTAGACTTGGGTGCTGGTTTTTTTCCAGGCTTTCGCTTGTCTTTGCCATGAACAACAAAAAAGTCCTGTTCAGGGTCTGTTTTGTCTCGGTCAACCGGTAAAACATAGGTGGTCAAGAAGTGATGAATCGTCTTCATATGATAGTTGACTTTGGTCAAACTCGATTTGTATTTACATAAGGCGCACGAGTATAAATTGGGTCCATGGATTAAGAGATGATCGATGTATTTGCTTATGTGCTCTCTTATGAACTCTTTGCGACAATAAGTGCAGATCAATTTTGGAGATCCCCTGGACAGCTCACAAAACATCAAATGTTCTCTTAAAGGTCTTGAGTTGGTTGTTTTATAGTCACATCTCTTATTTCCGCATCTGAAGTAGGGGATGTAATTAGATTGATTCGGTTCTTTGTTATTATCTTGACTGGGAACATATTCGTCACTCACGGCAGGTATGCTCAGCTGGGTTGAGTTGACCACAGTCACTACCTCCACTGGTGTAGGATTGGGTATGGAGGCAAGTAGTTGGTTGTTTCCAGGAGCCACTATGTTAGTAGCATATTTAGTAAGAGTAGGACATTTTGACCTAAGTATTATTGGTAACTGTCGAAGTTCTTTGTTCAAGTCTTGTAGGGAAGTTGCTAGATTGGGAAAGTTTTGGTTTGGTGAAGTCGGACAAGTTGTTGCCATGACTTACCATTATGACAATAATTCAGTTTAAGTTGATTTCAGCTCATCGATTCTGAAACAAAATTAAAATTGTTTTATAATCACCATTAATTTGATTAAAATGTTATTCTATTAAATTAAGTAATTTTTCTTAACTTAACCTACACCAATCTCTACATTTGTAATACAAAGGAAAAGAAAAATTTGGTCACCGTTTGAATATATATTAGGCTAATACTGTATAAGTTTGGCATAATAGCCTAAGAATCATTTTAAAGCTCAATTTGGATGATTCTGTTAAACACGTCTATTTACTGAATTATGATTCATAACTGTAGAGTCTATACATTTTTGAACTTAATTTTTTTATAAAAATTTATTCTCATAGAATAGAAACGTTCAAAACCACAGTTTTAAAACTAGAATGAATAGTCTTTGCTTATACGAGCCTCAATCTTAAATTATATGAAAAGAAACATTCCTGTGCAGGTATTAGATTTTATAATGCTCTTTCGGTGAATTTAGAATTATTAATCAAAAAATCATTTAACAAATCAATAAATCATTAATAAAAAACAACAACGGAACATTGGGGGGTTCATTGCGGAGTTACGAGCTGATGCAGCCAAATTTTATAATTATTATCGACGTCAATAATAGGCCCTTACCCACTTCAGAACTATTGTATCAGACGTCATTGCTACTCTACGAGGAACTAATAGGGTAAGTCCTATATGCAACTGTGTGAGTGCGTGTGCATATCCGCCCTCCGTGCATGCGCATAATTGTTTGACCTCGTTTTTGCTTTAGACAAAATATTGGAGGCGATCACAAAAACACCCAAAGATGTCTTCAGACAAAACAATGCGTCTGATGCCTCTGTCTCATCAGTGTGTGATGCTTCCATTTATCTGCATGGTAGGCCACTCGCTCCCAACGTCTTTCGACAAAACATTTTGTTGAAAGACGTTTTGTCCGATCAGTGTGCGGCCGGCCTTAGTAAACCCACCATTCGATTGTGCTACGCGACGGAACCTCACAATGCCAAACCTAATTGGAAGAATGCACAGAACTGCTGCTGAATTAAAATGAATGAATCATTACTTTTTTACAGGGTGTCCACAGAAAATTTGTCATTAATTCCCATGACTTTCCATGACTATACATGACCATTTAACATTGATTTCCATGACTCACGAATTTTATTTGAAAATTATATACAACATACGTACACACGTATAATACTGCCTAGACAAGTAATTTCAAAGAAAATACTGAAATATATATTAACAAATAACAATGGAGTAATAAATTTTGCAAAAATATGGTATCCAAAATAAGGGAAAAAAGAAGAAAACACAGCCTCCTCCGTTCCCGTAGCTGGCCAAGTTCTCTCTCCACTTTCTTTTTTCCTTCCGATATACTTTTGATTATTGATTTTTATTGAGTTTAGTGTTTACTAAATTTAGCTTTTAACTTAAGAAAGACTTAACTTTAAGACAACTCAAAACATTATAACAATAGCCTATTATTTATATTCCAATTTGAGTTGTAATAATAAAGTTGTAACATTTCAATATACACTACTGTTCTAACAATATTCTACAAATATTAAATTTGATTATAATATATAGTAGGGACAGATTGTATTGAACTATTACAAACTCAAAACTCATAAACCTATACAAATGTAATAAATTAAATTGTCGTGCATTTGTGAAAAATTAAAAAAAATGCTACAATAGTCGGGGTTATGGCGGACTAGAGCATTGAAAAGTCCCGTCAAACCTTTCCATCATTGGGGATTTCCATGACTTTCCATGACCTTTTGTCTATTTTTATGACTTTCAATGACCAGAATTGATTTCCATGACTTTCCCTGACTATCCCTGACTTTCCAGAATGTACACCCTGTTTTTAATACCAATCAATAACAAACGTGTGTTACTCAGGCGACCACTGTTATCTACGACTACAGATAATAATGACAGTGTGTGGGCTTTCCAATGAGCCTAACCCTACCACCCTCAGACGACCCTTTGCTGCAAAAATAGATTGGTTTTTTTGCCGCACCCTGTAAGATATGTATGATAGGCTATTTACTAACTTGATAACTTATGTTTTGTCTTTTCGGACTAGATTGTGTCATTGAAACTAATTAGGCCTATAAATTACATTACAAAAGCCTTACATGTCAAAAACCTTACTACTGTACAAAATTTGAAGGTAGGCCTACTTAGGTATTATCCGGAGGCCACTTATTTTATAAGGATTTCTTACCGAACACCAAAAAAAACTAATAATTAAAAAGTCATAATTTAATTGATTTACTGTCCAAATTTGATTTGGCCTATGAGTTCTGCTTCCTAGAGGGCAGCGAGGATTGAGATGAATGTGTCGTCGCCCATAGCTGTCACATGTAGTCCGCCAAGTAGGCATGGCTAAAACACCCAAACCTATATTTAACTTACACTGTTAAAGGCGGGGACACATTTGTCATACTCACTTCCGATCCTACTACGATCCGATTTGCGGGATTTCAGAGGGATCGGTGTCGGATCGGAGGGGGGTGAGCACACATGTCATACACGCTTCCGGCCCGTCTCCGATTTCCTCCACCGGGGGGTCGATCAACACTCGCCAGTCTGATTTGTAAACTACGTGCACAAGGTGATAAACATGTTCAAAAAGCTTTAGACTTCGGGATTCAGCCATGATGGTGGTTTGTCTCATCGATATATACTACGATCGTAGTTATACATCGATGGTTTGTCTAGATGAAGAGGAAGAAAGTCAGTCATCTCCAGAGGGAGTGGAAAACGGAGAATTTGGGTCCATTCTGCATGGAGGGAAGGTTAGGTGGTTTACTTAAGTGTCGTCTTATATAGCCTAATACCTATATATATTAAACACTTTAGTTTTTCTCTCTCGAGTTCGTTTGGCTCTTTTACCCGTCCGATTTTCATGATCGAGGTCTCAAATTGAAGGTTAGGTATGCAAGCACAGATTTCACATCAAACATCGGCACATATTTATCTTAACCCATTATTCTTAAACCTTAAGAATAAAGGTGATTTTTAAGAAACAACCCGTCCTGCATCCGACAAACGAATAGACTGCAGTGTAGGTGCATGATCGGAGTCAAAATCGGAGTAGGATCGGAGAATGACGTGACGCGTGTCAGAGAGGTGTAAACACCCGCCTTCAAAGTTAAGTACCATTCCTCTCTCCGACAGTCGTACCACAGTATGATCGGAGTCGGATCGGAAGTGAGTATGACAAGTGTGTCCCTCCTTAAAGGTCGAGATACAAGTAGGCTGTAAATGTTAGCCAATTTGCAAGATTCCAACTATGTAAGGCGGCGAGAAACAAGGGTAACACAGTTTCTTAACACGTTCGCTGCTGACCGCTAGATGCCGGGACGGCGCCAGGAGCTGAACTAACGCACGCCGCTGCGTAACATTGCCGCCGATACACATGAATTACAGTAAAAACAACAGTGGTTATGCTGGATGGCAATGTTCTGCAATAAAACTGGCTTTGGACATACAGTAGTACTAAGTGATTCTGACAGATAGCAGCACTACTCAGGTTGCAGTCGGTAAAGTAGTGTAGCAGGAAAGAGGTGGGACAAAGTCCTGTTCCAAACGACCCTGGTGGTGATTTTGGGAAACAATATTTTTTATTGTCAGAAAAGTACGTCCCCACCAGCTGCAAAGAAGTATAGGACGCTCTAAACGAGCTGGCTGAACATTAAACAATGAACGGTGATGTTCCGGAACGTTCCTAGCTCCTGGCGCCATGGCCCAGCTGACGTTCCGGAATGTCCGTAGCAGTAAACGTGTTAACTGGGCTATGCTAATATCGTTTGAAACTATCGATTCGATTAGTAAACCTTCATGCGATTTTTTCACAATCAGCAAGTTTGGGTGGTTAGGTTAGATTATGATAGTTTAATTATAGACTAGGCCTAGGCCATCTACCAACAAAACCTGATAAGTTACATACAGATACAGCCAATGTACCTAGCATAACTTAGTTAGACCTAATTGAATAGGCCTAAACTATAAAAATTGACAATACTAACCAAATAATATTGAGTGATTAAATCGTCTCGTCTACGAACTAAAACTAAACAATCAGTCACACAATTATTCACAAGCTATGGTTTATACCGTTTATGGACTTTTTTAACTTTTAGGTTAGACACCGGTTTCTTCCGATTCCGAGTTCCGTTCCGAAAAACAAATAAACAAATAAAAATAGCACAACAAAAACACACTTTGCATAGTTTGATGAGAAAGCAGGCACAGTTGTGCAACCATGCAACCCTGAAGCTTTTCCACCGGTAAGTTAACGGACTGTCGTAGATTAATTAATTTCTATGGTTCTATCTCGTACTTAATCCCCCTGGACCCAAAAAAGTGGTTTTCGAAGTGATGTCTGTGTGTGCGTGTGTTTGTGTGTGTCTGGATACGGAGGGGACCACACCTGTGGTGCAATTTCGATGAAATTTCGTGTGTACGTTCTAATCCATGGTATCTCCAGGTTTTTTTCACTTTTTTGAAATTTTGATTTTTAATGTTGATTTTCCCATAAAATAACGGAAAAGTCTTATTTTCTCAAAAATGGCCGGAACGATTTTGATAAAAATTTTGTATGTTGTAGCCCTTTTAATTCTGAACAAAATGGTATGACTCCCATTTCTGTAAAAGTTACATTTAAAAGTGATTGTAAATATTAAATAATTATGTTATTTCCCCATAAAAACACCATAAATCACGAAAATAGGATTTTAGCAAAAACCCGGTTTTGATTTAACTTTGTACGATGATTAAAAATAACTTTTGGTCCTAAAAATTTTGAATGTTTTTTCATTTTATTTCAATTCTGATTTTTGATGAGGATTTTCCCATAACCCCATAAAATAACGGAAAATCGGATTTTCTCGAAAATGCCCCGTACGATTTCCTTAAAAATTTAGTATTCTATAGCCCTTTAAATGGTACAAATCCCATTTCCGTAAAAATTATGCATGGTTCAAAATGTATTTGTAACTTATGTTATTTTCCCATAAAACTCGTATAAAATAACTACCAAAATCAGATTTTTGGAGAAAAGCTGGTTTTGATCAAAATTAATATGGTATGTTGATTTGATTTCCTATAGTGGGAATTTGGCCTAATTAAACTGCATTTTTTATAAGATGCTAGAAGCTATAGATTAAATACAGCTCCAGTCTCAATTTTCCTACTAAGTCCTACTACAACTCCCGCTTCCTAAATCACGATTCTAATTACTTCATGTATTGATTTGACATCATTAGAATAGAGCTATTATAATAAATAAAATGGCCAACAGTCCACTACAGTTCTAAATAATCAAGCTTATAGCGGAATAAAATTTAATTTGAATATTTTAATTTTATTGTATTAATATTTTAATAATAATAATATTTTTTATATTTTTTATACTATTTTTGGATATTTTAAATTTGCATATATTTAGCATTTTAATGTTATGGTTAACCACATTGGTGTCTACAAAATGGAACCAGCAATTCTTGTTCAAGATAATATTGTTTATTTCCTTTTTTAGATGTTTTTATTTTCTTTCAAGATGTTTTGTTGAACAAAAAATATGTCTAAAAATAAAAAAAGTTATGTTTTATGGTATTTTATTAAAATATCCCAACGACTACGATAATGATTTTGTCCACGTCAATTAAACTCCCTTCAATACCCATTTGCGTGTGGACGTTATCTGATTGAAAGGGTATTCTAAAATCGATCACACATTGCTAAAAGCATTGGTCAGATATGATCAGGTTACTTGCACAGTTGAAGCCATGAGGCGAGTGTTAAAATATATTAAGGAGTTTGGATCTGTCACCACTTTGCATGGAATCTCTCACATCGTTTCTGGAAATCGCCATCCTGCTGAAATGTAAGCATCCTAATAATCATACCATCATAGGGAGGGTAATGCCATCATTCCATGTGTACGTAGCTATTTACTCTTCTATTCACTCATATATTCATTATTGACGTAATTTTTATCTCAAAATGGATTCTACGAACTGTATGTCCTATATCCATGTCCTTTCAATTAATCAAAAAAAAAAAAAAAAAAAAAATCGGTCAATAGAAAACAAAAGAATCAAGTAAGCGACACTAAGCGGAAGACAATTCTTTCAAAAACTTTGTCCAATTTCTCAAAAGAGATCAGTTGAAACGTTAATAATTCACAAAACCGAAGAGTTCCTAATCAATAGTACAGTAAATTATTTGTGATAATTAATTACTTTTTGGAATAATTTCCAGTAAGATTTTAGTACATTAGGTGTTTATTGAACTCGTCTTTCATTGCTTCTTCTCGTACGGACAATTAAATTAATTTTTGTTTCGTTACCGATTTGATCTACTTGCATGAAGTGAAAATAATTGACTCTGTATCCAGTTGGTGATTAGAGTATAATAATAATTGTAGGTAGATTTCTCATCCGATTACAGAATCTGGTACATATTTAGACGTGTGTTCAATAATTGGTTAAGCTAGAGATTTCTGGTGTCGCAACTAAATGATTTTCTTTATTTTGAGTAAATTGTTTAGGTGTGCGATGTACTACTTTTAGTTATAATACCAGGGGAGGGAGGAAGCGGTGGTTTTTAACTTGAAGAGTTTTTTTTTATAAATTTTAATTTGGTGAAATCAAGAGGCATATACATTTTGTATGTTTAATCTATGCATGTCTTACTCTAGCTACTTATGGGTGGCAGTGACGGTAGTAGCAGCTGTTACATCATTATATCTCATCGTAGACAACTGGCAGCGCTACAATGCTAACCCTACCGTTCTTTCGTTAGACAAGAATTTTCGATCTTGGCGAGTTCCGTTTCCGGCCGCTACTGTATGTCTGTTCGACCGCGTAAATCGAACTGCAGCCACAGCCCTGATTAACAGGTAGGTAGTGAACCTAAATTAAATGGTACATGCAATTTTAAGCATATTCAGTGATGGATTTAATGAATAACATGAAAGATTTAATAGTATGAATTAGAAAATAGTCTATAATAAGTTATTTGTTAGGATGTATTAAATTCTGTGTTTTCATTGTAAAAAAAGTGGATTTAATGCTGTTAAATTCTCATATAGTTCACCTACTAAGCTAAACTATCTCTGATGGTGTATAAACTTACACTCATTCGAATGAAAAATATTGATTTGTATAGATTATTTGATATATCGATTATTTCATTCGGTTAGTTAGATAAAGGTTTTAACCTAACTAACCAAACTTGATTTATATCGAATGAAATACTCGATATATCAATCGATAAGTTATATTCATTTGGATGAGTGTAATATATGTATATATGTATATATTGAATGAATGTGCAGCCAACATCATTCCAAAACTAGACCCAACAATCCACAATCTGTACTGTATTTTTTGGCTAAAGTATTATTAGATAGATAAAATAACAAAATTATTCGAAAATTACACAAATTTCAACCTCTCTATTACACACAATTTTGAAGTTGTCCAAACCTTTTAAGCCCTGAAAGCTTAGCGTAAAATGTTGACTCGATAAAAAAGATGTCCACTAATTATGGAAGCTGCTCAACTGAACAAAAACTGATCCTGAAATATGCTACAAAACATGAGACAACTTTAGAACTACAATGTATGTGCTTTGGGTTTACCATCATTGTTGGCGCACGAGACCGTTCTCGCGTTCGTTTTTATCAACGGCTGAGTAATCTAAGTTTCCTCGACAATAAGCGTCCATTGGAATTTGAGAGTTTAAATCCGGTTTTCAGCAGGTCTGGTGAAAAACGCATATGTTTACTAGACTGTCCTGGTCATAAGTTCTTTCTTAAGTGTTTATTTACGAGTCTAAACACTTTAGTGGTCTGTGAGTATGTAAGGAGAGTGGAACCAAACGGTGGCTGGAAGGTTTAGAAGTTGAATTGACAAGTGAATTCTTTGAGTATTTTACCTCAAATCAGACTTGAACTTTTTACCGAACCTACATTTTTTATGTCCACTGAAAACTTATATTTTATTAAAAACCATTGATTTTTTTCATAAGATTGCGGAAAATAAAAAAAACCACAACATTAATTTTAAATAACTTCATTAATAATTTCATTAATCGGATTTTCCCTTAAATGTTTCCTTAAACATCTCAGATTTGTTCCCAATTTAAATAACATTAGGTTTAGTAATTAGGTATCCTGCTATAGGAAAATATAATAAAGTATATTGGTAAAATGTTAGGCTAATAGTTTAATATTAAATAAATAAATTTGTCAAGTTTATCAAAATATTTCCAAGCAAACTACAACAGATTCCTCAATAAGAATAACATAGGATTTTTTTTTAATTTACAGTTTTCTTTAAAATGTTCAACCAAAAACTGTATAAAACACTTTAAGATTCTTAAATATTTGTTTAATTATGCTCTATACAATTTTTTAGAGAGAAATTGGGAAATTCTATGCTTTGGGGTCAAAAATTATAAAAAAAGTTTACCCCATAAAACCTCATTTTGATAGTCTGATTATGCTAGTTGATAAATATGATTTTAATAAATGGTGATTTGGACCTCAAAGTGATAAAGTAAATCGTTCCCAGGTCCAGATCTTATCATGAGACCTACGGTAGCTAATTCATATAGGAGATTTGCTAAAAATTCAAAGTTATTTAATTTCTGCAGCCATATTATTAGGTACAATGTCTATTCCAGGCTTTGGGGTGTGAAACCCAAGGACAAAAAGTTTCCATATTACATGCGTTTTGTTCAAAGCGTGGGAAACATGACCTATGACAATCTTGAGGAATTTGAAGAGTTTCAATATGATTCTGAACTGTATACTGTGAATTTACCTGCTCTTGCGAGAATGGTAAGATAACCTATAATGTATATTACAAACTGTAATGGCTTGATTTTATTTGAGGCTCCTTAACTTAAACCAATCTTACCAAGGACTAACCTCTCCTGTTCATAATCTGATTATTACCTCAAAATTTGAAGAAACTCTAGTAAAATTTATATTTAACAATAATTGGTTATGTCCTAAAAATTTTATTAGTTTATTTTTTAAATAGATAGTAGAAAAATTTTCTCTGTTAAAAAGTAGTAACAATATTTTATCAGCAAAATATTTTGATTAGAAAAATATTTTTATTTTTTTATTTGATTTATGTACAGTAGACCTCCTCTTATCCGGACACCTTTTAACTGGACTACACTTGGTGGAAATGACATCTCTTTAACCGGACAATTTTTATCACTACATCGGTTTAACCAGACTAGATGTGTCACAAGTGGGAGGTACTGAAATGACTGTTCTTATAGGAAAGATTTGAGACCAGTGATCAGGTGTCTAAAATACAATGCTCTCCTAAATTTAAGTCAAATGCTGAAAACACAGACTTACAGTTAACGAGTTTTTGGGGACGTCGGTTTAACCGGAAAATCCATTATCCGGACTGGCCTGGTCCTGAGGAGTCTGGTCCGGATGGAGTCTACTGTATGTCAAAAAAGTTTATTCAGTTTTAAAAACGTTTATCAAGTTTCAAGGAGTAAAAGAAATTAGGGAGGGTTGGAGAAATGATTTGTTATGGATATTTCTTACGTATATGTCTGTTATGTAGGAGTAAAATGCCAATTATATAGAGAACTATGGTTTTGATTTTAGAAAAAACACTTTACACGAGGTAATTTATTGGGTATTTTTCTAGCAAGACTCGCCTTATTTCTCTCCTTTGGCGAGTCATTAATAAATAATGCATAGTTATGCAATGCAAATTTAAAATTATGATTTGTGTACTTAAATTACTTACGTATAAGCTTGCATAGATCTTACAGTGTCATAATATTTTGCTTTGCAGGTACAAATAAATCTAACATACAGCTCATACATATTTAATCCACTATATAAGTATATGAAGTTTGAAGAGACGATAACGGAAATGGGAATTTGCTATACATACAATGGCGTTCTCACAGACTATATTTCGCTCAGGTAAAACAATATTCTTATCAGCTTATAGCGTTGTGCAAGAGAGGAAAGTAGCTTTCTATTAAATTGATGTTTCATTCCAGTTTGAAGTTGCAATATCATTGAATTAGCGCAAAAGCTGCACACACAAAGAATTAAATTAATTGACTCAATTTTTCAGCAAAAACGTAAAAACTGCACTGACAAAGGATGTGGATCCACCGTACTGCAACTTTCTTAACTCGCTATGTTACGCTCGCATTGAAGACTTGCCCGGAATGATGAGGGTAAGATGTTTTGTGAACTAGGGTAGAAGTATTTTAACTTTAAGGTTAATGACCAACTAATACTATAGAATTTACTGAATGAATTTAATGAAGCTAAATATAATTCACTATATAAATAACTTTTGCTTGAAAGCTAAACAGTATATCGTAGTCTATGCCTTATTGATATTTATTTGGTGCCATTAGTTTACCTCCCTATTTCATATTGCCTCAGATTGATGTCGATAAAATTACTTAAAATTCATGCGTGTTAACAAATTACCCAATGAGAATTTTGTATTAGGAATGCTATAGTCTATGTTCCTACACAAGAAAAATATTACCCCTTGATTATAAACATCTGAACATAGTCATCAAAACTGTTTTGGACACTCATCTCTATAAAATATACACAGTGGTGTGTTGAATTCGGAAAATCTGTAATCTCTCCCTCTCTCGTTGCTTTCAACTCTGTTTTTTAAAAGTCATACTTGCATAATTGCAGTTATAATAAGTAGTTACTCTTGCGTCCATATTACTTAGATATCAAGTAAGTGGTGAAAAGGAAATGTAAAAAATACTACATAAACGTAAAATGTTCTTTCAGTATTACATTCATAGTCCGTTTGAAATCCCTGACCTGTCTTCACAATTCTACATTGTTCAGCCCAGCAGGGAACGTGACACTTCCTTCCGCTTTCTGCAGACAGTGCCATCCCCAGACCTACGGGATCTGCTGCCAAGACAGGTCAGAAACTTAACTAATAAGAAAGAAAAGGTTAAATAAATGTGACTAAGATTTGTGTTTAGAATACAATAATTGAAAATATCCCTGCCGCAGCAAACCTGCAGAGACTAAGCAAATTTCTATTTGTCTGAATTGATTTTCAATTAAATCTATTTAAATAATATTAGTTAAATTTGATAATGATAAGAATTAAATACCACATCATAAAGTTGAGCTTTGTTTAATGTCTTCTGGTGTCCATATCCTCCCGGCTGTGGGTGACGGTGACATTGTGTATAACAAGTTGTATACAACACAGATAAAATGTACACAAATTTTTATTTCTGTAGCTAGTTCAGTTTTTCGTCAATGACCGACATAATATACTATTAGCAACAATAACTTTTTATACAGGTTTAAATTAAATGTACAAATTATTTAAATTTGAATTAATTTTTGTGCTATGCTGCAGGGACCTTAACTCCACCATTTGCTTTATTTTATGTACTAAACATAGAGTGTTTGTAGCGCAACTGCCGATTCATGGATGAGCCGAAGAAAGACATGAGTTCTCCCGTGTACAGTTATAACCTTTGTCGAATGAACTGTCGGAAACGTCTGGCCTTCACTAAGTGTGGCTGCGCACCTTACTTTTACTTGGCTAAGAGTGAGTATGGAAAATAATAATAAAATAAACCTTATTGGAATAATTTGTACTATGTTAATATTGACTAAAAAGTCAAACGCGGTATCTATGATTTGCTCACATAATCGTTTTTGAGAACATTCAATTTTATTTTTTCATCATTGCCTCAAGAAGCGATTTGAATTTGAACATCATAACTTAATCCTAATTCAGTCTTGAGTGACTAGTTTCGAAACAAGTTTAATTTTCGAGCCTCTTGCTTCATAAAATCATTGGATCACATTGTTGTTGGCAATACACCAAAATACAGCATTTAAACACACACAAATACAAGTAAATTTTATTAACAAATGCACAGCCGGCCATAGCATACGTGGTGACGGACACGATGCAATTACCCCAGACAACTATCCGTTGTGGGTGTTAAATGTTGTATTTTCACAGTTCATTCCAACTACAGCACATTTTTTTAAAGTAAATAAACGGTATCAGCATTCTGCCATAAGTTTGTCAACAACCTTTATCATGTGTAAGCGGTGAGAGTAAATATACAGAAATAGGATTAGTACAATTTTGTTCACAATTTAAAGGACTACATACTAAACTTTTATCAAAATCGTTCGGGCCATTTTGTGAAAATCCGATTTTTCCGTTATTTTATGGGGTTTTTTGTGGGAAAATAAAATTATTTACAATATAACTTTTGAACCATAATTTTTACAGAAATGGGATTTGTACCATTTTGTTCAGAATATAAAGGACTATATATAACATACAAATTTTTTATCAAAACCGTTCGGGCTGTTTTCGGGAAAATCTCATTTTTCCGTTGTTTTATGGGAAATTTCCCATTAAAAATAAAAAATGTTTAAAAATAAAAAAAACTATCAAAACTTTAAGGACCATAACATACTACGTTAAAATAAAACCGGATTTCTTTTTAAAATCCTATTTTTCGTTATTTTATGGGGTTTTTATGGGAAAATAACATAATTTACCATAACTTTTGAACCGTAATTTTTACAGCAATGGGATTTGTACCATTTTGTTCGGAATTTAAAGGGCTACAACATACTATTTTTTTTTTCAAAATCGTTCAGGCCATTTTTGAGAAAATCAGATTTTTCTGGTTTTTTATGGGTTTTATGAGAAAATCCCCATTAAAAACCAAAATTTCAAAAAAAATTAAAAAATGCCTGGAGATACCATAGATTAGAACCTACATATCAAATTTCATTGAAATCGGACCACAGGTGTAGTCCCTAGCTCTGTACACATCCAGACACACAGACATCACTTCGAAAACCACTTTTTTGGGTCCAGGGGGGGCCCAAAACGAATATATCCACTCTAAACTCGAAAATTTTTACGAAAACAATACTTTCTCCATATACTATATGGTATAGGGGGAGAAAGTAAAAATTGAGTACAGCTGTTTTGTATAGTTTTTATGTCTACTTCACTGTCCAAAAATCAATGACTAAAGACTGAATTAGAGAAAACAGATTCCATATTTTCTCGATTATCATATTTTCACTTTTTACATGTCTAGTCCTGGTTGAGGTATTTTTACAGTCCCTGCCATCTAATCATACTTCACCTTCCAGAGGACATTCCAGTGTGCACAGTGAAAGGCCTGGCTTGCCTGGTACCTCACCGTGAGCTTATCACGAAACTCATACTACCTGATGGATCTCCCTACCCGTGTCCCTGCACACTACCCTGCAAGGACATAGAGTACTATGTGGACAAGGATGTGGAGAGGGACTGGTAAGGGTCTATATGAGGAGCTAGCATGCAAACCGTGTTTTGTCCAATATTTTTCAAAACTCGGCTGATGATTGATTCTAATTCATTTTCTCTATTTCCACTCAAGGTAACATTGCTTTTCAGGCAAAATAAGCTTTTCCCCATTAAAAACTGATATTGAAAACTGGGTGTTCGGTTCGGGCAGAGTGAGTTTTGTCCTCAGGTGGCTGTAATGCAAAACGTGTTTTGTCCAACTGGCAAATGGCCCTTTTGTTCACATGATGCACCAATCGTCAAAGGACAAGCAGATGAATTTGATGATGAAGAAAGAGTGTGATTGCTTAGCCCATGAACGGTGTGACTTACATGTGTAGTGTTTAAAGCATTGAACAGCCAACTCTTAGTAATTATTATTATTACTTTAAATGAGTACCTACTTAATGTTTGTGCGGAAATAATGTTTAATTTTTTAAATAACTCAACAAGTTACATGCATTCGTAATGTTTTTAGCATTGAACAGCCAACTTTTATTGATTTTAATGTTTAATTTTTCAAACTGATACTAAACATATTACATGTAATGTTTAGAGCACTAAACAGCCAATTCTTAACCATTGTAATGTTTAATTTTTAAAATTAACATTAAACACATTTTTAATTCAAAACGTGTTTTGTCCCAATGCGTTCCATTCAAAACGTGTTTAATCCAAAAGGTCCATACAAAACGTGTTTTGTCCAAACTTAATAACATTTTTTAAATGATTAAATTAACATATAACAAGATAAAACCTTATTGGGTACTTTTCTAGAAGTGCAGTCAACAAGTAAAAAAAATCAATAAAATCCTTCCATCCAAAACTTTTTTTCAGTTTTCTGTGCTTCCGGCACAAACTGTGACAAAACACCGTTTGCATTTTAGATCCTCATATATAATTGTAGATTGGTGTGGGTTCATAAATAATTGTGGATCGGTGGGGACCATAAATAGCTATGATTGGTGAGGGTCCATAAATAGTTATAGACGAGAGCTCGCCCCGTGGTCGATGTGCTTATTTTTGGGCCTATTTTGATTTGTAAAAGGATTCTGCACATCTACAGGAAAATATCTTTCATTTGGTACCAACCGCGTGTAATTCCGTCCAGTAGTATGGTCAGGCTAGCTGTCATAAGTTTTGCAAAAGTTTTTAGTATACAAGATTGGTGAGGGGTCATAAATTGTTGTGGATTGGTGTTGGTCCATGAATAATCATACAATGGTTCAGGTGTATTGTTGTGTTATTTTTAAAAGATTGCCATTTGGTCAGAAATAACATTTTAGTTTGCGTTTAAAAACAACCATGGATTATTGGGTCCAGAAATTGTTGGCAAGGGGCTATTATGAATAAGTGAGTGAAAATTTAAAAACGTACGTTTTCAGGAAAAGCACTTTGTAAATTTTTTTCCCCTTTTTTCAAAACTCTTATTATTTTTTTATTTCATTAACATTTAAAGTTTCATAAAATGTCCATGGTAACGCAATATCTTTGGTAGTTTTTTTTAAAAGAGCATTTTTAGTGGAAAAACACAAAATCCTGTCACGACCATAACAGACGTTTAAATGAATATTAAAAATAGTTAATACTATTTTTATAACTATGTTTTGCTATAAACTAATTTACTTTTATGACCATTATACAATAAAAAGGTCACTGAGCTTTTGGTATATTTGGTCTTTCTAGAAAAAAATAAAAAAACTCAAAAAATTTAAAAAAAAACAAAAAAAACTTTTTAAGTTTGTATAACTACGAAAAAACTTACCTGAGACCCGAAAAATCGTTATGTTTGTATAGAGGTTTGCTTCTTTTGTGTATAAAACATTGAAATATGACGATATTTTAATTTTTGAAATTTTTATGATAGAAATCATAAACGTGATGGTCAGGGACAAGCGGTACGATCGTGAATTTTCTGAAATAATCTAAATCTTTCTAAACAATCCTTCAATTATACTGTTAGTTATAATAAAAATATGTGTTTCAATTGAACTAAACTGTTCAATTTACAATTATATTAAAGTTATTGTCACGACCAAACACACTATAATCCATAAGGCTGGATTGGTCGTGAAAAAAACCGCGATGGTCGTGAATCTTTGGTCGTGAAATTACGTATTATTTGGCTCTGTTCTGATGGTAGCCCTGCACCTCATACAAAGTGGACTTCTAGGTTAATCTAGCAATTGAAATATCTTATACACAAAAATTAACACCATGTCTACTTCATCGAATGACTACGTACGGTCATGGACACACCAAAATTACAAAAAACACAATCTTTCCTTTATTAATCTTGTTATTCCTCCTTTCAACTCGAAACGACCGGCACTACAATCCTGACGTACACCCTGAACTAGTCTCTAAAACCAACTGACTCCATCGACGCCAGGCTTGCCACTGTCGTGCTCCAAAGTTGAAAATTTTTCCCAAATGGTCGTGACGCCAAATCGAGGGACAGACTTATTTTGTCATGGTAGTCAGTTTGCAATGACAATAAAATTATAATATGCTCCTTTTTTGTAAGTTTAATAACCATTGATGACATAAAAATATGGCTTTATATATTTCGGCATGAATAATTAGTCTAAAAACAGTGTGAAAGTTGGAAAATGTACCCTAGGGACATGTCATGGTCGTGAATTTCGAGACTTTGAAAATACGAAAAAAATACCTAGAACCTATTTAAAACCAAATAAATGTGTGTAACATGTTGCCCCCGTCCCAAAAAATATTAAAACACATAATAATAAACTACAAATCCAGTATCTACGAAGTAAAAGGCCAGGGACATGAAAACGTACGTTTTTAAATTTTCACTCAAGTAAGGATTGTCAAGGATCTATAAACAATCATCACTTTTTATTATCCACATCAGCTTTAAATTTATAAGGGTATATGAACTATTTTAGATTAGCATAGAGACTTGTTTAGTAGACAGTAAAAATAATAAACTGGTTATAGTGCTCACCCATTGTTTTTTCCCTTTTTTATAAGGACCTATAAGAAATAGGGGTTAGGGTGCACAGATAACATTAATTTAGGATAGGATAGTTTTAAGGATTTACTAATAAGTTTAATTGGTAATGGTGCACAAGTAATTTTGTATCAGGAATAAACCATGAATAATCATATTAGTAAGTCTACACTACTTATTTATTGGGTCAGAATCGTTATTTTAATCACAGATTGAAATTAAAACTGAAAATAGGAACCCTGTGTTTCATCCTATTATTTTGTTTACAAACGTATAATTATTGATTCTTACAGAGCAAGAACTGCAACCCCAAACACCATTGTGTTAAATTTGTCTGTCATTCAATTTCATTCGCTTTTCTAAGGTCTTATCCAGTTCCGTGCAACATTCGATTCCGATGGGCAATCGAGGTCTATGCCAAAACAAGGGTGAGAAGAGAAATAATATTTGGTCTCGAGGATCTTTTGGGTATGTATCTATCTAAAACTAAGGAAAAAACTAAAACCTAAGGAAAAAACTAAAACCTAAGTTTAATATTTATTTTTGGTACACTCTCAAATATAAAACTAAAACTCAACTAAAATTGTAGTTGTGTAGCCCAAATATACTTGGAGCTTTATAATTTTATAATTGTTAAAACCAGAAGGATTTCTGGCGAGATCCTTCTCTGACGAGAATTTCTTAACTACTTTCTCAATTAAAATTTTATGTGGTTGGTATAATTTAACCTTAGATTAGAATTAATCTTTAAATGTATTTGACTCTAAATCCTTATTATAAGTTTCAAGTTTACCTTAGCTTTACACTACAGTAAATGGTTTTAAGACCATTTGTGACTCATATGTATTTAGAGAAATTTAATTGAGGAATAGAATTTGTTGTAGAATCTTGATACAAAATTCAAAATACACTAGTATAAAATTTTTTAAACTAATCTTCAACACAATATATTAGGTGTAGGTACTTTACTTTCAATGGGAATAGTTTGAGTAATGTTTAACTAAAAATCTTGGACTCTAATATTTGGAGGAGAGGACCAAAATTATACCTCTCGGCAAGATTTGTACTATCATAGGATCCTAGTAACTGGCACTTTCATTCAACGTAATTTTGAGTGTTCTTACTTTAAAAAAATTGTTAATGTTGTAATACATTTTGCTATAAAAAATATATATGTTTGTAGTGAGTTGCGATATAGAAGTTGTGTTTCAGTTTCCTTCGGAGGTACAGCGGCTTTCTTCTTGGGCTTCAGTGTCATTACCTTCGTAGAGATCATCTACTTCTTCACCTTGCGCCTTTACTGGTTTCTTCGCTCCCACAAGAACGAGGACACCAAAGTTGTTCAAAAGAAGTTGAATGGACCAAAAGTTAAAGTAAATCCCCATAATAATGAGGAGCCCAAAGTCATTAAAAAAAGGTTGAATAGACCAACAATTAAAGTGAATCAATGGTAGATTGTTTATTATTTTTATTATTACCACAAAACCTTGTTACGATCATGAAATAATATAGTATTTTCAAAAACTCTCTTATAATTAGATATTTTACGATCAAATCATAAATTACAATTGATGGTTGAGTTACATGCAGCAATTTCAATGGAGAAGTTAGTGGAAAATAAACCTAAGTTCCTAAGTTGATTTATAAGAAATTAATGTCAACAATTTTTTTCCAAATTAAATTGTTATAAGTAGGTATGTCAGCAGTATGTCCAGCAGTACTCAACCATAAACCAAGGGGAATCATGTTTGATTACTTTAAAATTATAATATAAATTATTATATTCGCATCTACAGTACAGTACCTCTAAATTTTTGTCAAGTTTTTTTTTTAATTTTCAATGATTTTTTAATTTAATTTGGAGATAATTTCCAAAACTATTATATTTAAGTAAAAACGAACTACCTACTGTAGGTACTAAATAGTAATGTTGGATATCCTAGTTGCGTATTTCTAAATAATTATAACTGTGTTAATAACTGAAAACATACAGGTCAACATCTGGATATGAAATACACTTAGACTGCAGACCATGTCTTTATTTGAAAAACAAACATCGATAACAGTAGAATCGTCAATCGATGTGAGCCAATCTGCACTGAAAAAGATATGATTCCTAAAATCCAAAAGACCAGGGCAGACCACTATAGGGGCCGAGCACAAAACCCACATCTAAATGAGGAAAAATAAAAATAAACCAACATAGTTTTTGAACATATATTTGTCAAAAAGTGAAGGGGAACACAGTTCAGTGCAAGAAGCACCCAAAACCTACATGGCCTCATGCAAAACCAATAAGCATTAACCTTACATGGCACAGGAGCGACGGATACAGTACTAAATTAGTGTCAACGTAAGTTTGTACTTACGACCACGCCTGAGGGAATTACGAGACCGAAATCAGATCTGAAAGACAAAGAACCACGGTGAGAATGATTATCGAAGGGAATGTTTGAAGGGGACCGGCAGGGGACCGTGGGGTCCAACAGCAAAGCTGTGAGTGCGGCCGGGGCGTGTTTACTCGGCAGACGATAAGTTGATGTCGTCTGCCGAACGAACGCGCCCAGACAAGCTCGCCTTGACAAGTCCCCCGACACAATCGCCTGATTAGCAGGGGACCGAGGTCCAACAGGCGAACCTGTGATTGTGTCAAACCTAACCTAGACAAACCTCTAGCACTAGGATTCTAACAAACCTGCAGTGTCGACATCGCTGTTCACTAGCTTATTTCCAAAATAAATTGCGAGAAAATATCTCACAGACAAAAATAAAGCTATGTTAGTGTTAAAAACTAAACCCCAAAAAAATTGTTTTAAGAAGGAAAAATAAAATGTGTTTACATTAAATCTATGGGGACAGTAAGCATTGACTATAGGCCTACAATTATACTGAACTAGACATCTCGTCTAAGTGAAATGGCTGTTGCCAGTTTTCCAGGAACTCAATGAGCTGAGCAGCTGACAGTTAAAAGTGAACACATTTTTTCCTCTCTTATTACGATTTGTGAGATTCACAATTATCTTCCGCTCTACTAGCCATGATAACTAATGTTTTCCTAAAAAAAAATATTTATTTGAAAATATAGGCTTAGTTAGACTTTATTTATAATTAAAGGTTAATAGCTAAATAAATTTATATTTTACTTTTCTACCACAAAACTGTAATTGAGACCATTAAATTTAACTGTTTGTGTTGTTTTTTGTAACGGTATGCCTAATTCAAGCAAGTATCTCTACAGTCAATGCCAAGACTTACCTTCTGATAAAAAAATAAATCAAATATGACCTGTTATGAATCTAATAATGGGTTTAGAATAAATCAATCATGAAAATAAATATTAAAATCTAGAAAATAAAAATATTTTTCTCAATAAAAATAAGAATGTCGTTCACAACTTAAAATAAAAATACTCAGATTGGAAATAAGCTGAATTTTACGTCTTAACCACCGCCAATAATAGTTAGGACAAACCAGCAGAAACAGATAATTAAGTGTATACACACACCAAACCTTTACCCTACCTTTGATGAAACAGCAAGAAAGAGGCTCACATTCAAACAGATAAGAAAAGGAACACATTCACAGGTCAAAATGTTTTGTGAAAGACTTTGAAGAAGAATTATCAAAATGTGAGCAACATGAAGCCTTCCAAGGACCCTGCGTACAATTCAGGTATCTAACAAAAAACAGTGCAGCCACTCGATAAGATTTCAATGGATGACTTACCTTTCAAAATAAAAACACTAGTTTTGGGGTGAATTATACAACTAGGTTCAGTTCTCAATGTTTTAAACATTTAAAATAGGTAGTGAATGTTTAAGCCTATTAATTGTGGTCTTTTGGTTTGTAGAATGTGGGTAAAAAATATAAATGAGTACTTGTTTTAGTGTGTTTAACAATGCTTTGAAAATTGTTAAAAATATTGTTTGTCAATGTTTCATATGAAAGGATTTTATTCCGTTAGACTTTGCATTTGTTCACGATATGAACTTTGTTCTTTGTAATAAAGTTCTAAACTTTTAACTTCTATTTATCTGTGCTAATACTTTTTTTTATTGAGAATAAAACTATTGTTTGTAAGTTTAATATTTTTAATGGTAAAAAGTAGTAATATCAGTAAATTAAGTAACTTAAAGAAGGAAATTTTAATGCCACATAATGTACAAACACATTTAACTATTATTGTAAAAACTATTTGGTTAAAGCTATGTTTGAAGGACAACAGATTTGGACGTAAAAATAATTAGAATCAGGGATTTAAGTTTTTTTTTGTAATATAGCTTTGTAAAGTAGGTAAAAACCGAGTCCTTGGAGCCTAGACTTTCTACCTCATAAAACAATTAATAACTACAGTAGACTCCCTCTTATCCAGACTCCTCAGGGCCGAGGCCAGTCCGGATGACGGGTTTTCCGGTTAAGGCGACGTCCCAGAAAACTCATTAAAATAACGATACGTGTTTACGGTGATATTCGACATAAATTTAGGAGTGCATTGTATTTTAGACATGTGATTGCTGGTCGCAAATCTTTCTCATGAGAACAGTCGTTTCAAACCAATATGCTGATAAAATTGTACGGTTAAAGAGATGTAATTTCCGCCGAGTGTAGTCCGGTTAAACCGATGTCCGGATAAGAGGGAGTCTACTGTACAAAAAAAATATCCAACCTCACAGTATACTAGATATTTAAATTAGAATCACTCTGGTTTTTGAAAAAATATTGTTGGACGGTAAATAACTCTTCAGCGGCTGTTTGAAATTAAAATTACTCTTATAGAGGGCAAATCCAAGATGGCCGTTAACTTCCATGGACTCCCTTGGAGAACAATTCAAAACTACAAATATCATTTCTAATCTCACAGTATACTAAATATTTAAATTATAATCACTTTGGTGTTTGAACAAATATTTTTGGACGTTAAATAACTCTTAAGCAGTTGTTTTAAATTATCCAGCCTCCAAGAACTCTTAACAATATACACAGTAAACGTTAATTCTACCTTTTTTTAATTAGGTATCTTTGAAAACGTTAGCAATTTGTACAATTTATTGATAGTATTCAGTTTCCCCCAGTTTATTTTCATTTCTATTTATTTGGGAGGTTTAAATAAAAGTGGTACCAGCATTAAGTTAGACCAGCATTAAATTCAGTTATGTGAATTTGAGAACTGAACGGTAAAAATATGAGTGAATCATAATACTACCTTGTATTCCATTTGCCTCATTGCCAAATTTAGTGTAACTGACTACCCTTGTAATAATAATAATTCTACAAATTTTGTTGTCGAGGTTTGAAAATATGAATATATTCAACTTACAATTTTGTTGAAAACATAAACTGTGACGAGACATAATTTTGTCATGCATGATGATGGACATAGGCCATAGGACATAGTTTAAAAAAATCAATACGGATCGGTAAGGTTCCTTAAAACTAAACCCCAATGTAGGTACCGGAACCCTATAAATCAGCAAATATCTGATCAAACAGCAATAAAGCTGACGTTTAATCATCGGGTTACGTTCCTTTAGATTTAAAGGGTGAAATAAAAATATTGTACAGTTCGGGGAACAACAATCTATTTATTACAATTAAAATATGAAAATCTAGACAAATTCACAATGCATGGACAACAGTTAAAGCCAGGACTGAGAAAACAATAAGTTATAAACCTTACATTTGTATGTTAAAAATCTTACTAAGTCTAAGATTGTGATTGTGTATCCAAACCTGCATTAGTCGATTGTGGAACTAGGCGATGTTTTGAGGGTAGTGCAATAGATATATAATTTATCTGAATATTTAATAGAGAATGTAGGACTAATTTTAAATGTTATATCAAGAGCAAAAAATAGGCAAATTTATAAAGACATCACCAGGTTCCACAATCCAATGGAGATGTGCCAGCCGTATACAGGTCAGAAAAGTTACACTTACCGGCTCAAGACACAATACCAACAGGTGGGGCTCTCAGAGCAAAAAACCACTCAAGATGCTACTCCAAAATTGTCTACCGGAATTTATTTTCCACTACCAAATTCCGTTTCAATACTACTTTAGGAAAACCTCAAGATTGTTATAAACGTTATCACTCGTTATTTGTGACAGCATAGTGTTCTAGGACATTTGCCAATTAATGGCAGGATCGAGTAAAAAGTACTATTTACTATGTGAATATTTCAGTATTTGTACATAAAAAATAGAAATCAGCTGCTTATGAAAGAATGACAGTAATAAAAATCGCCAAGCATAACGAATCATAAAGATTTTACTTAAAACAACAAAACTAACACATTAAAGTGTCCAGCTTAAGCCAAGCTAGTAAAGACATTGAAGATTAAGCCTTTGGGTTGTATGTGCTTTTGAAGGAGCATCCATCTCATCTTACCTCTCAATCAGTGGGAGTATAGGAGGTCAACGACACCAACAGGAATGGTCTAAGCAGGCAAAAAACTCCATTCCGATTCAGTTGACTGCCAGAATCCACTAGCATTTGAAGATTATAAATTTATAGACATTACTAAACAACAAATAATTTTTTAGTAATCCATCAAATATTAATGAATTTTTAAAAATAAACATATTTACAAAATGGATTACATGAGGAAGAAGGGAATTTGAACTCTACTGGGTTTGAATTTAAACTAAGTGAATATTGCACTTTCAAATATTTGTGAACAATTTTGTTAAAGTTAGATGGTTATGATAATTCTCTTAAATAAAAATGTTATATAAATATTCGCCAAAGAGGTTAATAGCCCCCCTAAGAGTATTAAATTTGAAACGCTAATTAAAAAACCACATACAAGAAAAGAACCTTCAGAACTTATACTGTGGGTTTATGAACTGTTACAATGTAAATCAGTGACATATTTTAAGATATAATGGTTTAAAACGACCTCTTGTTCTGATGACAGTGATGTGTTCTGGTAGTCAACCGAAGGCCGTTATCTCCTTTACGGCCAAAGTAGCCAGAGCCCCTCCAAGATACCTTCGGATCATCTGAAGCGTGGCATCATCGGCAGCATCGGGGGCCCCCCAGGGAACATCGGCGGGCCCCCGTAGGGAACCATACCTCCGGGGGGGAGAGCACCAATCAAACCTGTCAATCGTGTTGGTATAGTGTAAATATAATTGGTAGGGAGGTTAATTTTATGTTCATTATTCTTTAAAAGTTGGACACATTGAGTTTTAGATGCAAGACTAACATAACCGAACTTCCACTAACGTAAATGTGCTTACAGCTCAAAAAAAGCTATAGCTGACTTCCTGCAACCTGGGAGTCAGGTTTAGAACCATTGCGTTTGGGCTTTTGGACCATTATGCCTGTTAGAGGGGTAGACTATCAATGGCCAATCAGTGGTCAAGTGTTTTCTATCTGGTAGGAAGACAACACTGCAGATGTTTGGACTCTGTCTCAGTCCGATGTGTAAAAGTGTAGTGATACGTAGTTGGAAAAATTCTTCATATTTCAGTACCTACGTAAATTATGAGTGTGTAATGTGTATAAAATTATCTTATTTTTTTCATTGTCAGTGGATAATACAAGACCATAATAAAAATCAGCGACATTTGTATGACTGATGCTGCTCTGATTTTTTTAAGTATTCATTTTACTCATATACATGATCAGCTGATAAAAACAATATTAAGAACTCTCCTACCACTCCACGTCTGGCCTAACCAACCATCCAGCGACAGGGCTCCTACATTCAGTTGTAGACACTAGCAGATTCAAACGCAGCGCTTTCACTGGCTCAGTGAGAGTTCTGGTTAAGGTCTATTCTGTGCCAGAAATCAACTTATAGAGACCATAATGTTCTCAATGTTTAACAAAAAGCTGTCAAAAATGAAAAGGGATACACTAGCCAGAGATGTAACAAATAGGCAACTAAACATTTAAAGAGATGGTCAAAACTGTATGTATATTACCTGGGTGTATGTTACCTGGATGTATGCCCATGTGAGGAGGCCGCATCATACCCATGTTGAAGGGGGGCCCCGGACCCATGGCAGGCCTCAACATGTGCCCAGGCAGCATGGTGGGGGGGCCCGACATCATACTGGCTACAGACACAGGCACAGTCACAGGGAACCTGGCCAGCATTGGTCTGCCCGGCTACATACACAGAAACACGTTCAATCATTTGCTTAGTGAGCTGTAGTTCTAGTAATAGATTAAGAATAAAAATATAGTTTGTTAAATCACAAGTTAAAGGACAATGAGTTCTACGATATTTAAACATAAATGTGTTTAAGGTAATTCAGTCTTCTAAAAATTTAAACAGCAGCAAACTCATGTAATTACTTGCGAGTTGCGGTAACACAAGAATTGCATAAACACTATGCCGCAATCGTGACAACACCTGTGATGATTTCAAAATATGCAATCATCTTAGCAATTATCTATACACTGATGATTATTTTAGCAATAGCAGTTTAGTTATGATTTCCTGTGATTGCGGAAACAGCCGTTTTCATTACTTTTGATCTTGGCAACGTCGGAGCAAAACATTATGAGTGTCTCACATCAAGGTAAAATCTGTGATTTCTTGCCTTTGCGGAAATATCCATATATCTTTCTGGCGATCATGCAACACTCAATACCTATGATTATTTCTCACAATAGTGGTTGTGGCACTGTACTGGGATCGCAATCAACACCTGTGATGATTTCACGCAATCCTGGCATCCTCATCTCCACACCCATAACTATTTTATGTGATTGCGATCACAAATGTGATAATCTTGCAGAGGCATAACAATTTGTCACAATTTGTCCAATGATCACAGCAACGGCCACGATCATTTCTTACAATTGCCGCAAGGTCTATGATCATTTCTCACATTGACGACAACGTTCGAAACATTGTCACACACAGGTGTAGGAAGTATCACCTCAAAATAAAATTCATTCTAAATTTTACACAATTCAAGTCTAAGGTTAGGAGGTAATGGACAATGACAAGCGAAATTTAAATGAGTTGAACAATTTTTGTCTACACTTTAACTAGGATAAAAAAATAAAGTATAGGACGACTATGTTAAGTCTAAATTACTTACGTCTACAGGGGTAGGTGCCACAGACGAGGGGGTGGATGTCACTGGAGTAGGGGTGGTAACGACAGGCTCCTGCTTGGGACTGGCTACCACTTCTGGGGCTTTGTACTTAGGTAACCTTGACCTGAACTCCTCCTGAAGGGGGAACGCAGAATGAGTGAAATGTCAAAATATACTTAAATGATCTACTGGAGGTGTATTTATATATTACAGGATGAAACTTAAATTTAACCTATTAGCAATCCTCCACTAGGACTAGAATATCTAGACACATCTTGTTACAATACTTTTCATTGCCCCCAGCAAAACCTCTTTTAACCGCTACCTGTTTAAGAAGATTCTAGGTTAACTGGAACCTCAATAAAAAATGTCAATCAATTGGATACTTAACTTGGCGATACTAACTAAAGTGGATGGTTGGGCTGGTTTGAACAACAGAATATAACGGAGCAGACAACACAAATTTCACACCTTGTTAGCAAACAAGTTCAGAAAACAGTTGTCAATCCTAAGATGTCAAATTTTAAAATAAAAAATGTAAATTAATTAGGTACCTGAAACTATGCCTCTGAAACAGTTTAAAATTTTTATGCATCCGACAAAGACAGTCCAGGAAAATACAGGTCATTGAAAATATACTTTCTAGTGAATCTTTGAGGTTGAATTTGAAACTTTTGATTCAATAATGGCTATTTGCCGTAGTAATAAATAAACAATTTCTTTCAGAGATAAAAACTATTTTCAAAAGCCAGGTGGTGAGTGGGCCAATCTCTTTCAACAGGTTCGATGGTAAATGGCACACTTGGATTGGAAGTCTTTTTGAGCAATTAGTTTGACATCAAAACGACGGATTTAACTGTCCTTAGCATAAATTAAGCAACACCTTAAGATGTTAAGGTTTCTACAGCCCTTTCAATTATGGATGTGTAAGTTGTTGTAAGTAAATTGAATGAACGTTACAAAAATCAATTAAAAAATTTAAGACTTTTTCCCGTATCAACTCCCGAGTTGGTCAAGGGTCTTTTTTCCCTTTTTACTTTTGTCCAGGTGCAATATAAACTTTTACGGCAAAATATTAAATGATTTGTAACTTTGAATAATTCACTAGCCTACTCCTCAAAATATTTAACAATCTATATATTTAATACTCAGTTGTATTATTATTTAAACAACAACAAAGTTTAGTCGCCAAAAGTGTATTAAACTAAATGTTTAACTAGGCAATATAAATTATTTTAGAATAACAACTTGCATGCAAATATAATTCTAGGTAAACGTACCAATGAAATATCTTCCTGAGGATGAATGATCTTGCTAGAAGCACCAACTGTGTTTATGAGTGTAACTTTGGACGGCTCTGGATTCGTAGGTGTAGAATTTGAGGTTGAATTTGTCGTTGAACTACTAGAATTACTGTGGAAATAGAGATCCATCATTAAAAAGAGCATTGATTGTGGAAAAGGTTTTAAATCTACACATTATTATTTATTTTCTTACTCTGGCAATATGACAGAGCACATCAACGATTCAATATCCTTTACATTGGAGGAAATGATGATATTAAGGATATCATTGTCGCTACAAGCTACAACATAATTTTTATTGAGACTTTTATGTAGATACTTTTCATCTAAATCAAATTTTGAGACTCAACAAAACGAATCAAAACAACATGACTTGTTGCGTAAAAAAAAACTAGGATTTCACAAAGACCTTGATACACATTTTATAAAAGAACTTACCTATATGCAGGAAACGTAGGCTTCACGGGTCCAATATTGGATTGACTTGTGATAGGTTTAAAATCTGCCCCTACTGGCGTTGAACTTGATGTCGAGGACGCCTGAACAGGAAATAAACATAAGATTTAACACTCTAAAGTCTAATACTTGTGTAATATAAAACAAGAACCTTACATTTAACTGTCGTGCATTTAACTCACCATAGCTGCAGCACTGGGGAACAGTGGTTTGTTTTGCTGAGATGGAGGAGGACCCATGGGTGGTGCGCCTGGTAAAGGAGCTCCTGGACCCATCATACCCATCCTGCAGAAAACAAACATTAATGCTGTAGCCTCATTACATGACAAAACTGTGCTTTATCAGCATTGGTCAGAGGTTTTTTTTTTAGTCTGAATACAGTAGGCTAAATAAATCTTCAAAGTACCTACTTTCAAGTTTGCAAGCAACAGCTGAAATCAAGCATACATGAAAGGTTATACCTATAAATAATTAAATGTCCCTTTTGGCTCTCTGCTTAACAGGTTGGTATATTTGCTAGTCTCAAAATAATAATGTACATCTATTTCTACATGGCGCTCAGTAACAGGTAATCCAGCACTGCTGAGCAGCAGATTTAGCAAGGGTCTACTACACTGTAGAACAAAAAAATATTCACAAGTTCAATGCGGCTACCAATAAAATAGTCGGATCAGAAAATGAAATAGGCCTATTATACCGCTATACCATATTGAAGTATGAAACTGGCACAAAAGTGGCAAGCGAAATGTCACTCCTCGACAGTGGTTAACCTCAAATTTTTTCCCCTAAGACGCTAGGCAAGATTGATTTTCACATCACTTCAGGCTAGACCTAGGGGTTGCGACAATATCACTTCCATTGGTGATTTGGCAGGATTTGAACAAGGGACCTCAGGGACCTGGATTTGACGTTCTAACCGCTGGACGAGATTACTCGTCATGTACAGTGAACGTGTTAAATTTAACACATTCACTACAGGATATGGACGTCACACTCATCTGTATGATCAGTCTCCTCATAACTGATAGTGAACTTGTTAAACTGGGCTTAACATGAAGTCCTTAAAGCCAGCTATCACCTTCCTAAGTGACCTTGAGTTACTAAATAATTGTTAGAAGAAATTTTACGTTTAGGCCTCAAACAAGTTACAATGCATTTACAACAGCTAAAATGCATCTAATACTAATAACATCTTACCCTGGTCCCATAAAAGGAGGGCCCATTGGACCCATATGCCCCATCATGGGTCCCATGGGTGGCATCATAGGGTGTGGCGGAGGCATCATTCCAGGGGGCATCATACCGGGGGGCATGCCAGGCGGGGCGTTACCCAGCAGCCCCTCAGGTTTACTCTTCTTTGACTGTGGTTCATCATCCCCACTGTCAGGAGATGCTGCTCTGCCTGTCAACATAGATAAGCGAATAAATAGAAAAAATTCCTATCCAGCCAATTAGATTCTAATGCTTAAAGTTGAAACCATCAATTGATTTAATTTAAAAAAGTGAAAGTTGTATTTTGACATATTCTTACAAAGATATTACTAGTTTGTAGAACATAGGTGTTTTAAAGGCATATTCCTATAAAAGATGGAAAACAGGAACATGACGTGATTTAGAATCTGACCTTGTGTTTGTGATGTAGCCCTGAACTGTTTAATTAGACTACTGTAAGGTACATACATTCACGTCAACAGTTGAACAAAGTAGTTAGTCAAACTCACAGCTTGTTTCGCCTATTCAAGCATTGTCAAGTGATTTTCTTTCCAAGAATGTTTCATATAATACTAATCAATGAGTCAATGACATAATAGCTATTTACCTTACAAGTGTAGTAAGAGCGTTTTTACATCACGCAGGTGAATGTTGTGCAACGAGCGGAAGCGAGTTGCATAATTATCTAAGTGATGTAAACACGCTCTTGCGTAACGTGTAACGTACAAGATTTTACCTGACCCAACAATATACAGGAGGTTACGAAAAATATTTTTCATTATCCATTTCACTCATCTTCTAACAGTAACGTTCATTTACAAACAAAAGCTAGGTTAGGAAAATTCTTCAAAACATGACAATATAATTCAAGTGCACAGCTGATTTCTAACGTTGAACGTCGTTGGCTCCATAGAGGTATATTTTTTAAGTTAAGCACTCAATGTTATTTAAATGGGTTTCATTACCTCACCGAGTGAGTTTTTTCAACTTTACATCACTCGAGAAGTAAAGAAGTTGTATACATCACGCTTGGAATAGGGAAGTTTAACATGGCGGGTTAAACACAAAGGTTATTTAACGACAAAAAAAGTCTTAGTCTGCCTCAGTACCACACCCATTTAGTAGTTGGTCTACTTTAAAAGTTTAAATGTTTTTTTTATGTTTACATGCCCTACATGTGTAACTACTTATTAGAATGACTTTGACAAGTTTATTATTAGATAAAACATTCGTAGAAAGGAAATCACTTGACAATGCCTGATTAGGTGAAACATGTTGAGTTAAACCATTAATTACTTTGTTGAACTGTTGACGTAAATGTATGTACCTACCTTATAATTAGTGCTCGATTTGAAAAAAATGAGGTACCGAAACTGTGACCTTATGTGATTTGTAACTATTCAATGTACCTATTTATGCTAATATTTTTATCTTCACTAAAGAGAGGTACCGGAACTCTGTTTCTCTGCGTTCCCCCATAAATCTAGTACTGCTTATAATAGTCTTGTGTATAACTTAAAAAAGTGTTATTCTCGGAAAAGTAAAAATATTTATCTGAGAATATAAATTTTACCATCAATATGGCATAAGCCGCTTTAAAACTTAAAACTAGCAAAATCAAGTACCTTGTTTTCCCTGCTTTTGCCTTTCATGCTCTTTCAGGTCTTCAGGAGGTATACCTTCCATTCCATAAATTTCTATTTCTATATTTGACCTAGACGAAAGGGAATTTGGAACTTTGTCTATCGCTTCTTTATGAACCTGAAAAAAATGGTTACAATGTCAGGCAGTATAAAAAGACCCAATAATAGGCATAATTCTGAAGTGACCAAGTCAACCTAGACTGTAAAAATTTAAGAAATAGCCTAGAGCAAGTTAGGTTAAACAATGCATTGGTGTTCAACTAGACATAATCTCTAGAGAAAATTAAATTAATGAACACTTTAGAACTACAATTACTGTACTTTAACGAATATTTGGCCAAGTAGGCTTCGGTTAGCTCAGTTAATCCAAATTGTAGGAATATAGTTTCATCCAACTGTAGGCTATTAAGTACTGTTGAGCTAAATAAAGGTAAACATTAATTTTTTAAGATTATGTAATATTGTTTTTTAAAAAATATCACAGAGGTGCAAATATTGTGGGTGATTCATTACAATAGGCCTATGTCTGAACTTATTGAAATCAATGAGGTAGCCTATATATACAATCAGTGTTAGCCGTTTCAAAATCAAAGTAATCATTACATTATAAATGCACACATCAGTTTTAAAACTTTTAAGTTGCAAATTGGATTAATCTTTGGCTTAGTAGCTTACATCTTGTTCACAAATGCAGTAAATAATAATGAGTAGAAAGTAAAAACAACCAACAAGTTTCGGTATATAAATATATACAACGACCATATTAAGTTTTAAAATGCCAATTAATTGCAAAGATCAACACAAAAAAACACATAGGTAGGCCTACCGGTACGCCTAAAAATAAAAATTTCAACTTACCTGCATGCAATGTATTGATAATCCTGGCCCAGTGTACAGTTTTTTATGACATATGTGACATTTGAAATGTTTAGCTTTTTGATGCTGTATTAATATCTTCTCATCTTCAAATTCTCGGTTGCAATACCTTAGACTTAGTTAAGGATAATAATTATTGGGCAGGCATAGGTAACATTTTAGACGTTTTATTTAAGCCTAGTAGAGTTTAAAGGCCTAGCCTAATTGGACAGAGACACTAAATTAAAAATTAAAACAAACACTGCAACATGGCTCCGTTTCACTTCAAAACACCAAGTAAGTTATAAAGTAAGGCAAAAGTTGAATGAAAATGACAAAATATTCTAATTTTAAGAAAGAAATAATGTAGGTAGGCCTACATAGTTTCATAAAATTTGAAATCTAGGCCTAACTTAAATGTAGGCCTACCTACCTAAGTAAGAATAAATAACGTATATAAGTTATTAAAATTAGGCCTGCCTTGGTTTGATAAAATAATAAAATTTGAAATATAGGCCTAGGTATTTTTAAGGCCTTTAAATAAGAAACAAAACATACCTATAAATGACAAAATCAATAGTCAGACAAACAAGCTGTTTGACACTATCATCACATTAGAGAGGGAAAGTAAACCAGAATCCACCAATCAGCTGATTTCGGATGACATCACCTTGACCTTTGATGGAATTCCAGCCGCGGCCGGCTTGTTGTAGGCGTGCACGAATTGCGATCGTTCCTGTCTGTAAATACTTTGTAATAATAACTGAATATGTTTTGTGCTCGGTAAAAATTTTTAAGTGTACTCAACAAATCATTCTACGACCATTGACTTGATGATTTGAGCGTCGTAATGAAATAGGTTGTCATAACAGAATTGGTCGTCATGTCATATCAGAATCAAAGAATATTAAACAAATAAGTTTATTTAATAATTTAAAATAATAACTTTCCTTTTAAGAAAATATAAGTTTTTTGTAGGCCTACCTATTAAGAAATGTTATTATTTTTAACTCAATAAAATTTGAAAACTAATATTTAGATAGCCTATGAAATCACTACCTAACTTAGATCGGATGTTAATAAGTTAATGTCTGCATGTAGGCCTACATATACATATACATAGGTACATACAGAAGACCAACATCTTAAAAACAGAAACAGACCCAAGAAACTTGTATGTGATCCGTCTTTTGTCATTGTTTCTGGTGTTGCCAGTAGAAGGCCTATCTGAAATTTCAAAATCGTAGGCGGAACAGAATAGATAAGTTATTCACATCTTAGTTCACAAACACCCCAAAAATAGGTTCACAATTAATTACCCCCGCATTGTAACATGCTGAGGGAATCAAGATATAGGGCCTGTGTCAAGTCATAGGCCTACGGTAGTAACTTATGTCAAGTTTGATCGTCTCTTTTATTATTGGGACATATTTCCAACCTGAATCTTCCACACCTTTATCCGGTCTTTCACGTTTTTCGGTGTTAATATAGCCTTAACATTAATTTCAATTAATCCTAAAACCCATACTCCATCAACCAATCTTCCTCGATTTGTGCTTTCTTTTTCCAATCTTACATTCATCTACCTCAACAATGACGCCTTCTTCACCCAACAACTCTTCTTCATCATACAATCTATCTATATAAGAAACACACACTTCTCTACAAAACGATAGGTAACCAATTGGCAAAAGTTTTACTAGGCTACTTGTGATCAATCTAGTTTCACGAATGAGAATCTCGTAGTTAGTGATGTTTATGCTGAAAAAGTAGGTAGGCCTAGGGATTAGGCCTAATGTCAAAATATTTACAAACCCAAAGTGAGAATTTTCAAAAATAAAGTGTTTATCAATGCATAGATAATGAGTGTGATTTAGATCGTTTCTGACATCTAAAATCTACCTGATTTTCATCTCGTATTCTAACTTTCATATCTTTGTTACAGACGTCACATTTAGGAGCACCGGTTACTTATCAGGTAGGCCTACTAATCCTTGATCTTACATCCAATTGAAACAATTTTCACGGATTACATAAAATAGGCCTACTCTAGTGTAAATTCTCGAAAACTTAATTCATGGTGAAGTTCTTTTAAGCTATTCCCTACCTACCTACTTACAAATAAAAATAATGAAATAAACAAAATTGTAAATAACTTATTGAAACAAAAACAATGCAATAATTGATGTAGGCCTAGGCTATAGGAGTAAGTTAGGCTAATATCGATTAGGCCTAATCGATGTCGATCGATATTTTCATTCGAATGAGTGTAGGACGTAAGTTTAAGTAAAGTGCAGCCCCGACATGGATCATATTTAAAAATGGCTGCACTTAACTTTACGTCCTACACTCATTCGAATCAAATATTGATTAAGTAGCCTATTCGATTGTTTCATTCGATATATCGTTTGGTTATATTATATTATATTATTATATTAGATAACCTTACCTAACTAACCAAACGATATATCGAATGAACCAATCGATTAGGCCTAATCGATATATCAATCGATATTTTCAATCGTACGAGTGTAGGACCTAAAGTGAAGTACACAGCCTTAAAAATTGTTATGTTTATGATCCATAATGTACCGGTTTGGTTCAAGTATTCGTGAATTACACTTATTTCTAGTCACAGTTCTAGTGAGGTTAGTTAGGCCTAGTGCCACACCCTGAGCCAACTTAGGCTAACTAAAATGTTACCAAATTGAGTAGGCCTAACTTAAATGCCTAAGCCTAATAGGTAGGCTAAATTATGTACATCTCACTTTAAAATATCAATAAACATAGGCATTAATAGGTTAACTCATCTGATTTGCTTCAGCAAATGGCTCTAGGCCTAGGCCTAGACATTCATAACATATGCTAACCGCCTAATGGCCAAGTAGGACAGGATTAAGAACTCAGACCACTAGGCGGCCTAGGTGAAAAACGAAAAATTAAAATTCACATAGATTTACAATTATATTAACATCAATCTTAGGCTACTCAAATTATTGGTGAACTTGAAAGGATACCAGCACCAAGGCTTGCTCTGCTTCTTTTTCTTGCGACCCATTTTTGTATTATAAACTTCTAACGGATTAACTTTAAATCTATTATAATAATATATCACAGTTAAACATTGCAATTACTTTCACTTGAGAAAGGGCAGCAGTTTTCTTTAAATGGTTATTCGATTAGCAGCAACAAAAATTATTTTCATCCACACGGAGAGCTATGATAAAAGAAATAACTTTCAACAAAATGGAGGAGCGGCAGCGGCAGCGGAGCAGCTAGCAGCAGCCAGCAGCCAGCCAGCGCCAGCAAGCAAGAAAAGAAGAAGAAGGAGACAGCACAACAACAAAAGAAGAGCTACGCCATAAATATATATCTATATATACAAGAATTATATATTAGAATTATATATATAGCCTACAACTACAACTGCTGCGGTTGTAAAATTAAATTAAAACTGCACTAGTATATTGTACACATATGCACCTTATCTACCGGTCGTGGTTATTTCGTAAACATTATCGTGACTAAAGGCGGCCGTGACTAGTATTTGTTCATTTATTTATTCATACGGTAAACATAATTTTTACAATCAATAATACATGATGAGTGGCAAGTTAACAAGATATTTATAAATTTAATATATATATATATATATATATAAGTCTGATTCAGATTCATCCTGCTAGACAATAAAAAAGATTCCCAACATGAAAAATTACAAAGACATCAACAGGAATGCACCAAAAATGCATTGACAAAGATTACCATTAAACCATTAGCTGCTGCCAGTGCTGCCCATCGATCTCTATTATTAGTCGTTGAATATTTGAATTATTTTGCCTCTAGCTCACCGTCTCTCTGTCTATTACTAATCGCGCCATGTTCAGCAGGCTTTTTTCAAGGTCCTCCAGTAATAAAAATAAGTTATAATAGTTTTGTATTCTAGTCCCTATTACCATAGATAAAACATTACTGTAATTGATATGTTTTAATCTAACACCTCTCACCACCTAGGTAGTTGTGATGCAAGTCTCCCAAAGTGCTCCCAAACATTAAGCAAGGGCGTTTACCTGAAATAGGAATGTTCTCCGAGGGTCGGGCGCATACTTTAGAGATGAATTTCCCTTGAATATGTGTTATTTGCCACCACTCTAGGATTTGTGTCATTTGCCACCACCATTGACTATATATACATACAGGTAGGTATCAATGCCACCACGCTATACCTGGCTGGGTGAGTCATCAACCCAAACCCTAGTCCGTCGGTCATCACCTCTCGAGGCACCGGCCGATGGACCAGGAAATACCTATTATTCACACTATCACCCTCTCCCGCAACATTTTTATGGTAAAAATTCCAACACTCTCTTTAGGAGTAGGGAAATACATGACGGAAACGATTATTTATTGCTTTTACCAAAGATTACATATGCTAACGCAAAATTTTGCGTTAGCATATGTAATCTTTGCTTTTACTTTTGTCAACAAACAGCTGTTACGATACAACCCTACTTGCGACGTTGCCACTTCGAAGGCAGTGGCCTCTTAGAGTTAAAGGTGGCTGTGGAAAATAGTGAAAAGCATAAGAAGAACAGAAAACATTTGAGGTTAAATTCTAAAATTGTTAGTTTTTTGGTTTTTTCTAATCTAACCTCTAAATCTACCTATGGCCAATCCAACGGCGTAGATAGTGTTGCTGTTTATTTGCTATAAATACAATAATCTACCTAAGTAAGTAACCTTAGTCGTAGAATTTGCAAGTATTATTGTTTCGAATGTTTTAGTGCTATCACAACCTAATCTTTGTTGTTGAGACTAGGCCTAGGCCTACTGCTACTATTGTACGCTATGCCTAGGCATAAATAACAAATAAGGTTGTGTTGTGCCCTACAAATTGGCTAGGACCTAGGCAAACTTAATGGATATTCTATAACATGTCTGTCTCCTACTACTGCGATTTGTGTAATTGCATTGGATTAACTAACACTCAAGCGTAGCCTACAATGGGGCCCAGATGTTGACGTAAATATTAATCAATCAATTACCCTATAAATCGATCAATTATTTATGATGGAGGGATTTACTATGTGCATATTCTAACCCTAGGATGAGTGGCGCAATCTTGTAGTCTTGTGATTGACCAAGGCCGACATGTCATTAGACACAGCTGTTAATTAATAAGCCCATACAGCCAATGGCAGCTAAGGTGGACTACTTACAGTTTAATAGTGGAATCCGAACCACATTTTTTCCTTTCAATAAACGAATTGGTCTTATTAAGTTATCAGGATGGAACTGCGGATAGTCGTAGTACTCACTAGTGCAGACGTTAATCTACACCAGAGAGCATTGCATCCACAGTGCATGCCTATAAATATCCACAATTCGTGACCTCCTAGTTGCTGGATTACAGGACGATGCCGTCGATGCCACTGTCCCAGTCACAATATAATTAGCTGTTTGGGCTATTAATTAACAGCTGCTGTGCCTAAGGAAAATGTCGGACTTAGTCTCTTAGTCCTTAGGCCTTGGGCGGCCTAACAAGACTACAAGATCGTGCCACTCATCCTTCACTCATATTTGGGTTAAAATACGCACATAGTGATGTCTCCATGTCTTTAATACCGTAATAATTGATTGATTGATTGATTAATGCAACTAAGCCATAAGCCTTTTAAAAGACTGTCATGCCTTAGTTTTACAAGAAACTGTCCCCACATTAATTAAATTATAGGTAGACTTATTACACATTTTCTAGGCCTATTAAATAATATGAGTGGAAATCAACCTTTGTATAAAACTTAATACAGTAACTTAACTTAAGTTTTTATCCAATCTTTTTCGGCTTAGGCCTATCTTACACATTGGTACATTCAATCATAACAAAGAATAGGCTGTAATAACTTAAGTCAAGTCTTTCATCCAAAGTCGTTGTACTTAGGTGGCGTTCCCATCTCAATGGCTTGCTATGCTAACTTAGGCACCTACTGTAACTTAGTCAACCCTTCGGTAACATTGATCACAGACGTCACCAAAAAATAAGTATTTTTACACTATTATGATATGAGGTTAAATAATATCCTGAATTAAAAAATGACTGTCGTTTTCCTCGAAGTTAAACAAGTTATAGGTCTCGCCATTCTAAGTTGAGGCAGCCCAAACTGACCGGCAGGGTCATTACCGGCTGGTCCCGCCCAACCCTTTATAATCCGATTAGTGACACTTCCGTGAACGCTCTAGTTCAATAATTATCATAATAAATTTAAAATCCGATTTATAAATTTAGTCATTTACATTAATAACATCGATTTAACAACCATTTCCGTTTTTGTCCCATCGAAAACGGACAATGTTTACGGTTTGTGAGCTTTAAACAAAAAACTAAGTAGGCCTAGTGTAGATCCCAAAATCCAATGTTAATATTGAATACAATATAAGTATCGGAAAAATAAACTTAAGATATAATATAAAATTTATATTAGCCTAAACTACTCTATAAAGATACATAAATAGTAGAAATAATATAACTATACAATATGTGCAGCACTGTGTTAGGGCCTAATGTAGGCCTAGTTTCCATTATGAAAATTAAAAGCTATAAAAATGAACCATTAATTCTATGATTTCGATGTATGATATATAGACTGATACAAAAATGTGAAGATGATTCAATGTTTACTTTGACGAGGGGTTGAAACTACCCGTTGGGTTGTCGAGCTATCGCGTCATGTCTTTACCAGGAATTCCTCCCTTCCACAGCGAATATCTCGGTGAATCATAGTTCCTGGCGATAAATACCAACATGTGTTATGGTCATTTCTGTCTCTACATTTCACCAGTGATGTCAGCTTCAAGGACTCCTGATAGAACCATATTGGCAGAAAATTATAAAGATACACAAAATGGAAAACCTATGAGCAGTGGTCAACGAGAAGTGATTTTAACGGTTTTTGGTAAAGACATGACGCGATAGCTTGACAACCCAACGGGTAGTTTCAACCCCTCGTCAAAGTAAACATTGAATCATCTTCACATTTTTGTATCCAGTCTATATCATAGGGCCTACATCAAAATCATAGAATTAATGTTTCATTATTTTATTGCTTTTAATTTTCATAATGGAAACTAAACATAACACAGTGCTGCACACATTGTATTTACCATTATTTCTACTATTTATGTATATTTATACATAGTTTAAAGTTTATAAAATCTATTTTTGTTTTTATATTAAAGTTTATTATCTTATGTTTATTTTTCCGATACTTATATTATATTCAATATTAACATTGGATTTTGGGATCTACACAATGTATGGTTTTTTGTTTATAGCTCACAAACCGTAAACATTGTCCGTTTTCGATGGGACAAAATGTAAATGACTAAATTTATACATCGGATTTTAAATTTGTTAATGATAATTATTGAACTAGAGCGTTCACTGAAGTGTCACTAACTTAATCGGATTATAAACGGTCGGGCAGGACCAGCCGGTAATGACCCTGCCCAGTCAGTTTGGGCTGCCTCAACTTAGGATGGCAAGACCTATAGGCTTAATTGAGATTAAACATTAGGTTAAACCAACCTAGCCTCAAAATGTATGTGTTAATATAAGTTAGCCTAGGGTCGTTACAATCTTTGTTAGGCTAATTGTTTTAATTTCATATAACAGGAATACTTCGTCTAGGCCTACGGGGTGATGGCGGAAATAGAGCAACAAGAGGAGGAAAAGGAGGTTTTGCTCTCTATTTATGAAGGAGATCCTGCTTTCAAACAAATATCTCCCACAGTATACCAATACAAGGTACTGTAGCTAATTCTTTGTTGTTAACACTGGTTTGATATAGCTGAAGCTACTAACAAATATAATTATACAGTAGAGTCCCGCAAACTCGGCACTTGATAACCCGGCAGTCTGGATAACTCGACCATCACCTGGCTCAGAAAATTAGTGATTTTTTGAGTCAGAGTTTAACATGGACTCAAGCCAGCTCAAGTCAAATCATTCGCAACTCATAGGCTACCAAGGATTTGCTGTACTATATCTGATGACTTAATACTAACTTGTAATATAAATAAAAATAAAAAAGGTGGTTAAAAAGCTTAAAAATTGTATTGTTCTTATTTTGAATCCTAGTTTCCGATAACCCGGCATTTCACAAATTCGGCAACCTTCCAGTCCACATTACGCCAAGTTTGCAGGACTCTACTGTAGTTGTTACTTACCACCTCTAAAGAAAATTTAATATTATTGGTCTCAACATTTATTTTTTAACTGGAAAGTGAGATTAATTGGGCGAAGCATATTTCACTTTTTAGTGGTACAAAACAACTGTGTTATCATTTAAAACTCAATGAAGTCATAAATACTTAGTGTAGCCTAAAACTAACTTAATAGGCCTAGTCTGATAAATAATGTTAGGTCTGTCTTATCTTTTACTACAATAAGTTACAAAAATATTTTAAAATTTATAGAGCATCGGTTCTCAAACTATTGGTTGAGGAGACCAAACATAACAAATTGTTTGTAATTACAGACAATTAAAGATTTTACAACGATTTCACAAAGAAATTGTTAGCTATTATGTAATTCAATATTGTAAATTGGTGTAATCCGTTAGCAATAGGCCTAAATAAATGAATAAATATTATGATAGATTCTTCAACTATCATTATCTTTTGTAAATACAAGACATCGGATATTGATTATTTTGACCCTAAGTAGGCTACATTAATAATAGCCCTACTAGATTCAAAAACAGCCCTCTACTTTTCTAGAATAAAAACAAATGCAAATAAAGTCTCTGGTAAATAGTAGGTAGCCTACTAATAAATTCTTTGTTTGAAGTTCATTGTTGGTGATGGTGAGTTAATGTTTTTCAAAGGTTTATTGCGGACATTTTCCATCACGAATGTAAAAAACAATACACAACGTTTTGGGATCTGGAATCTGATCCCGTCCTCAGGTGAAAAAAACTACTAATAAACTTAAGATCTAAATAATTTTAAAATTTTCAAACAGTGGGTAAGTAGGCCTAGTTTTTGAACTAGATATTGTAGGCTATTTTTTAATAACATCATCTTCACAATTTTCATTTAGGCCTCGTTAAGTTTGTGTTTTCTCAGTGTAATGATAGCATAGTATAAATTTTAAAAATTAGAAGAAAGGGGTACGCGAGAAAAGAATCCAAGGTGGTAGAGGGTCACCAGGAGAAAATGTTTGGGAAACCACTGTTATAGAGCATGTTGGTATAAATAATGTAAATGATATTTTGTATTGAATGATTTACAACTGTATAATGAAAATGTATGTTTTTAGTACGGCAATGACGGTGAACCAAAATCCTTCTTGTTAGAAATATCTTGGGGCAAAACCTACCCAACAGAAAAACCCAATGTGAATTTGAATACATTTTACAACAAGCATATGTAAGTAAAGCCTAACTCAAACTGACATTATGTATTTTTTTATATATATTATAAAAAGTTTAAAATACCTTTAACTGCCTCGTGATTCCTCTGCTTCTATACTGGACTACTCGTTTCAATGCATCAGCCACTCTCAGGTCACAAAACTTGAAGAAACTTTAACCATTCTTGAATTGGCCGTGCAATTCCATCACTGGGATTGTTTAATGTGAAAGCGCTCATGCTCTTCTAACTTATAGAAAAAATTGCTCATACCTTTTTACCCAGACAGAAGACTTGTAGGCAACCCTATTATTGTCAACTAGTGTTTTTAACATCGGTAACTTGCTATGTAATTAATTCATAAAATTTAAGTAATTGTAGGCCTAGTTCCTACTGTTGGAAAATCATTTTTAGGTTTATAGGTAGTCATTTTAACAACTGGACCAGAGCTACACAAAAAAACTGAATTAAATTTGTGTATTTTGTGTAGAAAGGAATCAGTTAAACAAAGGATATGTGAGCATTTGTTAAACGAGGCAGACCAATTCCTGGGAGAAGCAATGACCTACACGTTGTTCGAATCAGCTCGAGAACATTTAGAAGAACTGACTGCGGAACAACCAGAATCCCCGGATGTACCTGTTAGCGAACCTAGTAACGAGGTAAATGTTTAACTTGTTCTGTTACTTAGACCAGGGGTCTCCAACCTTATTTACCCTAGGGTCCTGTATCATTAAAGTTATAAGTTCTTTTTCTTTTTTAATTTGTCATTTTTAAGGCCATTATTAACAAATTAAAAATATAGAATAATAAAGGCATCAAAATAGATTTTTCTGAAAACTATTGGTATAAACAAATTCCCTGAGGGCTCTGCCCCACAGGCTGATTTCCTAAGGGCTCTGCCTTGCCAGTACATGCTTTAAAAGTTTACATTTAATTAATTAAATTATAAACAAACAGCTGGCCAATGTTTTAACAGCTGTATGCTTGTTTACTTAAAAACTGTTTTTTCATCACTCCGTTCCGAGAGTAGCTGTTTTCAATGACAGCTGAATAGCTGATATCAAAAAAAGTAATTGTTTCATTCTCTAATTTATAACAATGAAACCCTTGCTTACATTTTACACACCCACTTTTTTTGGCACAAAAATTGTGTCATTCTCAGGCTGTTCTATGACATAGCTTTATAGTTTTATTTCCTACCGGAGACCGTAATTTTTCTTTCTTTCAAACTACAAAATATCAATTCATTTCCATTACTCAAATACTGTCACACTAAAAGACAACTGGTGGATGATGAGCATTAATATGTGGCTTACTGTAGGCAGGAGCAGGTATTTACACTTTTTTTCAATGTTTACCAATTATCGGCAATCTAGAGTAGGGATGAGCATTGATAGATCAACCATCGATACCAATAACTTCGTCTTGGAAACATCGATTTTTTTGGGGCTAAAACATTGAAGTTTTTCATCTGCTCTCTATACTGCAATAACTAATCAAGGTAAAACTAATTCAATTCATTCATGGAAAATACCAATATTTGTCCATAAACATCGATGCTCGTCAAAAATATTGATGTAACGTAAACATCGGTACTCTACTATGGATGTAAAAAACATCGTCCATCATGTGAAAACATCAAACATCGACTATCGATGCTCATCCCTAGTCTAGAGGCAGTAATACCATAGTTATTTGTTACTAAATTTTGTTTGTTATGTTTAGCTGCCGGAGGAAATTGTTGAGAAAAAGGCCGCAGTGAAGAAAGAGCAACTTAGCAAATCTCAAAAGCGGAAACAGTGGGACAGAGTAGATGGTAAAGGAGAGAGACCGAGAGGATGGGATTGGGTAGATATTGTGAAACATTTGTCTCAAACAGGACCAAAAGAAGACATACCCTCGTCATAGCCTCAATTGTTGTTAGTTACTGATAAATTAATTAACAAGTATATCTTGGAAAGGGTTAGAGTTCAGCTAGCTCATCTGAAAAATTGGAATCTTGGGCTTTACCAATAAAAACAATTTGTATGATAACGTTTTTTATAAATGCCTTGATTCGTAATTTCGTCAGGGAGGTTTTCTTAACTCCAGCCCTTTCTAAAACAATCATTTGCTACATAGCTATCAAATTGATGAGATTAATTGATAGAAAAATCACTAACTAATTTTTGTAAAGAAAAACAGTTAACTCAAAAAAATTTTACGCCTCTAGGAACGGAAAAAAATACAAACACTTTTACACCTTAAGCCGGATATTTCCTTTTGTAAAAACTTGTAGACTTATGTAATATATGATCGGCACATGTATAAAGAGATATATATTTTTTTAGGTTTCTTTTTCAACTTTTTTTATTACCCAAAAGAAATTTAATTTTTAACTGTTTTCCATGTTTGAGTGAAATTAGAATGGTTGTGGATGCGTAATATTTTTGTTTGCATATGACATTTTGGTGTGGTTAGTATTGATTAGTATTCAAGCTGAATGAATTGTGAATGTTTTGTTTAAAGGTAGGCCTAATTGTTGACCAACCTTGAATCTGATTGTATATATGTATGTATGTGTGAATCTGTAGTCAAAAAAGCCTATCAATGAATCTTTTTTCTGATTGAATCCGTGATGCTCTGGTGTAGTGTTCATATTTATTATAGTTTTAAAATTAAGGCAATAATTGATATTTAAAGCAGCACCTTTGAGTGAGTAGCACGTCAGAATGTAAATGCACCGATGTTGATTTCGTGGGCTTACGTATCGGTGAAGCCACTTAAATTATCAGTGCAGTTCAGTCTTTACTGTTTCGGCTCACCCCTTGTTTTGCTTGTTATGTTCCTGGCACAGGCCTTCGAGTGCTATAAGGGTGAGGATGAGAGGATAAAAGTGGCTGGCAACCTTTTTATAAAAAAGGGGGATTTGAAAGTAACACATAGGTATTTTAACATTATGTTTGACCATGAACTACAATTTAGAGTGTCCATTTTACCCAGTTTTTATTTAAATAACAATCTATATCTATAAATCACTAATAAAACAATAATATGAAAAATAATTTATTGTAACGACATTCATAAAAGGAGGAGCAGCTAGCTTACCTTAGAAGAAATACAGGTAGGGTATAGAACACACAGAAAACACATAAAACACACAATATAACATCCTCACATAATATTGTGTGTCCTGTATTTCTTCTAAGGTAAGCTAGCTGCTATCCCCGTTTATACTAACTTACTTATTCAAAATCCTGGCCTAGCACTTTACCTGAACAAAACTTTTATATTACTGTAATTAGTTAATACAGTTGCTTTTACGGAACTGAATGAACACAATTCTTGTAGGCCTATATACAGAAGTAAAGGAGTGATATTGACTGTTAATATATTCTTTTAAAAATTAGTAATATATTAAATAGGAATTTGCTAGCTTGTTTTAACTGAATGGTTGATATTATTCCAGAAATTGAACTTATACAGTATACGTAAATAAAAGGGCTTCCAAAATAACATTGGTTTATTTTCCCCCAAATGTACATATCTGCAATTTGATACTCATTATTCCCAGAAGAAATTAAAACTCTGGTTGTTTCCCTGAAATACTATAAAGCGTTACAAACCACTTAAAATGATACAGTCAGCTGACGTTTCTTATTTGATTACAGGATTAAACTTTTGATTTTATTTCATTCATGATATTTAGGGGAATTGTAAAACTAGCTTGTCAACAATATTGTTGATTTTAAATCTGTGGTTTTATTCTGTTGACACCAGAATTCTGAGGGTTTATTTTTGTATGTTCTTAGGTGATTGTCAAAACTCAATTGAACGTAAAATGCAATTCGAATGAAAATGAAATTCAAATGAAATGACAATAGGCATCATTCGCCTATTGGGTCTGATGATGATTGGAGTCTCCAATCGAAATCGATCACCACTTACCATCTTTTTTGTATATTTACTGTCTTGTGAGTAACAGCATTGACTATATAACACTACTAGTGTTACATAGTCAATGGTAACAGTATAAGCGTAAATATATGTTTAAGTGTTTTTGACGTTTCTTTGATTTATTTTTCCTAAATTTAATAACACGTTGAATGCTATTAAGAAGTTATCCAGGTACCAATCAGATAAATAAGTATTTTTTTTAAAGAGGGTTCCACCCTCCTGCTGGTTACCTCGTAAACATGATAGTACAAAAAATAATGTATCATTAAAGTGTTTATTGAGTTGAAATAAACTGTAAAATATCGACAAAAACCCAAACTATGCAATGGATGAACTAAAAGTTTTTAGTTAATTCTTATAGTATTTACAAAATAATTTTGAAAATCCGTAAATTAGTCTCTTTCACATGTGATTTTAACTTTTAAATAATAGTTAAAAATAAAATTTTCTCCAACCATTAAAAGCTCTGATATGTTAAAAGCACAACAAACACACAATCATTTAAAACCAATTAGTTTTTGAAATGTCGAGAACTTGTACAATAGAGGCATGTTCAATCTCAAACTATATTTCAATACATATAATCCACCAGTTTGAATTGTATTTCAGGCTGCTGGGCAGAACCCACTTAATAACCAAACACCAGGCCTAATACACATAAAAGCTTCTAGCTAGATATTTTTTTAATGAAGCAGAGAGGTTTTGATTCATTTTTCTGTATAATTAATTTATCCATTGCCTAATTGCTAACAAATAACTAACTTTATGTCAGGAAATATTAATATTAGGCAATTTTAAGTTCAATTTTGAGTTCAATTTTGAGTACAAGCCAAATTAAAGAATAGGTACCGGTACTCAAAACTAGGGATAAAGGATGTATAGGCCGACAATATAGTTTAATTTTCTTATTAGGCCGACAATATAGTTTAATTTTCTTATATATATTTACAGTTCACTTTTAAAAATTTTACATTACTTTTTACATATTTACAGTCCAGCTTATTGAATGTAGTAGATTATCTCTGGGGTGCTATTGAGCACTTCATAATCCATGTACACTACTGTCATTTACTGTTTTCACCAAGTTACGATACATATAGCCAAGATCCAAAGACAAGACGTCGTAAGTGTTGAAGCAATACTTGGCACTTGCATTCTGTAACGAACTGCATAGTCCATTGAACTGTTGTTCTCAAGTGTTGACGATTCTTCCAACTCTGTCGATGTTACTGGGATCTCAGTGTTCAATTGTTTTACGTCCATTCCGTTAAGCGATGCGTTTGTCCATCTTGGTCCGTTCGGTAAAACCGGTGAAGATCCGGTACGAAGCAGCGTGATGTTGATAAACTGCGGCCATTGACCATCTTCTGGCTGTCTTACGTTGATGGGTATTGTTTGGTTTTGATACCCAGTTGCAGTCACCTGGAAATTTGTTAAAAGGTATAATATTTTGTGCAAATAATACTTAAAACAAAACAGGGTGTTTTTTGAGTTTTGCTTTAACATTGTGTGAGCAGCAGTGTGAGAAGCTATTAAGGAGTGACTTAAGGAAATCCTGGTAGATTTCAATTTATCTAAGTCGGTAATATGTCGGTTTTGCTTCGATTTTGATGTCAAGTACATCACACGGGCAAAAAGTATCTTTTCAACCCTCAATCATTTTCGCTCGTGATACTTGAGCTCGGGTCGGAAAGAGTCTTTTACGCCCTAGTGATGATTATACTATAAAGGTTACTGGACCAATGTGCTTAATTAGTATCAAAGTGTCAAAATAATTTTAGAAATGTTTAGAACCAACGATATTTTCGTGTTAGTATTTACCTGATTCGTTAGTGTCTTTACACATCGACTCATCAACGATTAAAAAAATTGGCACAAACACATATTTAATCTAAAAAGGTGAAATAAAATGAAAATATTGAGTAAAAATTTATTTTGATAACTCTTTTACATCCAATACATAGATTAGTGCGAATAACCCTTGACATAACTCCATAGCTTGAATGTAAGCAAGTATAGCAATTCAAAGACAACTAAGACATTGAATCCGTTGAAAAGTGCAACAATGCCAATGGAATACGCCATGAACTGAGTCAGGCTGTTGGTGCTGACTCGGATCTTGGAGTCGTATAATTTAGTTCGTTTAAAGAAGAATTGAAAAACTGATGAAATATTTGGTTTTAAGAGAAAAATTGTTTCCTCGAAATCATAAGACAAAGAGTTGCAATCTGGCAAACAACCACAGTCACACGTTGCAGCAACTATGCAATTATAGAAGCAAACATCTACAGAACTGTTGTGTCTAGGCAAGTCAAACGTGACACAGCCACAGTGTGTGAGTGAACAGTTTGCTTTACATTCTGCCTCACATTTCATCTGACTGTAATGTTTAAACATTGACAGCGGCTTCTCATGCGTAAAGTAATACCCTCTAACAGATGGATCATACTGCTCAAGGCCGCTTTCTGAAGTAACAATGTTGGGAATAATAGATATACTTCTGGCGGTTCTGTCTTCCACTGTGATATACTTTCTAATGGTGAATGGGATTTCTAGTGGGTTGTGGATGACAACGTTGCTTTGTATTTTGCTATTAGCTAGACAGGACTCAGCTGTATCATTGGGTATTATGTAATTCCTTGCGCTTTTGATTGTAATCCAATCATTCTCACTCATATATACTGGCGTCGTATTAATGTTCCCTCCGAAATACATCATATTGTCCAAAGTCAAGTGTTTTCCTAGGTAACCAAAACCAGGGGAAGAATACCGTTTCATCGGGAAATGAGTAACAACATTTTCTTTGTAAATATCCTCGTGATGGAGACCATTGAGAGTAAAACACAAACCTAAGGTCGATAACCACTTTTGGCACTCGTTTCCATCGCATCCTCTAATCACTTCCTTTATAAAACCACCTTTCCGTTCATGGTATATGTAAACCTCATTAAGATCAATAACATCCTCAATGTAGGACGAAAATTGGTCATATCTAATACTATTGAAGTTTAGAAACACTCTTTTATTTCCTACAAACTTCGGACAACACATTAAAAAAACAGCAAGAGTCACCATCTCATCTATGCTGCATTCTCCATTGCTCACACAATCATTGTCGCCACACAAAATACATTTCCTCAGAATGCCTGAGTAGTTGTAGTTGTTGTTAAGAATTGGTGGATAGCAAACCGTTATTGCGGGGACCGGAACTTCATTGACATAAGTTACGTTGGTCGAAAATACTTTATATGCGGGTGAGATTTGCCAATTGTCGTACTCCATCTTGATTAGAGACAAACTTGTTGATAAAGCAAGCATGTGAACAATCAACCACAAGCAAGTGTGACACCAAGACTGGTTCTTCCCTATGAGAAACTTCATGCCTGGTAGACTCAATGCCTGAATCAACTCTTGAAAGTAGAAGTGTGGGGAATAGTTACCATCACGCAGGGAATGATCATACTCATCAATATGAACCGAAGTAGTTTGGTTAATCATTTCTGATTCAACTTGCCTTGTAGGTTCAAGTCCTCCAGGGTTGTGCGACAACGGGGGTTTCAAGCTTGACCAAAGCTGTTTAATTTCATCTTCTTGTTGAATCATTCTTCTCATCATCTCTTCATTAAATGTTCTTTGCTCTTGGTTTACTTCGGATTTTGTTTCGACTTGGTTTGTAGCTTCAAGTACTAAAGGTTTTTGAGTTGGCAAGGGTTTCAATCTTGACAAAATATCTTTTATATCATCTTCTTGTTGAATCATCCTTCTCATTATCTCTTCATTAAATGTTTTTTGATCTTAGTTTACTTTGGATATTGTTTCAATGTCCATCTTAAGAAACGTAGAGATATTCAAATACAAAATAGCTTTATTTGATCTCAAATGAAAAATAAACGTCGTTCCCTTGAACAAAATCGTCTTTATTAACAGAAAGCTTGATACAGTATGCTGGTACTCTGCCTAATATGACCTTCTAGTCTGTAAAGTTTTTATAATACGACCATGCCTATTTTAATTATCGGTGGTATGACGTGTATGTTAAAACTAATAGCATTACAACACACGTTGCATTGCATGTCTTCCATATGTTTAATGACGAACTTCGTTAATTATGTTAAATATTTAATTACGATGAGATTATTGGCAAATTTTTAGAACTCTAATCAATCATTTTATGTATACCACGTTCGGCGGTTGGAAATCAGAATAATAGACATCCACTTTACACTTAAATACACAAAACGAGAACAGTCCTATTTTAACAAAAGTTGGTGCGAGCTATTTCATTGAGATTTAAAAACTCTTTTCCTCCAATTGGTATTCATTAGCTAACAAAATATGACTTGTTTTTTATGTTTCTGGTTATTTATGGATATTTTGTATCTGGTTAGTAGAAAACATGTTTTTTAGGTTACTTAATCATTTAATTTAGTTCATGACACTGATCATCAGCGAAAAAGAATAAAAAGAAAACTAGAAGCAAAGTACGGACATAAGTCTCTAAAAAGCTCAAAATGTTAAACTACTTATATTACTATTTGAACAAAGATGTTCTAAAATTAACAGTTTTACAGCTAATCCTTCTTCCACTAATCACTACGGGTCGTGGGTATTTTTATTTTATATGAGTACAATATTGGAAATGTATTCTACTTTTCATCTCAAAAATTTTCGTGTCAATTTACAATTCTTGTCAAACAAAGGAAATAATACTCTTCGAAAAATACTGCCATGCTTACTTTGACAGAAAGGATATTGTAGAAATGACTAACAACTTGTAAAATAAATGTCGTTTCTCTATATCTCAAACGTTTGCGTGCGTCTATATTAGTTTTTACTTTGATAAAATATTAGGTCTTAACTTTCTTCAATGTATAATTGAATGTCACTATTTTCAATGATACGCAGTCGTAAAGCCATAATTAAAACAAAATAAACCTCAATATTATCGGATATAGACAAACATTTTCCTTACATCTGACATCAAATAGAAAAAGCACGGCACTTCTCTCATATGGTGTGTTAAATTGAGAAAAAGGAAATAAACCCCGGTGTCAAATCCTCGGATGTGAGACAATTTTCCAGTTGAACGCATCTTGGTAAGTTCTGTCTACGGATGGAACTGTGATTTTGCCATCACTGAGGGGCTCTAACTGTTAATAGAGAAAATAGTTCGGTATTTGGCCACGTTATTATACGTGTGTATTGACCAACATATTAGGAAATATCTGTACTGTTCAAGTTAAAAATATTTTTACAAATTACACATGAAAATTAATTTTCTAAGATAGAACTAGTTTAATTAGTTTATATCAAGAAATTGTGATAGGACTAATTATGCTATGTGTATGTAATTAATCATATCTTTTACATGATTAAACTTTTATACAAACGTAATAAGGATAAATTTATATGTAAAATATGATTATAGTAATGTTTAAGTAGTGTGCTAAAGATAATTAACTCGTATTATTGGCAAAAAGGAAAACAAGTACTACAGAAAATGGGATTTAAGAAATACGAAAGCACGTTGAGTCAATACAATTCTCTTTAGCTTCTTTATGTAGTTTCGAACATTTAAATTTTAAAATGAACCCATTCACATCGGTAAAAGGGTTGACTAAAATATTTGACAGTAGGAATCAGTTGTAAGTGTATTACAAGTACATACACACATTACAAGTACATATGTATTACAAGTACGCTAAAGTTTTCTATACGGTACGTTATGATCGCACCGAAAGAAAAAAGAAACTTTAACTTCAACTTTGACAGGTCAAAACTAACAGGATTTTATTTGCTCCAAAAAGCTTTTTTTTTAGGGAGAGGAGGGAAATGCTTTTACGCACACAGGTAGCCAGCCTGTAGTGTGAGACTCCTGAAAATTATCAGACTACTCACTAAAAGACCCCCTCTACTCTGTTGGACACAGACCTGGAATTGTTTGTCACATTACTTCAAGTCAGGCCAACATGTGACCTAAGCCCTCAGGGCTCGCACCATTTCTGGCATTTAGATTCTTAATGACCTACACCGCATCCCGGTCAAGGTCGATCTTCTTGGCGCGGAGAATACCCTGGATATAATGTGACACACAGGTCAAATTGTCCTCTCCCTCCATCATAATCGGTATGACCGTGTCCACCGACAGCAGTCCTACTAACTGTTGAGCCTCCAGGCGGGGCCTTTCCCAGCGCTGGCAGTGGAAAAATGTATGTTCCACGTCATCGAGAATGCCTGGGCAGTATATGCAGTCGGGTGACACGGCTTTGCCCATCCTGAACAAGTACGACCGGAAAAAGCCGTGTCCCGTCAGAAATTGGGTGAGGTAGAAGTCCACCTCTCCGTGCCGCCGATCCACCCAAGGTTAGACTAGCTGTATCAGTCACCTGGTCCAGAGTCCCCGTGTCTCCTGTTCCCAGCCCTCCTGCCACAGCTGGTAGGTGCGGGTGCGTTCCTCTGTTCGTGCCTCGTCCTCCCCACGGCGCCGGTAAATTGCCTTTCTCTCCGCCGCCAAAAGTTTGACGGGGATGACTCCAGCAATCACCAGGACGGCGGGCTCGGACACTGTTCGGTAGGCAGATGCTACCCTCAGTGCTGCCTGACGCTGCACTCGGGCGAGCCGCATCCTGTATGCCTCCTTATTTGGTGCGTCTGCCCACACCTCAGCACTGTACAACAGTACGGACTGGACCGAAGACATTAACAGCCCTCTACGACTGGACCGAGGCCCTCCGACATTGGCCATCAACCAGCTAAGAGAAGAAACCACCCTAGCGGCCTTGTCCGCTGTACGGAAGATCTGATCCCGCCAGCTAAGCTTGCTGTCTACCATGACCCCAAGATACTTGGCAGAACGAACAGTTTGAACCTCGACGGCTCCCACCCCACTAATAAAATAATAATATGAAAAATAATTTATTGTAACGACATTCATAAAAGGAGGAGCAGCTAGCTTACCTTAGAAGAAATACAGGTAGGGACGGTAGGGTATAGAACACACAGAAGACACATAAAAAACACACAATATAACATCCTTACAAAATATTATGTGTTTTGTGTGACCTGTATTCCTTCTAAGGTAAGCTAGCTGCTATCCCTGTTTATACTAACTTACTTATTCGAAATCCTGGCCTAGCACTTTTCCTTGAACAAAACTTGTATATTACTGTCAATATTTATATTACTGTTGTATATTATTAGTTAATACAGTTGCTTTTACGGAACAATTCATTGTAGGCCTATACAGAAGTAAAGGAATGATATTGACTGTTAATATATTCTTTTAACAATTAAATAATATATTAAATAATTAATTATTAATTAATTATTTAATAATTAATTAATTATTTTATTATTAATTAAGTAATATATTAAATAGGAAATTGCTAGCTTATTTTAACTGAATGGTTGATATTATTCCAGAAATTGAACTTATATACGTAAATAAAAGGGCTTCCAAAATAACATTGGTTTATTTTCCTCCAAATGTACATAATCTGCAATTTGATACTCATTATTCCCAGAAGAAATTAAAACTCTGGTTGTTTCCCTGAAATATTATAAAGCGTTACAAACCACTTAAAATGATACAGTCAGCTGACGTTTATTATTTGATTACAGGATTAAACCATAGATAAAACATACTCCCTTTGATTACAGGATTAAACCATAGATAAAACATACTCCCTTACTCATCCTAATGGAACAGCTGAAGCCAATTTTATGGTTTATGTAGAGGTCGTGTTTTGTTTACAATTTGTTTCCCGCTAATACAGTAATTTAAAACCTTGTTTAACCAAATAATACGATGTAATCATAAACAATAAATTGTCCCCTAGTTATTTAACCAAACAGTAAAGCACAAATCAAGAAATTAACCCTAAAATAATAGAAACATAATTTCGTCGACACTAGCGCCCAGTGTGGCGTACATGAACTAGACATGAAAAACAAGCTTCAAAATTTACAATAGGATGAGAAGTCTACTTGTGTTGGTTAGTCTATGATTAAACTTTTGATTTTATTCCATTCATGACATTTAGGGGAATTGTAAACATAGTTTGTCAACAATATTGTTGATTTTAATCTGTGGTTTTATTCTGTTGACACCAGAATTCTGAGGGTTCATTTTGCAAGGGTTTATTTTTGTATGTTCTTAGGTGATTGGCAAAACTCAATTGAACGTAAAATGCAATTCTAATGAAATGAAATTCAAATGAAATGACAATAGGTATCATTCGCCTATTGGGTCTGATGATGATTGGAGTCTCCAATCGAAATCGATCACCACTTACCATCTTTTTTGTATATTTACTGTCTTGTGAGTAACAGGATAAGCGTAAATATATTAAGTGTTATAAGACGTTTCTTTTATTTATTTTTCGTAAATTTAATAACACGTTGAATGCTTATCAAGAAGTTATCGAGGTACCAATCAGATAAATAAGTATTTTTTTTAAAGAGGGTTCCACCCTCCGGCTGGTTACCTCGTAAACATGATAGTACAAAAAATAACCTCGTTGCATTATTAAAGTGTTTATTGAGTTGAAATAAAATGTAAAATATCGACAAAAATCCAAACTATGCACTGGATGAATTGAAAATTTTTAGTTAATTCTTAAAGTATTTAAAAACTTGTAGTTGATTCTTATAGTATTTACAAAATAATTTTGAAAATCCGTAAATTAGTCTTTTTCACATGTGATTTTAACTTTGACATAATAGTTAAAAATAATTTGTTCTCCATTCATTGAAAGCTCTGATATGTTAAGAGCACAAAAAGCACACAATCATTTAAAACAAATTGGTTTTAGAATGTTGAGAGCTTTCACAATAAAGCCATGTTCAATCCCGAACTATATTTCAATACATATAACCGGCCATTTTGAATTGTATTTCAGGCTGCTGGGTAGAACCAAGGCCACACTAAAAAACAGGCCGTAATGCTCGTCAAGCATGACGTCATGATAGAAGACGGCAATGACGTAAATAAGGTTATATTTTTGTTTTCGATGAAAAGATTAAAACAAGCAGCCGATCACAAATATTACGTCATTGCCGTCTTCTATCCTGACGTCATGCTAGACGAGCATTACGGCCTGTTTTTTAATGTGGCCTTGGTAGAACCCAATTAATAACCAAAAACCAGGCCTAATACAAATAAAACTTTTAGCTAGATTTTTTTTTAATGAGGCAGAGAGGTTTTGATTCATTATTCTGTATAATTAATTTATCCATTGCCTAATCGCTAACAAATAACTAGTTTTATGTCAGGAAATATTAGGCAATTTTAAGTTCGATTTTGAGTACAAGCTAAATAAAGAATATGTACTGGTACTTAAAACTAGAGATAAAGGATGTATTAAGGCCGACAATATAGTTTAATTTTCTTATATATATTTACAGTTGATTTTTAAAAATTTTACATTATTTTTTACATATTTACAGTCCAGCTTATTGAATGTAGTAGATTATCTCTGGGGTGCTATTGAGCACTTTATAATCCATGTACACTACTGTCATTTACTGTTTTCACCAAGTTACGATACATATAGCCAAGATCCAAAGACAAGACGTCGCAAGTGTTGAAGCAATACTTGGCACTTGCATTCTGTAATGAACCACATAGTCCATTGAACTGTTGTTCTCAAGTGTTGACGATTCTTCCAACTCTGTAGATGTTACTGGGATCTCAGTGTTCAATTGTTTTGTGTCCATTCCGTTGAGCGATGCGTTTGTCCATCTTGGTCCGTTCGGTAAAACCTGTGAAGATCCGGTACGAAGCAGCGTGATGTTGATAAACTGCGGCCATTGACCATCTTCTGGCTGTCTTACGTTGATGGGTATTGTTTGGTTTTGATACCCAGTTGCAGTCACCTGGAAATTTGTTATAAGGCATAATATTTTGTGCGAATAATACTTAAAACAAAACAGGATGTTTTCTGAGTTTTGCTTTAACATTGTGTGAGCAGCAGTGTGAGAAGTTATTAAGGAGTGACTTTAGGAAATCCTGGTAGATTTTAATACATCTAAGTCGGTAATATGTCGGTTTTGCTTTGATTTTGATGTCAAGAAAAAATAAAGACTTCAATAATTAGATTTTAAAATGTTATTGAGTTTGTATGATTGTACAGGTATTTTCTGCTATAAAAATTTATACTATCTTTGCAAAAGTTGAAAATCTTTAATGGCAGTTGTAGGAATATATAAATACAAAATCATCTACTATCTAATGCAAATCAACAAAAAATGTAAATGTACATACAAATTTCTTTAGTGAGTTTTAACATCTTGAATTCACCAAAACCCTTTCATCAAGTAAACTGTCTTAGATTTAAAAACCGCACCTAATTAATTATACCAACAATTATTATTGGAGATAATTTTGTAACAAACGAGTATGACTATCTCAAAAAAATGTATAATCATCCACCTCAGTCCCAATAAAGTTATTAATGACTTACATGAAGAAAGTAAACATTTGGACGAAGAATCCTCCAGAATTCTCCTTTCTCTGAAGTGTAAAAGCGAGCATCTTCTCGTCCGAGGATGTAGAGTGTTGCGTTTCTGACTCCAACGCCTTCCTCATCTACAATCACTCCTCTGATTCCTCTTCGTACTTCTTCCAATAGAGATAAGAGAGGCTGAAATAAACTTGTTGATAGGAGTTTGTCATTTGTAAAAATGTAAAAACCATTAAGGTTTTAATTTTCAACATTTACATCAACAACAGGGGGTATGTTAAATTTGTTAACAATTAATTTTTACTTTGTCAGTGAAAAAAAAAATTTAATTGAGAATTCCGCAATCATTTTTTAATAGTTTAAATTTCCTAAAGCTGGGTTTTCCTAGGTGATGAGCTGAGGGTGGAGTTTGCTCTCCTCTTGTTTTAGATAATTTAATGGTACTGTTTTCCTGGATGTGGAGGGGACCGCCACTGGACGAACTGAAAATCCGTTCTCTGCTCTTCTGTACACAATCTTTGATGAGTTTAAAAAATTAATTGTCAGTAAACTACACTCTGTTTAGTGATTTTTGATATTTTATCACTGTTCTTGTTGCGAAACAAATTTGATGTATTTTCTTTCTTTTTTCCCATGTGTTCAGGTGACCTCCATTTTTGAGCAAGTGTTTACCTTGTATCTTACTAATAGTAATGGTAATCTGATGTAGAATATTTTTATCTGCAGTGACTCAATGTAGATCAAATCAACGACATTTTATTAAATTAATTTATAACACAAGACACATTATTACCTCTCTATTGTCATTCCAATACTTTGGAAGTTCCGAGGCCTTTGGGAACTTACAGCATGATATCTCTAGTGTTATCTCCATGCAGCCGTGTTCCTGGTAGTTGTAATCTTGCATCCCTCCTACAATGAAAAGGCTACATGTATAATATATCTGGGCAGCAGTAAGGAGGTTATATTACTAATCAAACATATATATATATATAAATTAACACTTCAATTTTGTTGTCGTTTCAGCTCGTAATGCAACTATAGTTCGGCCGCTTAGAAAACGACCTGCGCTCTAATGCTAAACCAATGCTAGAGGAGGTCGCTTTCTAAGCGGCCGAACTATAGTCCTAGTTCCTAGTAGTTAAAGTGAGCCGCCAACAGATTCTGCTGATTTAAATTATATTTTCTGTTGAATATGCAGACTTTTTAACCAAGTCAAACTGATTGGACAACTTAATGTAAGCTTTAGGTGTAGCATCTTTTTTGTCAAAGTTATCTCGGTAAGATCAAATAAGGTAGAAAATTAATGGAATATAAGATACTAACACAGTCTGTGACTGGCTTACAGAACTACCTATATTCATAAATAAAAATACCCCCGCCGCAGCAAACCTGCAGACTAAGCGAATTTCCATTTCCCTGAATGGATTTACTCTAAAATGTCTCCTTAAAAATATCACATTTATTCCCTATTTAAATAGAATCAGTTTAAAATACTTAGGTTTGCTGCAACAGGGAGGGTAAAAGTGTTTTTTATGTAAAATGTTAATAGTTAGTAAGAAATAAAAACATTTTCCAAATTTAAGCAAAATATGTTTATAAACAAGCAAACTACAACAGTTTACTTATTCTCCATAAGAATAACATAGGAATTTTAAATTTACAATTTTTTTGAATTTTCTCCGTAACCATTAGGCGCATTATAACGCTTCAATATGCTAAATTATTTTTTTTTTAAGCTCTACAAAATAGTTTCGAAAGAAATTGCAAAATTTTATGTTTTTTGGGTCAAAAATGGGAAAAACCCATTTTTACCCCATAAAAGCTCCCATAAACCCCCGTTCCCATGGTCCGATCATGCTGGTTCGCGAACTCGTTCGAATAAACGTAGGTTTACACGTTTGTACCAAATTTCATCAAAATCGGATAATTTTTGCTCGAGTTATCGCGCTAACGGACACACATATATATATATATATATATATATGAATTTGAACGGATGGTGTTTTTGACCTCTAGGGACCTCAAAACAAACAAAAAAATCGGTCCCGGGTCCAGGTCTTACCGTGATTACTACGGTAATAGCTTATTCCCTATAAGGGAAATTCGCTAAAAACGAGGGGACCCATCGACCCATATACAAATTGCCCATTTCACATTTTAGTAGGGATCAGTTAGTAGTAGGGATAGTTGCTATTTTACCTTTCACAGATTATGTTTGTTAAGGCAGGTATTTAAAACTACTAATTTACAGTACCGTATACAAATTAAATTTAAATGTCTAATTAAATTTTTGTATTGTAGATCCATATCATAAAGAGGGACCTAACTAAAACCGTTTACAGTTATTAATTAAAGTATAGCCTAGTTAATCAAATATAACTTCATAAACTGTATACATGTAAGGAACTTGACTGATTTTGTTGCCTTAACTAATCAAGCTACACAGATCATCTCACACCATTCTACACTGATCCTTCACTCATATTTGGGTTAAAATACGCACCTAAGTGGCGTCCCCATCTTAATGATTGATAATTGATAATTGATAATTGACAAAATCAAAATTAAATAAGTTCTTACTTATTCACAAACAAAAATGTAGAACCCATATTTTGTAGTACAGAATTTACTCAAAAAGGAAAAAACTTTGTTATCTAAGAGTTAAAAGGGTCTAGGTTCCTGTTCTTTCCTTAATCATCTAACACACCTGTCACATTGATTTATCTTTTATCACAAATATTCAATTTTTAAATTGCAGATTTATTGGTACGGTACACACAATTTCTACCAATTAATTCTTGACAAATTAGACTCTAAAAAGTCCTCTTAGCGCCACCGTTTGGAATTTTAAAACAAAGCTCATTAATCCAAACCGGATTAGATATGATATCCCAATTAGTTTTAAACTAACAGAACCGTACTCAAGTATCAAGTATTTGTATTTCATTGAAAGGTTATAACATTTACCTGTAAGAGGATACCATGCAGCTCCATTTGTAATCCCGCCCGGAAACACAACCTTAGTTCCAGGGCAGGCTCGACCCTTGTGCATTGTTGGGTGCTTTTGAGCGTACACACGTGCCAAGTGTTTGAAAACATCATCATCCGGAGTCAAACTCTGCTCATGCGTTAGTTGCTCTCCTGAAAAACGGTTTGAATTTGTGAACTTAAAGGTTTTGCATACAAATGAAGCTGTGACACAAAATACCAAATTGATTATGGCAATTTGTGTTATCAAAAATTTCCAAATAAAAAGTTCACATTTTCCCCAAAACTCAATATGGACACACAAAAAAATTGGTAGTTTGTAATTATTGTAAAACATGCATGTTGTAATGTTGAAAGAAAAGTCTTTGGAACATAAAGAATTATAAATCAATGACAATACAGTACATGAAAAACAAATAAATCTCGCAAAACGAAAGTGTATACCATCTTCTTCTGTTTCTTAAACTGCACAGAGCCAATTCACTTGATCGGTGTTGACTGGATTGAGTCCTAAATCTATCTGATCATTAGCAGTGTGTCAAAGTCTGTCACAAAAATGTTTTACGTGAAGCAGATTACGAAAGAGGTTGCTTAAAGATCTAAACTTAGCCCACTACTGTTCTCTGTAAATCGATGACATTACAGATCATATAACAAACTCACACTACCATCTATATGCTGACAACTTACAACTTTACCTCCACTCCAATGTAGACAAGATGGATACTGATGTATTACCATTGTATTACTTATGAACTCTGACATAACTCAATAACTCACCGAGCATCAAACATCAGACTTAAACTCAACGTTCACAAAACTCAAGCAATGATTGTAGGCTACCTCAGACTAAATATTAAAATTGGCCTACTGCCTTTGACTTTGACGGAAAATGCCTTCTTAAAGACTCAGACAAAATAAAAACCTAGGAGTAATAAATAAACACACACTTGCATTGGGCTGACCAAGTAAATAACACTTCTAATAGGGCTAGTCACACTATGAAACGTTTTTTACCCAATTCAACTACTTCGACAATGACACGACTATTGATCGGTTTCCAACAGGTTTCCTCTATGATTTCCAGGCACATTTAGCCCAAGACGATGTTACACCTTACTTTAACTTATTCTCCTTAGTAAAATAAGCTGGATGATACCAAATGAAACGTTAAGGCATGTGGTAGTTCAGTATTCATATTGATTCAATTTTTATTGGTGTCTCTGTCTGGTCTGTAGTTTTTTAAATCGTCAAGCAACACCATACCATAACCATTCCATTTCATTCCTTGGTTTATCGTTTTAGTTCCTAGCAAAACTTTTCTCTGTCTCATCTCACTTTATACTAGCTTTCTGTTTTAGGAAGTTAGCATTTGAACAGTAAACACAATTTTCTGTATTGCCGGTAATGAAGTTAAAATGTTTTAATACAACAAGCATTAGAAAACGATAAGAAAAAACAAACAAACAAGAAATGAGACTGTATCATGCAAATTCAAAAATACCAAAGACCAACACCGATTTGTTAAGATTATAAACTAAAAAAAACTTTACCCCAACACCAAAGCAACATAAACCCAAAATATTGCGAAATGCTTTTACTTTAGGTAAACGAACCGGGACGCCATTTTTTCCACAGCTTGAAGACCTCTTCTTGAGAAAGATCCAAGGTGTTGAAAGTATTAAAAAATTCTTCCCAGACTGAAATATTACAATATAATTTAAACATATTAAAACTAAATTTAGCACGGTTATTATTTGTTGGAAAAAATATGAACTGGAAATAAAGAAGAAATAATATGAAGGATTCTTTTCTTATGGTGATAGTAACTGAGGTTTTACTAAAATAAAGTTTGCATTTATAACTTTTTAAAAACACTGAAATCATACAAATTTTCGAGAAGCAATATAGTGTCTTCATAGTTTAACTGTAACGGTTGGATTTTAACTGGTAATGGTTGGAGTACCTATCTTTAAACTATGGTTTTGCTTAGCACAACATCTTTTCATAGTTTAATTTTTTTCTTTTGGTTATTTAAGTGTTACCTAGACTAGCGTCTCAGTTTCCTGGTCAAGAACCGATGAAAACCTCTTCTGCACAGGAGTGGGGGATTTTAGGAGAGCCCCTCACGTTGATTTAAGAAAAATTTAATTATAAAATTAGTGTAATAACTTTTTAATTATAAAATTAATTTTATAATTTCTAATTGTAAAATTAAACTGCCATAACCTAACCTAACCAACCAAACTTGTTGATAATATAAAAAAAATACAAAATAAATATCAAATAAAGGTTTACTAATAATAAAAAAATATTTCTGTTTATAAAATAAAATCAATAATGCTTCAAATTCTAACAAAAGATGTACAGTTAAGAAGTAATCACATTCTAAGCAAAATCTTCGGCAAAAAGTTAATGTCTTCAGTGGGATTCGATCTGGATACCTCATGGACAGCGGACATCAGTCGAGTATGCTAACCACTACGCCAGTGGTTGACCAGTTGCTGACGTGCAACAGGACAAGGTCCGCCCCTACAGAATCAATCAATCAATCAACCACTATGCCACGAACACCTATGGTTTCACCTCGTATCGTTACGGTAATGGTGTTCCCTCAAGAGAAGAATGATGACACACCACCTACTCCTTCGCTAAAGAGGTTCTCATCGGTTCCTGACCAGGAAAACAAGACGCTATAATACAACTAGACATTTCATCCCAAAGTTAAAGTTGTCACTATCGGGTTCTTAATCAAAATCGCCAGATGCGAGCCACTGACAGATTGTGATTCTGCTGAAGTAAATTACTGAAACGTTTTTTGCCAGGTCAAACTGATGGAATGTTTTATTGTGAGTCATCAACTGTTGTGGCCCATCAATTAAGTCATCAACAAAGAGTAAGTTAGACAAGAAAATTTTAGACTTTAGCCAAGGCCACACTAAAAAAACCGGCCTTAATGCTCGTCAAGCATGACGTCACGATAGAAGACGGCAATAACGTAATGTTTGCCGTTTGTGATCAGCTGCTTGTTTTAATCTTTCCTTGGAAAATAAATAAATAAATACCTACGTCATTGCCGTCTTCTATCTTGACGTCATGCTTGACTAGCATTACGGCCTGTTTTTTTAGTGTGGCCTTGCTTTAGCCCATTCTGTGACTGGCTCACTGAACTGTGTTGTGTTTTTTTTTTTTTTTTATTGGTTACAGCTGGTCCATATAGGGGGTGTAATGCAGTATCCAATAATCAACGGCATTCCTTAATGCAAATTGGGGAGGCGGGGGGTTCTAAAAAAAATTATTTAATTTGGGGTGGTGATAAAAACGTTATCTGTCCCTCGTCCCTCACATATCTAACCTATATTACTTAAAAATAAATAAGAGTGAAGTTTAAAAATGAACATAAATGTACTCACTGTTATATGCGTAGTTGTCGTAAGGGTAATTAGCCACCAGAGAGCCTGCGTGAAGTGAAGCTGACAAGACAAACGGAAAGTCTTTCATCCACTTCATCACTGCCTTCGTCTCCAACTGTAGAGACTGGCCATTCGGACGGAAATGATCAGGAAAATTTCGATTGAGATTGAAATCCATCAAGTTGTTTCTGAAATAGTACATTTTTTAATAACTTACTGATACCAGATTGTTCTTTCCAAGGTGCAAATTTACAACTTTGGGCTCATCAGGAATTTTAATTTTTATGGTCCTACTTTCAATGTTTAAAAAATTCCAATGTTTTAAAAAAGAAAATACTTTTATTTTGAGAGATATATTTTCTTTTTACTAATTTTTTCAAACTCAGGTGGACATCCCCTGGGTGTATTTCAACCCAAATATGAATGAAAGATGAGAATGGAATGGAATGTGATGCCTTGTGTAGCTTTGTTACTGACTAGACCAGCTGATTCATTAGCCAGAATTATTTATTTTTGCCCAGCTGTAAACAAATTTATTTATTCAAGGGCAGCTGGGTTCAGTGCTGAACAATAAAATACCCCTGCCGCAGCAAACCTGCAAAACTATTAACTAAGCGAATTTCCATTTGTCTGAATTGATTTTCAATTTAATTTATTTTAAATACATTAGGTTAAATGACTACCTAGGTTTGCTGCTACAAGGAAGCTAATAAAGTGTGTGTTTTTTAGTAAAATATCAAAAGCTTAGTATAAAATAAATAAATTTGTCAAGTTTGATCAAAATATACCCATAAACAAGCAAACTACAACATTTTACAATATTCTCCATTAAAATAACTTGGAAATTTTAAATTTACAATTTTTTAAATTTTCTCCGGTACCAATAACCGTACAAAATCACCTTGACATACTAAATTATTTTTTTAAGCTCTTTAAAAGGTCTAGAGAGAAATTGAGAAATATTATGTTTTTTTTTTGCAAAAAATGTGAGAATTCATTTGAGTTAATCCTGCCTTGCACATTTAAACCAAATTTCATCAAAATCTGACAAAAATTACTCAAGTTATGGCGCTCACGGACACACATATATTAAATATATACATATAAACAAATTTGAACGAATGGTGTTGTTTGGCCTCTGGGGACATCAAAATGAGAAAGTAAATCGGTCCCAGGCCTAGGTCTTACCGTGCCACCTACTGTAATAGTTACTTCCCTATAGGGAAATTCGCTAAAAACCTGGGCAATAGTGATTTTTTTTCATCAGTAAACAAATAAGCATTCTTTAGTACCGATTTTTTGTCATGAGCAAACCAGCAATCTTTAGTTTGTGAAGTGAGCACTGTATCCAATCAGCTGATCTAAATTGTTAAGACAGAGAATCTGTTAAAAGATGTGTTGTGATGAATACCTTAGCCTTCTTTCACACCAGCGCGGTGCGGCACCGTCCCGCACCGTCGATGCGGGCCGACCAGCAAGGCCCTTTCACACTATCAGCCCGAATCCGGGAGTTTCCAGGCTGAAACTTTGTGATTTTTGGATGCATTTTCATTCAAATAAATAAAAGAAAGGTTGTTACGCTACTTGTTGTATCCGAAAATAATATACAGCACCCCCTTGCTAAATAACTTAATTGGATCGATGCCGTGTGTGTAAAAATGTCAATTCATTGTATTTTTAAAAGTTATGGTGACAGCTGTGGGCTAACTTCTTTGGGGTAATTTCTGTAAGATCTTAAACTTCTGTAGAATGTCCAAGGCATAACTGATTTCAAATCTAAATACACCTCTCGCCATGTTTCAGTTGCTACAGCTTAACTAACAATGGCATGCTTTCCCAGTGCAGTATAGGATTATTATTTTATGAAATAAATTGTTTTATTTCAGTGCACTATAGGCGATAAAGTAATTCTGTAGTTTGATACATTTTTTGATACACATGGATATTTATGCACATATTTGTAGGTGTTTTAAGCTTAAACAACACTTCATTTCCTTCCATATATTTAGAACAACATGTAAGTGTTCATTAAACCAAATGTTTTTATATTAAATAAATCAGGCAAGTTTATTAAAATTGTTTGTAAAAATTGAAACATGCAAATGAAAGATGGTTTGCTGCAGGGGGGTCTTGTCCTACACACTGGCCTTCAAACTAAACCAAAATATAAAGCTTGACCAAACTAATCGGCTTCATATAAATTTCAACCTCCATACCAAAAACAACAAACTTCCCTATAAGTTAACAAGAGTACTACAAAATCAACCACACTCGACCACTGATAGACGCAGACTGTCTAAAATACTGATTTATGTGCGGGCGAAACCAGCCCGTTCCGCGCAAGTGTGAAAACGTACATAAGAGCCCATGATCTAAAAACGATTCATGCGGTTTCGTCCCGCATTGGAAGTTTAGGTTCGTGCGGGTGATTTTTCAACCCGGACAGAGGTTTAGATCTGTCTTGGTCAACCCGCACTGGTGTGAAAGCTCCCATATGATTCAATAGTCTAAACAGCTTCTTCCGGTGCGGGACGGTCCCGCACCGCGCTGGTGTGAAAGAAGGCTTAGCTAGGGGACTCTACACCCCTTTATGAGACCCAACGTTTAATAAACTGGGGCTTATAATAATTTATATTATATTGTGCGTGAAAAATATAAAATTTAATAATTTCTGCATATGACCAGGGGTTTAGGTAAGAAATTCGTCAAATCATTTTGACCCTAAATTTCAACTATTTTCTGGGAAAGGGGACCATCCTCTTTGGGAGTTATTTCCTACCCCCCAGACCCTCCGGCCACTGTTATCAAAAAGTTAGATGGACGCCTATGGCTAGGGGACCCACAAGGGTAGGTCTTGGGACCTCATTATTCCAGTATTTTCAAATGATGTACCATCACTATAAGCTTTTTCGGTGTTGGGTGTTTAACATAACGTCTATTTATGAGGGAGTCTCTTATAAGGGAGTGTGTTCAATCTATGATGATACTAGGGGTTGAATATTTCTAAAGAATGTTTTATGACATTTTGAATATTTCACTCACCTCCCAGGTCCGTAAGTACAACTCCTGTGCTCACCAGGAATACTTTGGTTTAGTGCAATAGCCAAGCCATCAGGGTTCATGCTGAACAAAATGTGCACCCGGGCATAGTCGAGGAGTTCTTGAACCCTCCTTTCTCCGACCAAGTACTGGTCTACCAAAAACTGAAAAAAATCAGATACCTTGGTAAACAATTAGTCTCGATGAGCAACACAGTTGGAATAGTTGAAGGTTATACTGATAGGAACTACGCCATAAAGAATACAATGACGCAAGCAGAAAACCTTTCCAAAGGAGGACTACAGTTATCTTGTCCTGTACCTCTGGCAAAAATATGCTTCCTTGCAAACAATCTAAAGAAGAATGCTATGAAACATATTCTGAGGCTGTTCTGAAGCTTGAATTATGCTAAAAAACATTCTCGTTATGTTTGTCTCTACAACCTTTAACTGTCCTTTTAAAAGACTTGGATTCATCAATAAACTTTTTATCTGTTATCCATTAGTTATACTGAGAGAGTGTAATCTTAACACTTACAACAAAGGGTTTTCTCTATTACATCCCTTTTCCAGCCGTCCTACTTAACCGATTTTAACGATTTGAGGTGTCATTCTAAAGATTGATCTAGTGCACGTGCGAAAGGTAATTAAAATGGTAATTTCCTATAGGGCTTTGCTCTCATGTTAAATTTATTTCTAGAGTTCATTTTCCATTTTCTTTAGAATTAATTACGCTGACCAACTTTCTTTAAAACGGTTTGAACGTGAATTGTAAATTGACGGCTGATCCTTCAGTTGAACGTTTAAGTTTAACCATCAGATTGTAACAAGAAACTAGACAGTGATTATAAAATGAATTTAATTTCAGTGTTTAGTAGATAACAATGACAATACATGACTTTATTTATAATCAGAATTAGTTTTCAATCCGTAGGATCTAAAATTTGAACTGAATTGTTAACAGCGGGGATTTTAATATTTACCTTGTTAGGTACCGGTACCGATAACAATATTAATTAGGACTATGATACTTACTTCAGCAAAATGAAGCAACATTTCTCCAGCCACTGGTTCATTCCCATGGATATTTCCTATCAGCTTCACATTGGGTCTTAAGAACTTTTCCTTCACTCCTGTTATCTCAAGAACCCAAAGTTCTCTGTCTAAAAATTCAGATAAGGATTAGTACTGGATAAACAGTTGTCTTTCATAAACTGAATTTATTTTACTATATGACGTTTCCTCTAAGATGGTTTTAAAACTATAGATAAAAAGTATTTGCAAGGATTTTTCATGTTAATTTGTACTCTTGTAGCCATGTATTTTAATCATCCTTAATAGAAATAATGTTTTTAAACATTCACCCAATCAAAGTAAGATTTTACTAGTTTGATTGTATGTGTGAAAATTAGGGATGTGTCAAAACCAAATCTTAAATCTCAAAACCATCAAAACTTTAGAAATTCTAGTTTTTATCAGTAAGTTTCGAGATTTAAAAGTTTTGAAATTGAAGAATTGGCAGTTATGATCTTGAAACTGCTGAATCTTGTGGGTGTCATTATTATTTTTTTATCATCGTTCACACACGAGCTGGCAGCAATGGAGCAAAGATTTCACTACACTGATGAAACAAAGTAATTCAAATTATTATCATCTGAACTGCAAAAGGTATTAAATACAGTACTATACTTGAATAACGTACAATACAGTTTCATATTCATATTAAAGACAAATAAATATTGACTACGGTACTAAAAGTTTTGATCTAAAATATGCATGTTTACTTTAGTGTCGGGAGTTAAATTTATTTTAGTGTTTGTTGTTTATTCAAAGTTATGTGTTTAACAATTTATAGTACATTAGTCACATATTCATGTAATTGTAGGGTCATTCTCTCTGTTTTGTTTCTATAATAAACGTTTGAACAATACCTTTTATTTTTTGTAACCTTGACAAGGCAAATAAAAAGTTTGGGGGTTGAGATACAGGATTCTATTTTGTAAGTTTTGGTTTGGAGATTCAAAACTCCTGTCTTTGACCATCATTAGAAAAATTATTTTGTAGTTATTAGTTTTACCTTGATAAGAGCGTCCAATTGTGTAGAGCTTAACCAAGTTATGGTTTAGACCAGCAAAATTGTTCAGAAAACTTGTCATTTCCTCATAGCTGTGATATTTTTCCAATTCCAGTTTGTTGGAATTTATTGAAGCCACGACAGTGGTGAAAAATATAAATGCTATGAACCTCAGCATTTTGTCTCTGACAGTGGATTCTGAAAAAGTAGAACAATTTTGTGGAAGATGTTAGACATTGACAGTATAAAATAATTACTTTGTACTGTATACTCTATGTAGGCTAAGGGTACACTTATACTTCTCTTCCTATAAAGTAGAATCTGAAGCCTGTATATAGATGTTAACAGATTTGAAAGGCGAGAGTAAATATGGTGTAAAAGTTTGAAAATATATGATTAGGAGCAACTGATAGTATTGTTATCATTTGAGAGACCACACTTATCTACAGGATATAGGTCAGTCTGGAATCCATTGTGGTCAAGTTAAGTTTTGTTCACCAACATCTAAGTTGTTACCACACAAAAGAAAATCACAACATTTTTTCCAAGTATAAATTTGACAAAATTGTATCATACATACATACAGGGTGAGTTTTAATTGTCCCCCCCCCCCAACTTTTTTCTACATTTTTTCAAATATCAATCCCAGACCACTTCCAAACATTGTTGGGTAGTAAGTACTTCATTTTGACAAGGTAGTCATTTCCGGCCGCCATCTTGCATCCGCCATATTGGATGCAATTTTTTTTTTTCAAATGTAAAGGTGGGGTTGTGACCCATCATTACGAACTAAATTTTTACCCTGATTACAATGCCACAAACCGTTTTAAAAAATCTTGATTCATTCTAAAGTTATGAGGGCTTTTTAAAACTTTGTTTTTAGCCCATTTTAACATTATGCATTTACAAACTAAGACCATAATCTCAAAATAGTGCTAGATAAAGATAAGTATACACTACCAGTAAGTGGCGACCTATTTTCACTTGGTTATGACTGATGTATTTTTTTCGGCCGCCATCTTGGATCCGCCATTTTGAAATGTGATAAATTATTTTAAATATGAAAGGGGTATTGTGACCCATCATTTCGAACTACTTTTTTAATCTGAACTTAATTCCGTGATCCGTTTTTCATTTTCATTTTTTGATTTTGAAATATTGACATTTTTAACAAAAGAAATGCAATATTTCATAAATAAAACTTGATAACAAAAAATAGATTGCGGCATTGAGTTAAGCTTAAAAAAGTAGTTCAAAATGATGGGTCACAACACCCCCTTCATATTTAAAATAATTTATCACATTTCAAAATGGTGGATCCAAGATGGCGGCCGAAAAAAATACATCAGTCATAACCAAGTGAAAATAGGTCGACAATTACTGGTAGTGTATACTTATCTTTATCTAGCACTATTTTGAGATTATGGTCGTAGTTTGTAAATGCATAATGTTAAAATGGGCTAAAAATAAAGTTTTAAAAAGCCCTCATAACTTTAGAATGAATCAAGATTTTTAAAAACGGTTTGCGGCATTGTAATCAGGGTAAAAATTTAGTTCGAAATAATGGGTCACAACCCCACCTTTACATTTGAAAAAAAAAATTTGCATCCAATATGGCGGATCCAAGATGGCGGCCGGAAATGACTACCTTGTCAAAATGAAGTACTTACTACCCAACAATGTTTGGAAGTGGTCTGGGATTGATATTTGAAAAAATGTAGAAAAAAGTTGGGGGGGGGGACAGTTAAAACTCACCCTGTATATATATATATATATATATACACACATAAAAGCTAACACATGATGGAATTGGCCTGTTGATTGTCAGGGTGAACAAATAAAAGGTATATGGTACATAAAAATGTTCCTATCAGGACAATTTGTTGAAGTAAAAATGTAAGCACAGCTATTGATTGTAAAATGGAGTGTTTAACACACAAACACACATTTAAAATACAAAAATTGAAAAAAAATACCAGACTAAAGTTCTCTTATTTCCAACTAATAACTATAATAAGAGAATTATTTCCAACTACTGTAATAAGATAACTTTCTGGCATTTTATTTTAATTTTTGTATTTTAAATGTGAGTTTGTGTGGGTTTTAGAACTATTGTGACAAGGACTGTGTTCTCCTGATTTCAAAAAGATGAGTGACACCCATATATATTTATTTAACTGAAAACAATACTTTATCCATATACTATGTATTATTGGAGGAGAAAGTAACTGTAATTTGGTCTTGCGTCTAGGTCCTACTGTGCCGTCAATGGTAATAATAGCTTCTTCCCCCAGGGGGGTCACTAAAATGAGATTATTTGATCAAGCATTTCTCTGAATTGTTCTTAATCAAGAACGGCATCGGTCCTGTTCACAATAGTAGTATTCCCCACTTATTGTTTTTAAACTCTGAATCTGCTATAATTGTGACAAAACTTGATTTCAAAGAAGGATACAATTAGTACCGTACGGCAGTGTATGTTATACAGAAGTTACCCATAAACATTTTTTTTGTTAATTTGTTCCTTAGAAAGTAACAACGTTATAAATTGCAGTTGTAGGTTTCTCTATCAATCTATAATTGTTTTGGGTAGAGGTTGTGTTTTTGTTTTTGGAAAACCTTTTCCAAAAGATTCTCGTTCTTACGAATAAAGCTCAAATAGTTCTTAGTATTACTTTGGCATGACCTAGGCCCACATGGTGTAGGACTCCTACCGTGGGGTTAGTGCAGGTTCTTGTATTGAGTAGGCACTACAAGCTACAAGTCATAACTAGGTCTAGGTCGCGACCCACACTGTCGCTTGTTGCCATGCTGGTAGTGTTTACGACCTTTTATGTTTCATTGTTGCGAATGTTTGCCAAGTTCCAAGGTTGTGTTTAAAATAGTCCTAAAATTTTATTTTTGAGCTTGGACCGCACTAAAAAAGAATCCTGACAGCTGATTCCACCACACCAAATGTTGTAAAAGGTGTCTTTCAAAAACTCCGTCCTTTCATTGATTGTTTAACATAAAATACCCAACACGTAACTGCTTATGTTTATAACCTGAATAAAAATTTTAATCTACAATAAATAATGTGCTGATGTATACCAAAGTGCCTTGTAAACCAGCTTGTCAATATCGCCCTAAGGGATACAGTACTTGTCACTTTCGACACAATTTGTGTTATGAATATGAATGCAGTGTGAGTTTAGAATAAGATGATCAGTGTTATATTATATTTTGTTAACTTTACAGATCAGCTGTTTTCTTAGCCACGGCTACGGTATTACCTTTTCATCACTCTGTATTTGAAAATAGCCATATTTTCCATACAGCTGAGATCTTCCAAAATAGTAAATTTCCACTCACCAAAAACAAATAGTGATCAGCTGAATTTTCCTGACATAAACACTACTTCCGCTACACAAAAACTACTATGCCTGACGTCAACAAAGTTAGAACTGAAGTTCCCGGTTAGCTCAATTAAGGAGCGAGCACCAATGTGTTTTAATTAAAAATAATACATAACAGAAAATTGATATAATTTCAATTAAAATTTTTATTAACAGAGTTTACTACTTGTATTGATATCAAATTTAAACTACATTAAATAGTTAAATACTCCCGCCGCAGCAAACCTGCAGACTTAGCGAATTTCCATTTGCCTGAATGGATTTAGACTAAAATGTCTCCTTAAAAATATCACATTTATTCCCTATTTAAACAGAATTAGTTTAATGAGTACTTAGGTTTGCTGCAACAGGGAGGGTAAAAGAGTTGTTTTTATGTAAAATGTTTAAAGGTACTGTGGTTTAGTAAGAAATTAATTAATTTTCCAAATTTGATCAAAATATGTTCATAAACAAGCAAACTACAACAGTTGACTTTATTCTCCATAAGAATAACATGGAAATTTTAAAATTACAATTTTTTTTAATTTTCTCCGTAACATTTAGGCGCATAATAACGCTTCAATATACTAAATATTTGCTTTTTTAAGCTCTACAAAATGGTTTAAAAAGAAATTGTGAAATTTTGTGTTTTTAGGGTCAAAAATGGGAAAAACCCATTTTTACCCCATAAAACCCCCCATAAACCCCCGTTCCCATAGTCCGATCATGCTGGTTCGCGAACTCATTCAAGTTTATCCCGCCTTACACCTTCACACCAAATTTTATCAAAATCGGACAAAAATTACTCAAGTTATCGTGCGGATGGACACACACACATATATATATATATAAAAATTTGAACGAATGGTGTTTTTGGCCTCTGGGGACATCAAAATGAAAAAGTAAATCGGTCCCGGGCTTAGGTCTTACCATGAGACCTACGGTAATAGCTACTTCCCTATAGGGAAATTCGCTAAAACACGATTAAATCTGACAGAATAAAGCTAGAGTACCGTACACTGAAATTTATAAATTAAAATTTATATTTACTGTTCAGTTCTAATTATTTGTAATATTGATGACCTCATTTAATTTTTTTCTGAAAGCTCTAGTTGATTTGGTCTTATTTAACTGGCAAAACTTATGCTGTTACTAATTTTTTACAACTTTTTTAAGTTTCATGAAGTAGTTTTTCATCGTGATAAAAAGTACAGTATCGTTCAATACTCGTCACAAAAGTCCCATTTCGGGGCCAGGCGAGATAGTGTTTGACATGCAAGTCGAAGAGGAGAGTGTGTTAGTGGGTAATAAAGTGTGTAAACGAAAACCTCCTAATTATGATAATATATAAACCATTGGCAATTGAAGGGATTCGAAAACCAACTATGTTATTTACAGAATTATAAAATAACACAAAAATATTACATAGTACTGTAAAGTAGCTCCTAATCCACTCGTCACTGTTCAGGTCGCATAATTTACCATTGGCTATATACCATATGGCAGACAATGAATTTACATTGGCGGTCGGGGGTCTTTATCAACAGATCTTTTTTTACAAGTAGGCTATTTTATTTACACTGTTCCATACTGGAACAATAAGTAAATGTCATGACAATTTAACATGAGTTAATTACATTCCAGCAAGTGCACTAACATACAAAACAAAACATTTTATAAAAAATTAAACTAGAAACTATTAGGAAGATCGATTGGATGTATTCTTCTGAGCCTATAGGTAGCCTCGCTATTATCGAGGAGGTTGACTGCCAGGAATTTTGATAATTTTCTTTTATATTTATAGCTTCGTTTCTTTATCTCTTCTCTGATAAAAAGTAATTTTTGTATCTTGATGAATAACTCTTATTAGATACTATGGTCGATATCATTAAGTATTGGGTCATGATTTAATTATGTCACTGTCACTGGCTGCGGTTTCTGTCGACAGGCTGTAAATTCAAATAACGCCTGTCGCTTTTAGATACGTTTCAAAGAATCTGGCATCATGCCTGATAATTTCTGTCAAAATCTCTGAGTAACTCCCGGTGCCTAAAATCTAGTGCTGGACAATGATTTGATTAAATTTAGGACGATAAGTCTTGTAGATACATAAATTTAGAAATGCAGTTAACTGAAAATCATTACCTAATCTCTTCATCGAAACATTGCTGTGTACTCTATAGTCTTGGTTTAAGAGGCTTGGTTGAAATATTCTTCAGATTTAAAAATTAAGCTGAATTTAATAGTAGTTTTCGTTACTAGTCCCTAAAGTAGGCTTTTTTTGAAAGAGTTATGAACAATATTGTTCATTACATTGTCATATATTATAGTAGAAAATACAAAATACTGTATAGCCATTTTTTCATTTTAATTTTAAATTATCAGAACAGCTGATTTGTTTTTGAGATAAGCTTTGATAAGCATATGATTAGAGTCCGTAATTTTTTTTTACTAGTCCGAAAAAAGCTTTCTTTAGGGACTCAAAACGATCCGTAAGACAGCTGTTTTTGAGACAGTGTAATGCAAATAAGATTTAAGTACCAGAAACGTCAACTTTCTTATGGACAACGGTTTTGAAATATTTGAACACAACTCAAGAAAAAATTATTAATCTCAATATACATAGCTTTGGTAGACTACAAATAAGTGAAAACAAATTTCATTTAGTACAAATATCAAACCGTAAAGGAAATTCACATATTTAATGATATTTGGGGCAAAATAACAGTAAATTTTTTCCCCATATAGACTGCTCAATGTTCATATCAGAGTTTGAAATGATTGATTTCAACGAACAAAATGGGGAAAATAGCACAAGACTCCATAACTAGAATACAATATCAAACAAATGTCATATTAAATAAACAATTTTGTAAAATAAATGCCAGTAAAACTTAGTATGAATATGGAGTTTTGAAATAGGCCTCTTCTGAATGAAGGCGAGATATCATAAAAACTCAAAGTATGTCATGGGGAAAATATTTTCAGTATATTAGTAAATATAGAATAACTAACTCTAAAAATAATAAATACATAAAACTTACAAATTGTTTGCGGTTATGAATCGGCAACTGTGCCAGGATTGACCCACCAGTCACGACTGTTCACTGTTACTACAACCACCACTCCTCACCCACCCACTGACCAAAGGAAGTTCCCTGGAGGGGGGGGGGGAGGGGTGATAAGGCTGATAAAAAGACAAAAGATAGCAAAAAGTATGTAAACAGAATCTCACACGGCTTAAACATAACCCCGTTGCAGCAAACCTGCACACTAAAAGAACTGCCTTTTGCTTGATTCAATTTTAACTAAAATACTTCCTTCTTATAAGCATTTGATTTTATCCCCAAACTACAATAGTTTACTTTTTCTCCATAAGAATAAGATGGGATTTTTATGTAAAGTTTTTGGGCAGGTCTTCGTAACCTAATTACGTGCATCAATACTTCAATGAACAATCTTTTCGTTAAGCTTTCAACACAACGGCTTTAGTACAAGTTTGGCATTCCATGTCTTAAGGGAGAATTTAAAAAAATGTTTAGAATAATGTAAAACCCCCTATTTAAAAAAAAGTCCAATTCCCGTATTACCACAAATTTCCATGACCCGATCTTGCTGGTTCGTGAACTAGTTCAAGTTTATCCGGCTTAACACTTTATGAAAATCGTACCAAATTATTCGTGTTTTATCGTGTTCACGGACATATTATGTATATAAATATTATATACTTTATATTAACCTATTAAACATTTACACATGTATAATAAGTTTGACGAATAGACATTTTATCTCTGGGGACATCAAAATGAAAAAGGATATCGTCTTTCATGGTCTTATCTTTGTCTCTTTATACAACATTCAATTGACAAAATAAAAACACCTGAAATACACTAATAATAATAATTTAAAAAAATAATCGTAGAATAAGGCTAAGTTACGATCTATCTGTCTATACTCCTTTTATCTATGGTATAACTGCAATAAGCGTTTTAAACTTATATGCCAACCCCGTACGAAGGACGGGTACTATGCTAGTCATATACATTGACATTGGATGTAAGTAGACATTAAATTTATGAGAACCAGATGAAACATAGACTTTGGTTCCTGCATGTAGACAATTCATTTACGTGAACCAGACTTATAATTGACTTTGGATACTGCTAATTGGTGCTAATAGACATTCCATATTACAACGAAATATACCATTGACATTGGATATTGCAATTATACTTCTCATTTACGAGAAACAGATGTAGCAGCAGTAGCGTTGACACTAAACAATATTGGGTTTACACATGCTAGCTCCGCTCACAATATTGCTAGCAGACAACTGCATTACACCTAGTTACTAACTATGATGTACATCTCAAATAATTTAAGTTTATAAGCCAATCGTCGACCTCCAGAAGAGGCGCGACTCTCGGCTTTTAAAAGAATCTAAACAAACAATGTGAAATCAAAATCAATGAGTGATGGTGTCGGGAAAGTAAAGATACTATATGCGCGAGATACGCAAAGATCACTGCGAGTGCCAAACAGTAAGACAGCTTATTTATAGCACTACCACGGGTTTTTAGCAGAATATTGTGAATTGGCTACTTATAAACAACCTGATTATTTGTTTGACTAAGGGCAAGTGTGTTTATTTTATTCAATACAATTTTAAATCATTTATAATGTTAACTAAACTACGGTGGATTGCGAGTTCCACTTGAGTGTATTCTAGCGGTGAATAGACGAACTGTTGCGAACGACGATGTAAGTGCTGTCTAGCGGTGAATAGTCGAACTGTTACGAACTACGGTCTATTGAAACGGGATTATATTGGTAAATGTTATTAAATATACGAATGTTAAACAACTTATTAGCTATGGAAACGGAGTATTATGGGTTAATAAAAATTGATTTTCCTATTAAAAACTACCACGTTTGTATCATGGATGATAAATAAACTGTTGCAGTCTGCTTGTTTGGTGATTACCGGTATGTGATCGAACATGCCAAATTTGTTCATTTCACACTAAAGCTGGGTTTTCCTAGGCGCGGAGTCGGCGAGCGGAGAGAGGAACGCGGAGAGCGGACTCCACTTGTCTTAGGCAATTTAATGTTACTGTTTTCCTAGAAGCGGAGCGGAATGCCATGTTAATTTCAATTCCGCTCTCCGCGTTCCTCTCTCCGCTCGCCGACTCCGCGCCTAGGAAAACCCAGCTTAAGCTATTAAAATTTCAATTGAAAACTATATTAACTTCACTGCAGCAGTAAACTTAAAATGATGGGAAGGTTTGAGATGAAACAATGAAGATTGTTTCAACAAAGCGTATTTCATCTGGAAGCGTTCGAGTACGCCAATATGTTGACTAAAGTAAGTAGGCCTTATCCTTGCATATATTTATAGCTAAAAAATAATATTGATCTTACGCAAAAGTAAATACCCCCGCCGCAGCAAACCTGCAGACTAAGCGAATTTCCATTAGCCTGATAGGATTTCACATTAAAATGCCTCCTTAAAAATATCATATTTATTCCCTATTTAAATAAAATTAGTTTAACGAGTACTTAGGTTTGCTGCAACAGGGAGGGTAAAAAGGTGGGTTTTTAATGTTAATAGTTTAGTAAGAAATGAATGTATTTTCCAAATTTGGTCAAAATATGTTCATAAACAATAAGTAAACTACAACAGTTGACTTATTCTCCATAAGAATAACATGGGGATTTTAAAATTACAAATTTTTGGAATTTTCTTCGTAACCATTAGGCGTACAATAACGCTTCAATGTACCAAATTATTTGTTTTTTTAAGCTCTACAAAATGGTTTGGATATAAATTGTAAAAGTTTGTGTTTTTAGGGTCAAAAATGGGAAAACCCTATTTTACCCTATAAAATCCCCCATAAACCCCCGTTCCCATAGTTCCGATCATGCTGGTTCGCGAACTCGTTCGAATAAATGTAGGTTTACACGTTTGTACCAAATTTCATCAAAATCGGATCATTTTTGCTCGAGTTATCGTGCTAACGGACACACACAGAACTATCATAAAATATATTATATACTGTATATGAATTTGAACGGATGGTGTTTTTGGCCTCTAGGGACCTCAAAACGAAAAAAATAAATCGGTCCCGGGTCTTACCATGAGTACTATGGTAATAGCTTATTCCCTATATGGGAAATTCGCTAAAACAAAAAAAATAAATAAATCAGCTGTTAAAACTTATAAGTATTGTTAAATTGTATAACTATGGCTATTACAGCGCTATTACCATCAAAACACGTGGTTCGCCACTGTTCTGCAACGCGAGATGTAAATACTTTAATAAAAACTGATTTAGAAAAAGTTAAATTTAATATGTGTTTGGGTTCATAGCTAGACTCTAAATCGTCCGATTTTATTGATCAATAGCTCAAATATGAAAGCCCTTACATCGCTAAATAGTTTAAGAGTAGAACGAACTGCAAGCGTTAATAAGAACTGGAGATATGAGAAAAAAAAATATGAAAATTGTCAAAGTACGAAACGAAACGTCCATAAAAAATGTACGGGGGAGAGTTTTCATTTCAATATATCTTCCAAAAGAAAAAAAAAACCTTTCGTTACCAATCATACAATTGCTTCATTCAAAATCCCACGAAATTACATATGCCCCACATAGTCTATTTTATTTGATTTTCTACCTATAATTTGTGAGATTCGCTTATAGCTAAAATACTCCCATTGCAGCTGACCTACATACTCAGTGAATTTCAAATGCTCATATCATAAGTATGTTCATAAACAAGCATGCAAAAATATTGACCATAAAAAACAACGGGAAGTGAGTATGTAGGTTTGCTGCAACGGAAATGTCAAAATGGGGGATTTTAGGCCATATTCAAGGTGATCTAGCTACTATATGAAGCCAAAAGCCACATACAAATTTGTATCAAGATATAGACTCTAGATGATAAGTTTGATTACTTTTTAAATGTATTCTTAGGAATAGTGGACACTGCATTTCCAATTAAAATTTGTACAATGTTAAATAGTAGGCCTAGGAAACCCAGATGGTATACTGAAGAATTGAGTTCACTCAAAAAACAGTGTCTGTTCATTTATGAATTACTAGCTGTAACCCGCGGGCTTTGCCCCGTTTAACTTCTTATTATCAAGATTATCTCGTTCGCATGGCTCAATCACGTCCTGGTTGAAGTTTGTTCGCTACGCTCACTCACCTTTAGGCTGGAGCTCGTTCGCTACGCTCACTCACCTTTAGGTTGGAGCTCGTTCGCTGCGCTCACTTGCCTTCAGGTTAGCTCGTTCGCTACGCTTACTCGCCTCCAGGTTAAAGTTCGTTCGCTACGCTCACTTACCTTTTGGTTGCAAATTAGCTGTTGTCATAAATGTAAAAGAAATAATAGTGCTGCACCCTGTTGGTAATTCTTGTAACTTTAATGCTATTGAACATCATAGAACAGAACCAACTTGTTTAATTAAACAGCTGTTAAGATTCAATAGTTCCATTTCTCATAAGGTTAACATGGGAAACTCCAGAGCCACTGGGGCGGAGCCCGAAAGGATTTTTGAAATAAGAATATGCCTATATGTTAATCGGGAATGTGAGCTATCATCATGCCAAATTTCAGCCCAATCCGACCAGTATTTTTCGCGTTCACTTGTCACAAACATACATCCATACATCCATACATCCATACATCCAAACTTTCTCATTTATAATATTAGTAGGATTCAAGAATACAGGAGAAGCATATTTGAAAGATTCTTACAAAAAGCTTAAAGCAAGGTACCAAAAAGAGGTTAGGTCAGCTAAGTTGTCTTATAATTGTGAAAGGGTCATCAAAGCCAAGGACAAACCTAAGGCAATTTGGTCTGTGGTTAAAGAGAGCTTAAATAAAAATGATTTACCTATAATTGTTAAGGAAAAAGATGATCTCTCTTGCGATGGTTTTAATGACTGTTTTATTAGTAATGTTAGTGCCATTGCTCATGATATACCTCAATCAAAACATACAATAGATTATTACCTAAACAAATTGTGTAACAATAAGTTGTATAATAGGCCAAGCAATGAGTCATCAAAGTTTTCATTTCAATGTGTGTCTGTTGAAAATGTGCACAATGCAATCAATTCTCTAAGTAGTAGTGAAAGTCTAGATGTATATAACCTCAACTCTCGTATTATGAAGCTCGCTTCACCTTTTATCGCTGAAGTATTATGTTATCTGTTAAATCTGTGTATTGTGTTTTCTGTCGTACCTCAATGTCTTAAACTTTCTAAGGTTATTCCATTGTTTAAAAAGGGCTCCAAATCTGATTATGCCAACTATCGTCCGATAACAATCGTACCAGTGATCTCAAAGGTTTTAGAAATAGTGCTAAACAAGCAGGTATTGTATTACTTTCACTTGAGGACAATTCATTGTTCACCCCCAAACAATATGGTTTTAGGCCCAAGCGTGGAACGAAAGACGCCATTGTTAATTTTATGAAAGAAAGTACTTTCAATGTAGACAGTAAGAAAAAGGTTATTAACAGCTTTTATGATATGTCCAAGGCCTTTGATACTATAAACCATGATGTTTTGGCTAGAAAACTTGAGTTCTACGGTTTTGATAATCAGTCAGTTAGGAGTTATGTCATACTTGTCAGACAGATATCAATATGTATTTTTTAATGGTAGTTCCTCTCAGTATTTAAAGGTTGACACAGGTGTTCCTCAAGGTTCAATTTTTGGTCCAACTATGTTTATAATATATGTCAATGATTTACCAGTAGCTTTAAGTAATGTTTGTGTATCGCCATACATGTACGCTGATGACCTTGCAGTTCAGATAAGTTGCTCAAATGATAATTTAGCGAATCAGATTAGATTCTCAATAATATCAACATGACTGTTGAGGACTGGACGGCTGCAAATTTTCTGTGTCTCAACAAGAAGAAAACTCAAATCCTCAAATTTAACCTAATTAAGTTCTTGTTCTCACTACACACCTGAAGAGGTTAAATTTCTAGGTATAGTTCTGCAACCTAACATTAAATGGAATAATCATGTTGTCAGTGTGTGCAAAAAAGTGTGTAAAGGTATTTTTATGATTAGACGTCTCAGGTTGATTGTTGATTTTGATGTTCTGATGTCAATATACTTTGCTCACATTCAGAGTCACCTATCGTATGGAATTGTAGTGTGGGGATGTGACAGCAGTGTTAAAAAATTACTGATTTTGCAGAAGAAAGCTTTAAGAATCATTTGTAAAGTAAAAAGAAAAACTCACTGTAAACCTTTGTTTAGAAAACTTGGTGTGTTAACTGTACCTTCATTATACTTACTGGATTCTTTGTTGTACATTAAAGAAAATCTTAATAATATTCCTGCCAACAATTCAGTACATTCATACTTTACCAGACAGAGCCATTTTATCAGAATTCACCAATGTAATTATCAGACTACCATTAAATCTACTTTTGAATTAGGTAAGAACATCTTTAATTTGCTGCCACATAATGTAAAATGCTTAGATGATAAGAAATTCAAAGTGCATTTGAAATCTCTTTTGATAGAATTAAGTGTGTATGATGTTGACAAATTTATCACTTATTTAAGATGTCCAGTTTTGTAAATAGAAATTTATTGTAAAATATGACGATGCCATACGTATGTTTTGTATGTTTTACGGCAATAAATGATTTGATTTGATTTGATTTGATATGTCGAGAAATAAGCGAGATATACAATTTTATTATTTTCCCCCATAAGGATAACGTGGGGGGCAATGTTCTATGTTTACCGCGTGCAATATCGTGGTAACCAATGGACATAGAACAATGATTCAAGTTACTAAATTGTTTGCTTTTTCGAGCTGAATTCATGGTGTAAACTAAAATCCGATTATTTTACTCTGGAAAGAGTTATTATTAATTTAATGAATGGATGTCACACATGGTGGCCATCTTGGATTTACGACGTCATAAAAACCAAACAGCACCATTTGAAGGTAAACATCCGGTACTACACTCTTATGTGACATAATAAAGAGATTCCACATAGTCCATTCCCTTCACAAAACATCCCACGGAATACAATGTGCCCCCCGACTAAGGCAAAAAAAGTGTTATATGTAATGTTTGAAATGTCTGTGGTGGGGAGCTTTTTGTTGTTGGTTTGGTAGCCCTGCTACTCATATGATTAGGGACATTGTTGAGTCAGGTGATCTGCCATTTTTTTGACATCGGAGGTCGATGAGTTCTATTGTTTTGTTCGGGTTCCAGTTCTAGGCTTCATCGTTCATCCCAGGTTTCATTGACATATCAATTCAATTGTCATACTCCATGATCCAATCAGATTCAAGTCAAGCGGTTGTTGAATGTTTGTGTTGTGGGTTATCGTGTCGTGAATAAAGTTGGGCGTAACTTTACTACTTTACTAGTGTTAACTTGAGTGTAACTTATAGTTTGTGTGTTCTGTGTTCATTTAGTGATTCAGTGGAAAAGTGCGGGTGTGTAGTGCTAAGCATGGGTGAATTTGTTGATTTTATAGATACATACAGAAAGTTCTTCGAAAGGTTTACATCTACAGTTGACCCAAGCGATCAGCTTCCAGTCAAAGTTGCAGGTTATAATTTAGTTGAGTGTGAAATACCTGGGGCTATTGGTGATTGGAGTCTGCAGTATTTGGAACAAAGGTAAGTTAAGCTGTTAGTGTGGTTATAGAGATGAGTGCAAGACTCCCATTTGAATGAAAAGCAGGCCTAGGCTCTAAGCCTCTTACTTAGGTTAATGGTTCTTAATTTAACCCTGGGGGCTAGGTCCATATAAATTTCACCTGAGATTATTGATATTCAGTTGTTCGCTTTAAAAAACTGGGCCTATGTAAAAAAAAAAATAAATAAACAAACCGTCTTCTTAAACTTGTGTGTTATCGTAACACATTTTTAAACGGCAGAGGATAAGCGTCCGCTAACCGGACGCGGATTAGGCATCCGGCAGTTAGTCCTACTGTCATAACCTAACCTAACCGTCACATATACAGAAATGTGAACGAATGGTGTTTCTGGCCTCTTAGGACATCGAAATAAAAAAGTAATTTAATAAGTTAGGTCCATGGCCTAGGTCTTGATGGCCTAAGTTAGGTAATAAGCTACTTCCCTATAGGGAAATTCGCTAAAAGTGGTCTTCAAACACTTCCATGTTTATAATTTAAGGTGTGTTAACTTACACACTGGTGAGGCATTCACGATTCGTACGGTAAAATGCAAGTTCTGATGCTTGTAGCAAGCGATTATACACTAACTAACTTAATGCTAATCGCAAAATTGAACCGTTGAAGACAATATGTCAATTAGTGAGGATGATTCTTTGTTAGGTAATTGTTCTTAAGTGCTGAAAAGGAGAAGGCATAGAAAGAGAGTTTGTGAAATCTTCGATGGTGGGTGCACCCATATTTGTGTGGTATTATTAGCATTATTGGTAAAGCTTCAACCAATTTGCTAAAACTGCCCTCCATGTCTTAGTTGTCTTATTCGTTTCTGTTGCTGTATGTTTTCAGATTATGGTTTTACAAAACATGAAACTCCTCTAAAACTTGTTCAAACTAACAATTAACATGGTCGTTGTCCGGCAAAGGCACATTTAACTTACTACCTACATAAAGTGCAACACTTAACACAATATACACAGCCTACGAAGATTTTACTGATGAGAATTGGTTACTGCCCATGTGCCAGGGCGGGGGGCTGCTTGAAGTTGTGCGACTCGCAAAACACCGACTGGTTTGTTTTGCGTAGCACATAAGTTAAACGTTGCACGGTGCCAGTCGCATCAGCGTGCAAACACCCACAAGTTTTAAAATTGAGTTGGTTTTCACGTAACTTGCATATGTTAGTCAAGTAAAAAAAGGCATGTCACACCAGTGTGTAAACACACATTTAAACGCCTTAATGATAACTACTTTTTTTGCAGTTCTGAAAACAACCAAATTTAAACTTTAGGCCTAGGCCTAATTCCATGATTTTAGTTTTAATGTTTTTGGATTTAAGTAGGCCTACCGTTACTGTCCTGTTAAAGGCAACATTTGTCATTAAGTTATTGATGATTTCTTTTCAATATATCTGTATTTTTGTTTTCCTTTATGATCCATAACTTATTCCTTCTGTTTTAATATATTCAAACCCATTTAAATTACAAATTTAAGAACTAACCTTGTTTAGGCAAAAATAATAGCCTAGGCCTAAGTTATATATGATAGCCTCTAATAGCCTACTAACTTAGATTAAGAAATTAAACTACAGTAGCCTAGACCTATTCTAAACTAACCAAACTTGTTGTAAGGCTACGTTAAAATATCGATAATCTTAGGTGTATCGAAAAGAAATCAATCAATAACAATGAATGTTTCCTTTAACAGGAAAGTACAAGTATCTTAATACAGTAACTTATTTAAATATAACTTATAAGTAGGCCTAACTAATATTTAAGTTAGCCTATTTAAACTCAATTTCAATCTGCTGAACCAAAATTTGACCAAGCAAAGTTGTTCAAATATGATAGCCCGGGCAGTGTTAGTGTCCGAATGTGTAAGCTATACTTATAGGTCTAATAGACAACCTCATATTAAAATGGTTCACTTTTTTACAGGAAATGTCCTCCATTTCTGATTGCTCATCTCATCCGCAAAGTTATAGAAGAAGTCAGGGCTTTGAGTAAAGTCGATCCGATCAGTTGCGGCTTCAGAGCAGAAGTTGGAGGTGAGGAAAATTATTTAGCTCTACCGATCCTTTCTAACCTCTAGCAGTTAACTTATAGTAGGCTATTTTATTACTAGATTAGCCCAAGCATATTTTTGATGAAATTCAATGTCGTAGTCAGTAAAAATAACTTAGGTTCCGGTATCTGAAACTTACCAAGACCGAATGAAGAACAACAATGACTAAGCTTAAGTCTTAGAGCAACAAATTGTACTGGGTAAGTTAGTCTTTGAACCGCAGATGCATTCCGGTAAAGTGTTGCGCAAAGTAAATCCGAATAAAAGCAAAAACTCTTTGTTTATAGACTGCCCATGAAAAGAAGGTAGGGTAATAAAAACACTCTTGTTGATTTGCGGGAAATCCAACCCTCCCTAAAGTCTGAGACGCTAACCACTAGGAGTAACACACCCAAGTTTTGATGTAGATACTGTTCACTGAGCCTCAACTCCCAAGGATATACTATAGCAAATCAAAAGTTTTTGTCACGTGGTGGACTAGGCCTATAAAATAATAATTTTCCGTCATCTTTATAGAGGGGGATTTGTAGGTAACCAATAATAATAACTAGAGGTCGTCCAGTGGTCGAAACTCGACCAAAAATATTTAATGTACAGACTTCTTTATTTTCATTCCACACTTTGAATAGAACATGTGATTGGAGTGTCTTCCATTCGTTTTGATTTTCTGTTTATATTTCGTTGTTATTTCGTCACCAGCATGGCAACTCATAATATCCATGTTAAATTTAAAAAAAATTTAAATTCATTTTTTGTGCTTATTTTTGAGCCTATTTTAATTTATAAAGGGATTCTGCACACCTACAGGAAAATAGCTTTCTAACAGTATGCGTAGATTTTCCCTACGATGCACACGAGCTGAGAAAAAAGGTTTTAAAGAAACATGCTTGCCTATTAATATATAGACTAGTGTACATGTTGCTCGAATTCAAGCAATTGCAAAGTATTACAGGAGTTATTTCAAAACAAATAAAAGTCATATTTACAATGAGTTTAAAAGAGTCAACTCAAAGATTACCGGCGTGTAACTCAGAACACGATTATCTTCGTTATTGATAAACCTAAAGAATTCCGGCCAGTTTTCTCCTTCTCAAAATGCCTCGATGTACAGGCAACACAGGTCATTGATAGATGGCCAATTGAAAACGAAAAGTCGTTTTGGATTAGTGTTAGGGTGCATTTGTAACCTAATAGTTGAGATTGTCAAGGGTCAGGTGCTGACTGTGATGAGTTAAGCCTTTACGCGCCACTGTTCTGTAGCTGCGGTCATTATCACGATTACGCCTCCTGTCTACGTTTCGTTGTTGTCGCGTCAGAGGCATTTAAAAGAAAAAAAACAACAAATAAACAAATTATAGCTACACAAAATAACGATAAATTCAGAAATTTAAGTTACAATCGTGCTAACACGACCCGTCGTAGCGGCACAAAACGACGATAAATATACAAATTTAAGATACAACCATACTAACACGATCCGTCTTGGGAGTTATGTTTACACAAACTCAAATAGTAAATATTGAATTGAAAAATAAATAACAGCAATTAAATTATACAGCTGATCAAAATGTAAACAATTATGTTCTTCATAAAGATAACATGGGAACTTTCAAAGCCACTGGGGCAGAGTCCAAGGGACTTTTTCAAAAATGTAAGGCCAGTTTGCAAATCTACGCGACACGCTCTTTCCAATGAGACGTCAACGGATAAAATCGGTTAAGAAATGGCGGAGGAGTTCAACCGACAAAGTTTCATGTAGCGTATTAATTATATAGATAGATGCTATGAAATTTTCAAAACCCAGGCGATCCTGTAAATTATTATTTAGAGAGTTGAAAATATTAACGCTTCCGTCAATTTATATCCTGCAAACATTAATCTTGATAAAAAAACCTTGTATCTTTTATGAATGAAAACCATAGCCATAATTATTTAACATGACACCAAAACGATTTACAACTTCCCATTCACAGACTTACCTCACTTGAAACCCTTCCTTGTATAATAAACTGCCTGAAAATATTAAATCACTAGAATCATTTGAAAAATACAAAAAAAGTTGCCAAATTGCTGGTTGACATACAGAGCGTATATAAAGTAAATGATTTTTTTATATGATGTATTTATTTGATTATGTAGTTATTTTAGTTTTATGTACATATGACCATTTTACCTGTTTCCCAGCTATGCTGGATTTGTAAACGTTATGTGAAAATAAATGATTGAATTCAATTGAATGCTTGTATAGATGGAGCAATTATGTAACATCTTTGTGTATGTGTAAGGCAAAAAACTGACAATTTTAGTGATTGGCTATTTTTTATTGCTAAAAAAAAAAAATCAAAGCATTGAATAAACTTGTAACTTAGTTGGCATGACACAGGTCTGTCTTAAAAAATTTAATTCTTACACTCTTCAACTAATATGCGTCTATAAAACTTATGCACTGAAAACAAGTTGTAAAATCTGGCATTTGACTTGGTTACTTTGCCAAACAATGGCATAGGCTCAAGGCCAGCCTCTCAATCAGCCTTTTATCATTTGCACTCACGTGTGCGAGATAGTCATGTGAATGGTATGGCGTGATCATCCATTAACCATGTAGCATTGACGTTCATTCATACAATCACATATAGGCCTACATGTCTCAGTAAATTGTTTGATAAATCCTTCTCACATTTCTTATTTGAATTTGAAGCTTATTTTTTTATTCATTCAAAGATAAAAAATTTTTGAAGTACGTTGTTGTTTATGTGCACAACTGAGTTTGCATATAAGCAATTCAAGAACGTAGAATATGAACGTAGATGTACTGTAGCTATGGATACTCATCCTACAATCCAATAATAGGCAGCAGTATAACTATGACACAATTAGTATTTATTTTAAAACATTTATTTACAAAAATAGTAGCCTATAAAATGAAGACCATGTTATTTAACGAGAGAGGTTCTGGAACGCCATTTCATTATGTTCCCCTTCAATTAAGCCTGAACCCAGCTTATATGAAATGTAAAAAATGTAAATTTCATTGAATATCCTCCCCCAACCATACACTTCTAAACATTAGATTTTAGGGAAAACCCTTTAGGCATAAGTTTAAAGTTGGTTAAAGTTTTTGCTTATGTTTGACTTCAGACTGAATCATTTGGTTTTGCATAATAGATTCTTGCCAACTAGTTGTTAATGATTATCTTGTTATCATCTCATTCTTCCAACATTAATCTTTGTACCGTTTTATTTTGCACAAAATAATAAAGATTTAGTATGAAAAGCATAATTATTAGTTGAGTAAATTGATTAAATAGTTCATAAAAACAAATTTTGAAAAAAAACTAGAATAAAATTTTCTTGCGCATACGAGTCTCGAACCCGGGTCCTTTGACTCGTGAGCCTCTTACCTTACCACAGAGCTATCTGTGATAGTTGATTATGAGAGATTTCAAGTGGTGAAAGAGTAGCCGACAGTTGCAATGGTCGCAATACCTACTTAAAACATATTTGATACTACATTGTATAATACGATTCTGTTAATCTGTTTAGGCATCAAGTAGTTGAATTTTTTTTGGGACATAGAGAGGATACTGGTATTTGAAAATAGATTATTTAATTACCGTTAGATTATGTTCTACCACTTCACCTAAACAACAGAAACAGAAAAATTAATAACAATTCGCTAAATATCACAAATTATTCATGAAATTAAAACCATAAACATAACCGTCAGTCCTACTTTGACAGTTCTCATTGCATATCCCAGTTTTTTGTTGCCGCTTAGTTCAAATAGTCAATGGTTCAAATTAGCTGTATTCATAAAAGCAAAAAGAATTATAGTGCTGCACCCTGTTGGTAAATCTTATAACTTTTAATGCTTTTGCATATCATAGAACTAACTTTTTTTAGTTAAAACAGCTGACTAAATTCTTTCAAATCAAATCAAATCAAATCAAATTTAATCCCCTTTAATCCTTTAATCCCCTTTAATTATAAATAGGTACTCATAAGGTTAACATGGGGAACTACAGAGCCACTGGGGCGGAGCCCGAAAGGATTTTTGAGATAAGAATATGCCTATATGTTAATCAGGAATGTGAGCTATCATCATGCCAAATTTCAGCCCAATCCGTCCAGTAGTTTATGCATGATTGAACTTCAAACAAACAAACAAACAAACAAATAAACAAACAAACAAACACACAAACTTTCACATTTATAATATTAGTAAGATTAATCTTTCCCCTTAAATTAATTTAAATAAGTTAAAGAATATTAATAAAAAAAATATTTTCATTATTATAATTATGTTGTGAAAGCTAGATCCAGAGAATGAAAGTCGTGTAAACTCAACTATGGACCATCGTTGGTCCCCCAACGGAGTGAAAAACGGTTGGACAGCGGTTGGCTTGATGTATGATACCCAGCAATGCATATTAAGGTATTTCATTAACAATGAACCAATGTTGGTCCACAGTTGTAAATATTGGTTGGCCTAACTACGAGATATACAGTTGGACAACGGTTGGTTGGTTGGTTGTGGAAGCTCCAACCAACCATCGACCAACTGTCCCACAATTGTCCAACGTTGGCCCAACCATCTGTGCTACATGGGAAGGCAAAATGTAGTTCGGATTCCACTATAAACTGTAGGTCCCTTTGCCATTATCTGTATGGACTATTAAAAACAGCTGTGTCTAAGAAATATGTCGACCTTAGTCACCAACAAGACTACAAGATCACGCCACTCAACCTACACTCATCTCCAAATACTTGGCTTAAAATACCTACTTTGTATGGTCGCCATTTTAATAAAAAGTATTAAAGTTTATTAAAATTTGGTCCAGTAGTATTGTCAGGCAAGCTGTCATAGTTTTGCAAAAGTTTTTTAGTATACGGTAGCCTATAAGATTAGTAGAATATGAAGTGAAGATGGTCACAATGAATAGCCCATACTAAGAACGATATCTTAAATTTGTTCAGCAAAAA